GGTCACTGTAGTGGGTCAAGAGGCGACTGCAAAGATTCGCATGCTCCTGGAAATCCTCAGGGCAAGAGGTGTCAAGTTTTGGTATGCTGTGATGCTCTCCAAGAAGCCTTGGATTTCCTGAACTGCTGGGAGGATGGATGCACTTGAATGTGTATCGGCCATGGTGACCATGATCTAATCAAAAAAATGAGCGACTAAGATCCGATCTTTTGAGGCATGAATCTGTGCTTTTAACTTCTGGCATACGACGCACATTGCGTGCTCACTCCGTCTGCGGAATCGGAGGCAGTTGGACCAACGCTTCCAAGCTCCATAGAATGTCGACTTACAGGCAGCGGTGGATGACCCAGCAGGGGCAATGGATGTCCAACCAACATACATCAAATACAAACATGATACATTCCCGGGAGGGAGTTCCCGAACGGGAAGACGCGAAGGGTCGGAATCTGTGACCTCTAAGGTCGGTCCACTCAATTTTCTGCTGATCAGCTTCTTCAACAGGTCTTGTCTCAACTCTTCATCCTGTCGATCAAACGCGGCGTCGGAAGAAGCTGAAAACCTTAGACTCGTGTCGAGAAAACAAACGCCAGCTGGTGGCTTTGAAGCTACTTCCATACCATAAGATTCATAAGATGCACAGATGAAAAACACCCACAATAGAATTCAGAAAGGCAACCGTGTCGGCATTGACTCTGCAGCTGTGTAGTAGAGGTGCCCCAGGAAGGCGTTCGCTGATGCAGTTTGGGCAGCAGCACGCGTGGTTTCACCTTGGTCTTTGTTGATTTGTTGTCACATTGTGAAACAATATTGGAATCAGCAAGTAACAGCAGCTAGGCTAAACTATTTTGTTTTTTTTTTGTTTTTTTTTCACCCTTTCTGCTGCCAGAAATCCTTGACTGATTGTCCGGTCGTCGATCCCATGAAAAGCTCTTTTGCATCGATCCAGCCGTTGCTTGCCAACCCCTAGATACCGGGTCCATGCCAAACGGCACAGTGGGAATCCTAGGGAGCAAAAGCCAAAGTAGGATCACATGGTATCCATGGAAACAAGGAATCAGTACGACAGCATTTGGGGTCCTTCAATGCTCCACGTCCTTTTGGTAGAACCCTTCTGAGCCTGAAGGCTCCACAGTAGGGCATCCTGACTTTGCTTTGGAAGGCTCCAAAAGCCCTTGCAGGCGTTTTCCAGAACTTTGGCAGGGAGCCAGCATCGGCACTCGCAAGGTGGGTTGTTCAGAACATCGGTAATTCTCTTTCGATCCATTCCATGAGAAGAGAAAACTGGAGCATCGCTATTCTCATTCAAGGTGTGCAAAGAATTGAGAGTAGCAAGCCTCAAGTCGACTAGATTGCCATGTGGACACTCAGACTCAGAGCTGGGATCATCTGAATCGGACGAGCCAGTGGACTCTGATCCTTCCGTCCTAGGTTTTTGAACTGTAACACTCTGTGGTAAAACTGATTGTTGATTCCGCAATCCGGTGAGATATACTCAGCTAAGTTTCTCAGGTTCATCCGAAGTCTCATGGTATCGCCATATGCCCTTCGAAGGCTGCAACAACTGGTCCGCATCATCATCATACCGGTGAAGGACGGGCATGTGCCCACAGCGAACCGGGGAAGAGTCCGGTCTTGAATTGAACAAATGCCAAATGAATGGATTCAAAATTCGGATGGATTCACCTTCAAAACTCTTTTGAAATTCATTTTTCGTGAAACTGAATGGAACTGGATTGATTATGACAGTAAAAAATTGAAATAATACTCATATCCATAGAGATTGGCCAAGTTCTGGTGCTGACACTTGAAAAACTCAAGCTAAGAAAACGCATGCGTTTTCATCCTTTCCCTTGTTTCCAGTGTGGTCTTTCGAGCTGTACACCTATTGGCGCATGTAATTTTTGACAAGGTGTGGATTCACACTTTTCAGTGCCACTGCTATGGCTACCATCACGCAACGCATCGCCATCCCATTCCCTGCCAGTTGAAATAGCTCCTTAGATTGAGAATTTCTAATCCAATCAGGTTATGTGCCCTTTGCTAATGATAGAAACCAACCTGTTTGCTAGCAAGAATCCCGGTCACTGAAGCTCTCTGTGTGGATAGCATCCACCGGCATCCCATGGAGGATCAAGGCTTCGACGCCTGAGTGGCGACTGGCGGCTGGCTGTGCTGAAGTGGGGCTGGAGCTACTGAAGTTCAGCTGGGTTACCTGTCAAATATCGACTCTGGCATCCGATGAAATATTTTCCGTTGGGCCTTAAGAGCAACAGGGAATGAACAGTTTCCTATGGCCAAGTTGAATATGAACCGATCTATAAATCAAACTAAGAGCAAGGCGTTAAGCAAGGAAGTGCTGCCTCCCCCATCACTGGACCCATTCGGTGGATTGCTTGACTGGTGTTGACGGCAGCAATATTGCCATGCTTTTTGAACAGCAAGTCCATTGCCTGACACGTTGCATGATAAGTAAATCACACTATATAAATTTGTCATGCAGAGGATGTGTCACATAGCAACATATATCATCTCAGTAAATATCAAGCCTGTAACTCTCTTGGCGTGGTGATTTGATCGAGACCAGCTGGGTGTTTCGAGCGAAACGTATCTTTTGCCGACTTCACCTGGAAAATGGGCTGCACACACAGCTTAGGGAAAATCCTGTAGTCTCATGCCATCGACATTCATTACTGCTCGTTATTTGAGTATGGCCTTGACTTTGTTTTGCTTCGCCCAAACCTTGTGGGCAGATTTCCATTTGTTGCCAAAGCCGGGATCTCGCCTTAATGAGGTCGAAATCAACTTGTTGCCAATTTAATTGTAGTGGGTTGAGTAAGACACCATTCAAAAGCCAAGGGGCTTGACAAAGAACATTCTTTTCCTCTTGCGGGACCGCTTTTCCATGACCTCTTGGACCAACGGATGACCCTTTTCCAGCAGGAGATCGCTCCTCAAGTTCAAGGATAATTATGAATCCCAAATTTCATGTCATGATTCTGATTTTTCATAGGCCATCGGTTGAGATAATTTTAGACAAAGGAACCAATCCACATCAGAGCTGTGTTTGAGCCCATTGCAGATTTCAGCGCAGAAACCAACGAAATCGGATTTTGCACCACTGACCATCAAGTCACACTTCACCAACACGATGTACAGCCGATTGCGACTCACTGGGTGGCCGTAATCTTTCCTTGGCACAGGCGTTGAGTGTGTTTATTCTGAATTGTAGATTACTCAGATGGGCCTATTCAGATTCTCTATTCGAACGAGGCCAAACTACCAAGACACGCATTGAGATCCAAATAGGCGCATTGATACCTGAATCCAAGAAACAAAGGGACATGAAGACGTCAAGTTCACATGCGTCAAGCGTCTCCAACAAACATGTAACAATAATTATTATTCTGAATCATGGTACCCAGGCAGCTTCTCCGCCAAAAGCTTCTCAAACTCACATTTCACCTTTTTGAATCCTTGGACGTTCTCCAGAATGCCAACCTCAAAGTTTCAAAAGGGTGTCTTTCCAACTTGGAAACAAGGATGCCGGATAAGTTTTTTTGATAAACGTGGTTTTTACATATTAGTCAAGGAGCTGGGGCTGCGCAAGCCGCCAAGTTATCCAACACCCGGTACATTGGTTTAGCAGCTGCCTCTTGTAAGAGAAGTGATTGCCAATGCAGTGAGCTGAATGGAGTGCAAGGGAAGCCAGCTCCATATAATAGGACCTCCCAAGCATGGGCTTTGGTTTCACACAAACACTTTGGACGGATATTCCTAGACCCTCAATTCACCCATCCCAAAAAGATTGGTCTGAAAAGTAATTGAATATAATTGGGATATATTTGGATTCATTATGATACATATTATACTTATGGGTCAATTGTGGGTCCACCCTTGGTGAATAGATGACGGCCTGTGTCATGGAACGCAATCTGTCAAATTCACCCTAAGTGCTCGCCTTGCGCCGAAGTCGGCCATAGTTGGTATTGAAGATATCATCATGGGATCTCAGTGTTTGAAACTGACGAGAAAAGATCTAAATGTGCTGCACGCCTCCCTAAGAAAAACGCAGGCAAGGTGCCCATGTGAAGGCTTTGGGTGGTTGATCTCCAAATACCTCCTGGCTGTCGAATCCCGCTCGCTGTTTGACCTCGGCAACTGCAGTGCCAACGACGCGGCACATCAAAGTTATGTGCCACATCGAGAAAAAGCAGTGCACAAGTCCGCTGCAATCTAGTTTGGGTCTGAGAGGCATGTAAGTGAGCAAGGGTTGCTTGGCAGTGGGGAGCAGCAACTTCAAGGCAGTCAACGGGGTGTCCATCCCAGAACCTGAATTCACGGTGACATGGTTGTTACAACACCAATTTTGGTGGACCAAGGTTCCAATGTTGCCAAGCAGCAGTCAGAAGCATAAGGAAAGGGTTGGCTCCAGTTTCTGAACCACCAATCCAAACCTGAGTTGTGAAAACGCTGGGCATGAAAACTGTTTGGATAATAAGAGCCAATGTTTGTGTAAGTTTTGTGGTAAGAGTTTTGATGAGTGACCCGCATCTTGACGTATTTTCTCTCCACAGTAGATGTAGCTGAACTGCTCCACTGATAGGGATATCAACTTCTCCTGTCAAGGCATGGAGGCACATCTAGACAACAGCCAAAAAGTTACAAGAACATTCAAGATCCAATCTAGATGCAAGTTGTTGCCCTCCTCGGCCACCTCTTCATCGGAAGAGCAGAAGCACCACGCCACCATCGATGGCGCGGCAAGGAAAACAAATGCTCAATGCTGAGCCCTACTGGCCACGGGTGGACGCCCGAATCAAGACCCCAGATGCTGATTGCAAAGTCCCCAGTTGCAGTTGGAAGTCCATGATATTAGATGACATTAGATGATATTAGATTATATTATATTAGTAAACAATACAAAAAACATAATTAAAAAAAGGCGCTATTTGCATCAATTTGCCATTCATGTAAACGTTTCTTCTTGCAGTCACCCTTAGGGTGTGTCCGACCTGATGAACCAGTGGCGAGTGGAGAAGATCGAGAGGCCGAGTGATGTCATTAAAGGGTTCTGGGCAAGCCTTTGATATACCATCTGGTTATTTAACATAGCCATGGAAAATCCCTTATAAATGGAGGTTTTAATGGGAAAATCATCTATAAATGGGCCATTTTCCATGGCTATGTTAAATAACCAGAGGGTAGACTTTTTGGTACTTTAATAATCTTTAATATACTGTAATCGCTTTGCTGTATCTAAACGGTAATTGATAAACCAGTTTTGCAACTATGGTGAAGATCTGATGTAAATCCTGGACAGTAAACTTACTGATGGTTTCCTTTTGTTTGTGAACTCCACCAAGGGGTTTTTGAATACTGAGAGAAAAATCATGATCCCGTATTTATACCAAAGATGTTTTACTGTTTCGCAAACTTGCCTCAGACGTCGATACAAACAGTTTTTTGGGGGATTGCCAGGAGCGAGCTGCTACTGCGGCTGCTACCTAATTATCTTTTTTTTACTACCTCTCTCTAGTGATCACATACCCTCATGGCAAACAAAACTGTCTTAAAATAAGGTCTTAGGAGCTGTAGCATATATGTTTGTTAATATATATATATGATATGTATATATATATGATAAATTACTATATCTAAATTTTTCTATCTTCATTAGGGTTTGTCAAAAAAGCACTGTACAGTAACTAACCCGAAATCCCATCGTTTATCATATTTTTTGTTCAAATGGCTATTTTGGGATATCTACCATTCTTGTGCCACTCCATATCATGTTCTTCTTGGCTACAAAAAAACATTACTGTATTGTATCCCACAATTATATCCCAGAATTATATCCCAGCATATTTTCGTGAAATGTTGCTATTTTTACCGCCGTAACTGTGTTGGTTAAAAGGACAACATCATTCAAGCCTAAGTACTATAGTGATCGAAATACCCGACCCAAAAACTGAATTCAAAAAACGGCGGCGAATACAGTCTCACAAGGTGTTCGGGTACGCTATTTTTACTGGGATTTTTTTTCCCCCTCCCGGGGATTTTTTTTCCTGGCTAAGCTCTCGCAGACTGGTGTGCCCAGGAAGCAAGCCAGCAAGCCAGCAAGCAAGCAAGCAAGCAAGGCAGGGAGCCAGCGAGCAAGCAAGGAAGGGAGCCAGCGAGCAAGCAAGCAAGCCAGCCAGCCAGCAAGCAAGCCAGCCAGGCAGCCAGCCAGGCAACCAGCAAGCAAGCCAGCAAGCAAGCAAGCAAGGGAGCCAGCAAGCAAGCAAGCTAGCCAGCCAGCCAGCAAGCAAGCAAGCAAGGGAGCCAGCGAGCGAGCAAGCAGGCAAGCAAGGCAGCAAGCAAGCAAGCAAGCGAGCAAGCGAGCAAGCAAGGAAGGGAGCCAGCGAGCAAGCAAGCAAGCCAGCCAGCAAGCAAGCAAGCCAGCCAGGCAGCCAGCCAGGCAACCAGCAAGCAAGCCAGCAAGCAAGCAAGCAAGGGAGCCAGCGAGCGAGCAAGCAGGCAAGCAAGCAAGCAAGCAAGGGAGCAAGCATGGGAGCCAGCAGCAAACAATCTTTCTTCGAGGAATTTCTGTCCGAACCGAGGTTGTAACTAGTTACTGGCTTTATACACCCATATCTATTTATACTTATATGCATTATATTTGCTAGCATAGATGGAGAGAGAGAGGTGGATATTGTAGGTGTCGAAGCTACTAGTAAGTGGGATGAAAGTCCAAGTATGTTTGAAGATTCTTTTGGAACTCTCCCAAGCGGTTGATAAGCGATAGTCATGATGAACACCTAACCGCTGGCCCCAGTCAGTGTGCATGATCCGCACATTGAATCCACCAACCCAAAAGATCGGATTTCGTATTGTGACCAGAGCAGTGCGAACACCACCTTTACAGAGGAGGTGATACAATTGCTGCAAAAAATAGGTACTATGTAAAGCTTGCACACTTGTAAATACACTACTCTACATACATGTGTATGTATATATACATATGTACAGGTAGTCATTTAGATACATATTTTTGGCTATTTATTTGCGCAGATCCAACAACAACAGCATCAACAACCACAACAACAATAAAGACAATAACAACGATCACAACAACAAGCATCACAACACCAAACATAACAACAACCATCACAACAACAGCCATCACAACAACAAACACCACAACAACAAACATCGCAACAACAATCACAACAAAGAAACAACAATAACAACAAACATTACAACAACAGACAGCACAACAACAAACATAACAACAACAGACAGCACAACAACAAACATAACAACAACAAACGTAACAACAACAAACACAACAAAATGGAAGGTTCCAGCTCCCAAATTCTGCAAATAGCACGCAAACTGAAAGGTTCCTGCGCGCAAATGCGGCTAATAGCATGCTAAATGGAAGGTTCCTGCGCCCAAATGTGTCAAATAGCATGCAAAATAGAAGGTTCCAGCTCCAAAATGCTGCAAATAACATGCAGCATGGAAGGTTCCAGCTCCCAAAGGCTGCAAAGAACATGCATTTTTTTCAACAGACAGCACAACAACAAACATAACAACAACAAACGTAACAACAACAAACACAACAAAATGGAAGGTTCCAGCTCCCAAATTCTGCAAATAGCACGCAAACTGAAAGGTTCCTGCGCGCAAATGCGGCTAATAGCATGCTAAATGGAAGGTTCCTGCGCCCAAATGTGTCAAATAGCATGCAAAATAGAAGGTTCCAGCTCCAAAATGCTGCAAATAACATGCAGCATGGAAGGTTCCAGCTCCCAAAGGCTGCAAAGAACATGCATTTTTTTCAACAGACAGCACAACAACAAACATAACAACAACAAACGTAACAACAACAAACACAACAAAATGGAAGGTTCCAGCTCCCAAATTCTGCAAATAGCACGCAAACTGAAAGGTTCCTGCGCGCAAATGCGGCAAATAGCATGCTAAATGGAAGGTTCCTGCGCCTAAATGCGGTAAATAGCATGCAAAATAGAAAGTTCCAGCTCCAAAATGCTGCAAATAGCATGCAGCATGGAAGGTTCCAGCTCCCAAATGCTGCAAAGAACATCCAAAATGAAAGGTTCCAGCTCCAAAATGCTGCAAATAGCATGCAGCATGGAAGGGAAGTGGCAGGATAGATGTAGGGGACGGAAACCAGAACAGATCAGGAAAAAAATCACCAGGGCAGGGGAAAAAATTCCCCGGCGAGACTCAGCACCGGTGTTCGGAGCTCTAATTCAAATTATATATTTTTTTGAGGCTAGATCCATTCAAATTCATGCATAGGATTGACAATGATGTTTAGAAGAGCAAATATCAATCTGCTCTCAGGAAAACTATATCTCCCTGCAACATATCTACAGTATGTGAGTTGCCATATCTTCACAATAAAGGGTAACGGGTAACGATAATATCCATTGTAATGATAGTATCTACTTTATCTATCTGTATCTACTATCCACAACGCTAATATCTACGTTTATCCCCTATCATCATAATGAATGAATATGGAATATTGTGGACAATATACATATATATCATAGTAACATATAATTATCTACTATTATATATAAAATAAATTAGATGCCCTCCGATACATGTGACATGGATTTATAGATGATTCACCAATATTCCCCTATTAAACATGATGATTTTCCATGGCGCTCTTAAATAATCAGAGGGTATAGATACTGTAGATGGTTGCGAAATCCTGCACCAGTTGGTAGCTATGAAGGTAACAATTCGAAACACTGTTAGTAATGGAATTATAACGGGAAATTGCCCACTTACCAACTGGTTTTAGATTCTTACCCCATGATGTTAGTGGATTATAATTGTGACTCACATCCATATTTTAGACACCCATATTTTAGACTATATAACCTCATAATACCCCATATATTCCCGTTGCCATATATTCCCATTGAACGTTTGGATTTTATCCATGATACAGCTAGTTATAAGTTGGTTTATAAACCCCAATCAGCTATACTTATATTCACCACAAACCCTAAGCATTACCCAATAGTCATTATATAGTATGTTTCAAGATTTACCATTTAGATCTGGGTTACCTAGTTATAAACCATGGTAGTTAAATCTGGCAGTTATAAACATCTATCTCTACTAGTTATAGGTTATATCTGTAAAACCTAGTTGGTAAACCTAGAGATCCCATAATAGTTATAAACCGTATCAGTTAAAACACAACAACAACGACGACGACGACGACGACGACGACAACAACAACAACAACGACAACAAACATTATGGATCAACACCCTGGTACCTTTCCCTAGAATAGATGGTATAGCTGGATGGTTATTCCCAGGACAATAATGGTTTTTGACATATCCCCATGCCATCCAGGGGCATGGCCGGCCTGGCAGCAGCCGTGGGTGACATGGCGGGCTTTTTCTTGTGGCCTCTGAAGGCCACTCCCACGGCACCCATGGGGAGCGCCATTGTGCTGCTCGGGCTGAAGCTGGGGGTTATAGCCCCTGAAAAACCTATCGTTTTGATGAGTAATCCTATGAAAAATTAGAGTAAATCTAGTACGATTTCTTGATGATAAATACAGCAGCAGATTCCAACCAACATAACTTGTGATAAATATAAGTTAGATATTATGATGCATGCTGTCAAAATAGTGAAAAATCCTACCACTATGTTGATTGTAGTAAATATTGATAGGATAGAAAAGTAACATCCAAATTGAAACTGATGATAAATGACGGTTCTACCTTTTTGGGGGTTGCGGTAACATGATTTAACATGATTTATTCATGAACAAATGAAAATCACCCATGTTTGAGAAGCTGATGATGAACATGTTTCGTTACGTTTTTGAGTGAAGTGATTTGAAGGTTGTTTATATAACTGAACATTTGATGTCGCGCTGGAAGAAAAACAAGTTTCGAAGCGGGGTAGCAGGAGGGGCAGCTGTCGAAGTTGGTATTTCCTGGGGCCAAACGGATGAAGCATGTCCACTGGCTGCTGGTCTTGTCGGATCTGAGCTGAGTACACATTATATTAGTCACGGTTGATGGGTTTTCAGCCAAGGAGGAACAGCATCCCGTCGAAAAGTGTTGTATCATTATCATGTTAAATCTTTTTCAGGGTGTTTGTACAAGACTTACACTCCTGCTTGACTTCTGTCGCCACCACACGAAGCCCAGTTTTACTTATCCTGTGATGTGATAGTTATACTAAATCATGCGACTTCGGCAGCGTGATGAGCTTGGTAGTGCTTTCACAGCGCCTGCCACACAAGATGTGCCTTTAGTGGCATGATGTGAATTCAGTTGATCGCTTGCGTATCCCAATGCACCAATAATATATATATATATATAGATACATATATATACACATATATATATAGATACATATATATATACATATATTAATACAATACAATACAATAGAATATAATTTAATATGATATGATATAATATAATATCATATAATATAATACAATATAATACAATTTAATATATAATATAATATAATATAATATAGTATAATAAATTATAATATAAAATAAAATAAAATAATATAATATAATATAATATAGTATAATAAATTATAATATAAAATAAAATAAAATAATATAATATAATATAATATACACATACATATATATATATATATACATAATTGCAGTATATATTATATCTTGTATTCCTACATGAGTTCCCTATCCCTCCAAGTTTGCCATCTCTGACACTCCAAGGAAACCATTGATCATTGGAAATCTCTTTGATACAGCGACCAGTTACAGCTGGGCTCAAGAGTCTTGGTGATATGTGCAGTGATGGAGCTCCAGACCCAACAACAAAGTCCTCCATGTTTGATGGATGTATGATACATATATATATATATATTGACATTATATTTCTGGTTGGTGTTTTAGAACATTTTTTATTTGTCCATATATTCGGAATAATACTCCCTACTGACTAATATCTTTCAGAGGGGTTGAAACCACCAATCAGTATATATTGACATTATATTATATGAACAATATGATATATTATGTCATTGTAGTATATATTATGATATCTATGTGGTATGGTGGATTAAAATGTGTGATCTTATGATATTGTGTAATTGTGCAATATTTTGGGGTGTTTCGCTGATATCGTAAAGGTCATTCTTTATTTTGTCTTGCTGGTTCCGTCGCAGCAACAAGATATGCAGGAAACAACTTAGTAATGGAGCAATGCTTATTCATAATTTGGGAATATATAGGGGTATGCTTATTACTACCCAGTTTGAAGGAAGATGCAGAGTATCTAATACCCTACATTAGTGGAATACTTCCACCATTGCTAGGATCATTTTCCACAGCTATGTGGATTTTCCAGCAGTGCAGCCTGGACTTCCTATGTAGTGCGCATATACATACCGATAAATGTATATACCGTATATGTGCATACAGAAATGAATCTACACTTATTTGCAATATATATATACATACATATTGGGGTGAACATATATATATATGTACAATATGACCAGATCAACCACCAAACAATCCAGGGCTTCTCTGAGGTCTGTGTCGTACAGGAAAGGCGTTATTAGGATCGTCATTCAACATACACTTGACACTTGCCCTATCCCCATATTCAACGATGAACATATGGACAATCTAGTGGTGATAGATCATTCTTTAGGGAAACCCTCCGCTGTGAGGAAATGAAGAAATCCTTTCCAGAAGGATCTATGATCACATGGCAGGCGTGCGCTGAGATGTCGAAACAAAGTTGCAGCAGAGTTTCCCTCCACATCCCCCCGGGTGTATGGCCCCGTTGTTTGGAACCATCCGGTAATCAGTGGTTGACTGACTAAGCATACGCCTATTCTTGTTATTTTTCCCCACATCTTTGTGTGGGGTTCTTGTTTTTGGTTCTGCATCCCGTCCGCCTCCTCCTCCTCCCGCTCCCGTCGCACACAACTTGCTCACACACAACTTGCGCACACACAACTTACTCACACACAACTTGCTCACACACACAACTTGCTCACACACACACACAACTTGCTCACACACAACTTGCACACACACAACTTACTCACACACAACTTGCTCACACACACAACTGTTGCCGCTATTGTACTGCAAAAACTTCTTCCAACATGCAAATATCAACTTCGGTTGCCACTATTGTACTGCAAAACATTTGGAAGTTTCTCACTCACACACAACTTACTCACACACAACTTGCTCACACACAACTTACTCACACACAACTTCCTCACACGACATCGATTGTTACTTTGCGTGGCAGGCGTGGCACTTATGGCACTGGGTTGGCTCTGGCGGCGCGCTTGGTCAGCCATGGCGCCGTGACGCCGCGGCGTTTTGCGTGGCAGGCGTGGCACTTCGTGACACCTGCCTTCAATTTGTGTGGTAGGCGTGGCAGGGTGGCACTTGACGACATCGATTGTTACTTTGCGTGGCAGGCGTGGCACTTATGGCACTGGGTTGGCTCTGGCGGCGCGCTTGGTCAGCCATGGCACCGTGACGCCGCGGCGTTTTGCGTGGCAGGCGTGGCACTTCGTGACATCTGCCTTCACTTTGAGTGGCAGGCGTGGCACTTCGTGACATCTGCCTTCACTTTGTGTGGCAGGCGTGGCAGCCGTGGCACTTGGAGACATCCACCTTCGTTTCACATGGCAGGCGTGGCACTTCGTGACATCTACCTTGTCATCACACCACTTGTCTTCACACTACTTGTCCGCACACAACTTGTCTTCACACTACTTGTCCACACACAACTTGCCCACTTGTCATCACACCACTTGTGTCTTCACACTACTTGTCTTCACACTACTTGTCCACCGGGCGACAAAAAAAAAGATCACGTTCATGACAGATCAGAACAGTTTCTGCGCAATCGGTTGCCACTATTCTTGTGTTGCTTGCTTTCAGTGGGAGCTACATTACTGCACTTGCCGCCGTCGCTTGGCAGGTCCACCACGCTGCGATGTCGTGATCTTTGCTAATGCTGTTGCGGTTGACGGTGCTCATCTGTTTGTTATCAATCTGTGCTTCTGAAACTAACAGTCTTCGTGACAGCCGGTGTTTTCTGTTGTTCTGCCAGGCACCGACTTCATCGCGCAGATGCTGCTGTTCAATACATGCATACATACATACACACACATACAGACATACATACAGACATACATACATACATACATTCATACATACATACATACATTCATTCATTCATGCATGCATGCATACATGCATACACAACTTACTCATACCGGTCTATACGTGCATGTTATTGCGAAAGAGCTGGCGCTGTCTGAGGCGACTTGATGTTATTGGATTAGTGTGTTCAGTATTGTTTGTCTAGCTGGCCTTCTATTTGGATGCAAATCAATCACTCGTACTTAATCTTCCACACACAACTTGCTCCGCACCAATCCTTCACCATCTCTTTCCTGCTTTCCCCATGCTATCTTTACCTTTCTTTTGCTGCTTGTTGGAAGAAGTTGACATGTGGGGTTATCCGGTCCTTTAATTGTTTTTTCTAATTTGTATTAATTACCTGGTGAGTCGGATCATCATTATGAACCAGCAAGTAGATAGCAAGTTACTGGTACTAAGCATACTGGGAATGGGAAAATGGGGTGTTTCATTCTTCATGGCTCAGCTCGTTTGAATCGAAATGGTGGTTTCCTAAAAAGGGGGTACTCCCAAATCATTCAAGTTATGGATGATCTTTTGAGCATTGAAACCTATGGTTTTAAGACATGACACCCCCAAATTGATCACCTCCCCCAACAAAAATTACCCAGCTGCCACCAGTCAGGGAATGGGCCATACCTTTCCCTCGCGTGCCACTGATTACAATCGCGCCGCCATCGAGCATTGTTGGGGCTACGTGGAAGCCTACTTGCAGAATGGAACGCTGCCAGTGAACGGCATGCTATGTTGGCAAAAGACCAACCCACCTGTTATTTAAGCTCTCCACAGACCGCAGTTCCAACAGTTGTTTGTTCATTGTGGTCAGTTTCCTTCGCAGCAGGTCAATGCCAATGGGTCAAATGGTTTGACTGAAAACGTTTGAGCATGAGGCAATGACCCTCATTCATCATTTGATATCATTTGTCATCATTTGTCCATTCACATTGCATGCCCAAGTGGGACGGCCAAAAAGTGCGGCGATCTCCAGGTGACCCTTGTGTTTTTGTTTACGATGCCAGAAGTGACAACCACTGAGTTGTTGGTATATCATCAATTTCCCCAACATATTACATTACATTACACTACACTACATTACATTACATTACACTACACTACATTACATTACATTACATACATACATACATGTATTATATATATATACATATCATTATCATCACATCAACACGATATCGTTGGCTTAATTGCTTGCTGGTTGTCGTGTCAGATATCTATCCCCTTACGCGTCGCGGGCCATGCCGAGGTTCGCTATGAGATTGCCATGGAAAGTTTGAGGTCGGATGTGGGGATGCACAACCGATGATCAAAATGACGGAAAAATCAGACATAGATAGACTTACATGTTCAAACATATCAATTTGTTGTGATAAAAATGTATATGTATGTTAGTATACAATGGATTATAATGGTATGTATGTGATATATATATATATATACGCGCAACGCCTGGGCTTTGCCCAGGCGTTGCAGCGTAGAGGTTTCCCATTCCCAAACAAATGTTGATGCAACTTCACAAAATTCCTATGGGAAAAGCAACAAAGGTACTAGGGAACATTAAACTCCCACCCCGGTTAAACCTTGAATTCCTATGGAAAAAACAACAAAGGTACTAGGGAATATTAAACTCCCACCCCCGTTAAACTTTACATTCAATTGCGAAGATCAACAAAGGTACTAGGGAATATTAAACTCCCACCCCCGTTAAACCTTAAATTCCTATGGGAAAAACAACAAAGGTACTAGGGAATATCAAACTCCCACCCCCGTGAAACTTTAAATTCCATTGGAAAGATCAACAGAGGTACTAGGGAATATAAAACCCCCCACCCCGTTAAACTTTACATTCAATTGGGAAGATCAACAAAGGTACTAGGGAATATTAAACTCCCACCCCCGTTAAACTTTACATGCAATTGAGAAGATCAACAAAGGTATTAGGGAATATTAACGTCCCACCCTCGTTGAACTTTACATTCAATGAAGATCTTTAATAAGGGTTTAATTCTCCCACCCCCGTTAAACTTCTACATTCATTGGAGATCTTCAATAAGGGCTTAATTCTCCCACCCCTGTTAAACTTCTACATTCATTGGAGATCTTTAATAAGGGTTTAATTCTCCCACCCCCGTTAAACTTCTACATTCATTGGAGATCTTCAATAAGGGCTTAATTCTCCCACCCCTGTTAAACTTCTACATTCATTGGAGATCTTTAATAAGGGTTTAATTCTCCCACCCCCGTTAAACTTCTACATTCATTGGAGATCTTCAATAAGGGCTTAATTCTCCCACCCCTGTTAAACTTCTACATTCATTGGAGATCTTTAATAAGGGTTTAATTCTCCCACCCCCGTTAAACTTCTACATTCATTGGAGATCTTCAATAAGGGCTTAATTCTCCCACCCACGTTAAACTTCTACAGTCATTGGAGATCTTCAACGAGGGTTTAATTCTCCCACCCACGTTAAACTTCTACATTCATTGAAGATCTTCAATAAGGGTTTATTTCTCCCACCCCTGTTAAACTTCTACAGTCATTGAAGATCTTCAACAAGGGTTTAATTCTCCCACCCACGTTAAACTTCTATCTTCATTTTGAGGATCTTCAACCAGGTATTGATGATGATGATGATGATGATGATGATGATGATGATGATGTGTTGCCTGTCGCGGTTGCGGTTCCGGGCAAAGCCCAGGCTTTTGCCGCATATATATATATATATCTATATTTACATACATATTTCAACTACTTGTACCTTATTTTTCAAGACACATTCGGTAAGCAATATATGACATTTGTCCTGTATGCTACAAAATAGCCAGCAAATGGGAACCGGAAAATTCATCACCAAATGGAATGGGGGACCATATTTTCAGCTTATCTTCAGACAAACGGTCTGGCACCCCTCTACCAGGGCCTTGTGTACGTTTTTCCAATGGGGAAATCACATTGAAACAGAACACTGCCGCACGGTTGGGGAAGAACATAGTATGCCATAGTCCAAGCATGTTTACTGGGAATTTAATCTGTTTATCGCTGGATTGAATGATTATGGTAGCATAGTATTGCAAAATATTGCAAAGTATTTCATATGATTGCAGATTTGCTATGTAGAACGCATCCATAGCTGTCACTAGCCTTTTCCCGCCATGAAAAAATTGTTCCCCACAGTGCACCACCATATTGGGTAGATCATTGTAAGGTATAATGCCATATCGGCCCGTCTATTGTTTCCATTTGATGATATGGGTTGATACCCACAAATCCGTTGGTTAATGATCAGTTTCCCTAGTATTTGATGATTTTAAAGCCTTTTTGGGGTATAACCCATTTTCAGACACACCCAAACATCAAATTGGTTACATACGAAATTAGTTCATATATCTTCCTACTATACCCTATGATACCCCATGATATCCTCATTTCCACCGTTGAGTTGTCCACCTGCGTAATGTTGTCACAACGTAGGCAACGTCGTTCCAAAGCCTTGCGATGGAGGAAGAGGTCTGTCTCGGATTACGCAAGGGGCCTCAGCATCGGGTCATCAAATCCATTCCCTTCAGGGTTTTTATAATGCTTAGCTATGATTATAAACCAATGGTTATAGTGTTTATATGGTGTTTATATGGTGTTTATAATGACTATAATTATAAACCAATGATTAACCATCACAATAGTGTTTTATATAGTAATTAGTGCTTTATAATGATACATAAATAAATAGTTAGATAAATAAATCTAGAATTACTGTATATATATATTGTATATTTGTAGTGGTTGTGAACTAAATAATAATTAGCAATGGTTACCCTCTGGTAATCAAAAGTGACTAGCTTGCAAATCCCCGAACGAAATGGAGGTTATTGATGAGAAAATCATCTATAAATGGAAGGATTATCCAGCTATTCATGTTGGATTGCCGGAGAAAACAATGGGATTAGAATGTGTTAGAACTAGCCAATCACTGAGTTTACCAGGGATTAAACACATGCCCACAGTTCAATAGTGATATCCCCTTTAATCAGAACCAGCCCCGGATCCTGTCGGATGCTTCCCAGATCCCCATATCAACCATGGCGAATTTCCCGAAGGGACTGACAAAAATCAGCTGGGAGATGGATAGCTAAAAATTAAAGGTAACATATTAACATTGACAATGAGTTGATTGCATGGTTCCAATCTGGGAAAACCCTGGTGAATGATAAACCGACTCAGCAGTTTTTTTTTTGGTTAGGGCATTTAAGATTAGCCATGCTTTGCAAACTGGTCCGCCAGCCCCATGTAGTAAACCATAGCTTTATGAAACCACGGAGTGTTCCGAGGCCAGGTGGTTGGCACCCGCGGAAATAAGGCTTCAGTGAAGTATTGCACTTGAGCGACCCCAAACCATGAAACCTACTGTACTTGTAGAGAATTCTGTGGGATAGTCCCATTGTCAAAATATGTATAGATATACATAGCAACACGTATTCCCGAAGAAGGAGAAAAACATGTCTGAATTTATTCCGAACAAGTCCAGCGCTGCTGAGTCCGGAGTTCGGCGGATCCACCAGATTTTGACGCGAGCCACGTTGCTGGGCGTTGGTTGAAGTATGTAGCGACTTTAGTGCGACCTCACCATTGGGTACGATGATGATGATGATGATGGTGGTGGTGGTGGTGGTGGTGGTGATGGTGATGGTGGTGGTGGTGGTGGTGGCGGTGGTGGTGGTGGCGGCGGTGGTGGTGGTGGTGGTTTATGTTTGAAGGATTATCCAATTATCCAATCATGACTAATTTTCTGATGTTGAAAATAGGGTTCACAAAAGGTCCGGATAGATTGGCTGGTCATTTAGGCAATCATAAGTTGATTTCTAAACAGCCTCTTGGTTGAGGCGACCCGTTTTTGGGTTATACAACGAAACCAGCTGGTTTAGCTGGTTTCATGGATCCCGAATCGCACTTTTCCACCCCTTAGGCCCTTCAACATGGAACCCAGCTTAGCTGGGTCTGGAAGATGACTTGTCTCTTTATGAAAGTAATTATCCATGTTTGGGTTCCATCATGTTCCAATAGTTGTTTTTTTCAAGGTGGTGTTATTGTTCAGCTGAGTTTGTTTATTATGTGTGTACACTTAAAGTTGCTTTTCAGCCCCAACTGTGTTGAGACATCGTGATAGCCTTGACAATGAAATCAATGAATCTAAGATAGCGAAGTCAGCTTTTGTGGCTCACAAATAGATTCAGATTGTTTATGTTTCAGCAGTTACCTTTAATTTTCAAAGGGGTCGGAAAATTGAAGTGAAATTCCCGACCAAGGTGGTATCCAGGTGAAGAGTTTACAGATTTTACTCCGGTTATTGGACAGGTTGCCTTGGAACATAATCATGTTTTTGATGAATCATCTAGAAGGAACGGATCATTCTACTGAGTTGTCCAAAGCCGTTTCTCAATTTAATTTTGCTTTGATTCAGCATTTACCATTGATTTGTTCATGCCAAAATGACCAGTTCGATACTCACTTTGGGGTTGGCATGCCCACTTCTAGGCAAACCCTGAGTTTGCAAGTTCATACTCTAGGTGTTTGTTCTCCAATGACTGATTCGAATATGTCACATCTTGCTTAACATTGTAGTTTTTGCAGTTCGTATTTAGGATTCGCTGATTTATTGTGTGGGTCACATTCCTTTGATTCCTATTGTTGATGTATCTAAGATTAGCATAGATTAGCAATGTTAAATGGTGTTGTGTTTGGTGGATTCAATTAGAACAAGTGTCATCAAGCCCTAGTTCCCATATGGGGATGGGTCAAAACATGTCAAAACCATACGAAATTTCCCTTTTGGCAATCAACTGAATCAACATTCATAAATCTCAGCTATTTTACGGTGGGGTACCAGGGTTCTGACTCATAGTCAATGGGAAAGACTCAGGAACCGATTGAGGGCGGAGGTACCGATTCCATATATGTTTGGCCTATTTTTTAGGCCTATGTAAGAGAATATCCCCGGAAAATATGGCCAGAAATATGGTACTAACGTACCTCCATTTTAGGATCCTGAAATTCCCATTGATTGTCTAGTTATCCCATAGTTATCCAAAAAAAAACGTAGCCAGCACTGCAGGTCCCAGCACGCCGCCCTATATTTTTTCCCAGGTTGCGCTTCAAGGCTGATCTCCGTTTATGGCCCGAAAACTCAGCATTTCAGACGCGTGTTGAGGTGAAGACTGGGAAGCCAAGCCATTTTTCACGTTATACTCTGGTTGATGGGTTAAGAACTACAGTATATAGGCACTTATACTAGCTGCTCGCTAATTTATTGGGAATAATGATAAGCCATTAAGCCTATCAACTAGTATTTCATGAGATGGGATAGGAGTATTTTTAATGGCTCAAGCGATGTATATGGTTATACTATACGTATATTATATTACTTGCAAGGTTACCCCCAAATCACTCCAATGTCAGGGACAAACACATTTAAGTTATGATTCAGAATCGTTTCTTCAGGAACGAATGCGGATGGATTCAGAAAATAATACGATGAGATTCAGCAACTTATGTGCTCGGATTCGGAAACTAATCCAGATTCAGAAGCTATTGTAATTGTTTTGGATTTGGGAAAGATGTGTTTATTTTATTCGTGGAAAATTGGTTTCCGAAGACACATTTCAAATTACCACTGGATAAGTTTCTGAATATTTTTGCCCGACCCTATGAGGTATCAGCACGTGGATTTCTGCTTGAGGAGTGGCATTCCTGGCATGTGAAGTTGACCTGACCAATGATCACCGAATTGGGGATGGAGGCCGAAAGGAATACCATCCGATTTTCGATCCCCCAATTGCAGTGGACTATCACTATTTGCCACATTACAAAGAGGTTTTGTCCAACTTTGTGCAATCTCATATCACGTTGTTGGTTATGTATACTAATGTATACATGATATTATGTATCCCATTGTACATCGCATTGCATATCATACATTCTATTGTACCACTATACAAGTCCCATTATATTCCCATAAAATGGTTGATTTTATAGACACATCTCCTTGTTGCTGGTTAAAACAGATCATAAAAAACATTTTGTTGGTGATTAAACAAAAACAGTTTGGTGGTCAAACAAATCACATCCAGCTGGCCAGGGAGCTCCACAGTGCTGCAGCGAGTTTTGATGAAGGCTGTAAAGTTGGGACGCCCAGTTGGACGCCCAGTTTGGATGTTTGGAAACCATGGGAAAATGGTGATTCAATAGGAAAACCATGGGAAAACCATGGGAAAACCATGGGATATTCTGCTGATATTGGGGTGCTGAAAAGTTGGCTTCAGGCCGAACCTGATTGTTGTCCGAGTTTGCAGGGGGCGGACCTCACACGAGGTTTAAAGTGGTGGTTGTTTCTAACAAGGGGCCCGGAATGGATGATAGCTTCTAAGTGCAATCTTAGTGCTTCAAAACACAAACTACTACTTAGTACTTTAAGATCTTTAAGTTGGGATAGTGTATACATCCACTAATAGGTGCGGCAACTCTATCATGTTTGTGTTTGTTTGTGGTGTATTCACTGATATTTACAGTATATACATTCAATATGCCGTGTTTGTAGGTTCTATATACTACTAAGTTGTAAACCAATTTGGGAATAATCGTAACAATTGGAAAAACCGGCGACGGCAACAAAACGCAACGTAGTTTCGATTCCCATATCAGTCCCTTCAAAATTCTATCTATACAATCATACCCTTTGGTTATTTAACATAGCCTGAGCTATGGAAAATGGTCCATCTATTATTATTTAATGATGATTTACCTAGCTATAAAATTGTGATTTTCCAGTTCGCTACGTCAATTTTGGTTGGTTCAACCCTTTTCATATTCGTATCAATTCGGAAACCCAATGACACAAAAACAATTTTGATTCCCATATCATCCCTTCAAATTTCTATGAATATGTAGTAATACGCTAATTTTTTCCAATTTTGGGGTATGGTATGGTCCCCCTTTAAACATGTTTTTTTGTCGACAGCATCTTCCCAGGTTTCATCCCAAGGAGGCCTCCTTATGGTTGCTGGCCGCGGATCGCGAACTGCGGCAAGGTCGAAACGGTGAAGCCAGTGATACCCGGTTGGGTCCACGGGTTTCGGTTGGAAAATGATGGAACATGATGGAAGATCGCTTTAGTGACCATGCATTTGATATGGGGTAAGCATGGGGTAAGCCATTTTCAGACCCAGTTGTCCCTGTCTTTGATTATGGGATAATGATGGATGATGCGTGGACAATCGCAAAAAGTTAAGCTAAGAAATCAGGAACGGGATGATATTCCTGGAGAAACATGGATTTCCCCAGGGAAAAACTGTTGGGTTCGTTTATCTGAGAATGGCTTGTCTACTGTGCCCCAAGGTATACCCAGTTTTGGACAAACCAATGTGTGATGCCACTTGATCTAAACTGATTCACATGTCAACCATGGATGTGCGATCAGAAAAAAACATCGGACTTCGGCCGCTTCGGCCCAAGTCCTTGGATCAGATTTTGCATGAACAGTTGATAGCTGAATTCATTGTTTGTTGTTTTGTTTTCATTCTTCGCCTTGTTCAATTCAAGTTGGATAGTTGTTATGAGTTGATAGACCAAGAGGGGAGAGAGGAAAGAGAGGGAAAAGCGGGAGAGAGATGATGAGATTTGGTGTTCAAGCATGGTCGAGCTACTTCAGCTTGCAGGGTATCATCCTAAAGCAATCTTTTCTCCTATCAGGGTCATCACCGCCTGGCTGCGAGTAAGATTTTTTCGGTAGCTTTGATGAAGACCTTTGATGAACCTCCCAAGTAACCAATGACCATGCAATTGGCGTTTTGAAATTTGAAATAGGTCAAATATGCATTCTTCATAGTTTTGGACTAATTATTAATCTCGTTCCCTTAGAAACAGTGATCTAGTGTGGGATTTCCTCATTGTTTGGTCCCTTATTGAGAGTATTTGAGTATTTGATACTATGATGATGATCATCATTGTATTTTAAGGTTACTATATGTTGGCGATGACGATCATTACTGTTGTTATATCATGTTATTTGTATTTATTTGTTATGTTATTATCATGATTATGAATTATGATTATTATGCGCAATTACCCAAAAATATGTGTCAGAGCTTAAAGTCACCTGAAGGTCATGTAGATGCAGCCCGGAAGTTGCTGATGCGTGCCTTGCGATGCCTTCCCAAATCCGTAGGGAGCCTTGGTGAACTTCATCTTGTTGGTGGATAGATTCTACAATGTGAGGCCCCCCAGTTATAAGTTGGTTTATAAGCCCCAGCAACTATAGTTATAAGTACCATAAACCATAGTTATTGGAGTTATAAACCACCTTAGCTATCTTGGGGGCCTCACATTGTATGAGTGTTAGCTGTGAATGTGGCCATTTTTTCTTTGTAGGCCAGCATTTAATCAGCATTTGCCCTGTTGGGCCAGTTTTCTGGAGGAAAAATGACGATTTAACCATCAAAACATGATGAATCATGGCGATTTAACTGGTATCAACTGTGGCTTAACTGGGAACACTTGGTTTCTGGCTCGTGCGGATTGACTCGCACAGTCTCACTTTTGACATCCGCATTTACCAAGACTATTGCCATGTTGGCAATGTTCAGCAATGGTAGCGAGCATTTACAATATTCATAGGTGCTTTGACGATCAAGAAATTATGATGAACAAATGAGAGTTGGTTGATGGTTCTCACCATTCTATGCGCACATAATGCCTTATAATGTTATATATGGCCAGCAATGTGTTGTTATTTGTTTGTTGGATTTGTTTTTGACATATATCCGACAATATGCTTCCAGTATGTGTTTGTTGGTTGTTTGCTGGGATGGAACCATCATTTGAATTTTGTAGGGGTTTATTTTTATTTTCACATTTTTATGTTTATTTTTACAACGTCATAAACAGGAGATAGAAGGAAGCGTTCTGGGCCCGCGATTTCTCAATAGACTGTTAAACATGCTCACAGGGGACATGGGTGTTGGTCACAACTTTTCAAAAACAAGGCATGGCGCCAATGAAAATTGGGACTTACGCATCAAAAAAAAGGTATTTGCCCAAGACATGTTTGAGTCTACCTTTGTATATATATATAATATTATGTAATATATATATATTATACATATGTATAAATAAATAAATAAATACATATATATATATATATGTATTATATATATATAGATACACACATGACAAATATGTACATGTATAGATAATATGTACATATGTACTTATATTTACATATATACAGATGGGTTTGTCCTGAGATGCAAATGGAATCAACCAAACATCATTTTTGTTTTGGGGAAGATTGGTGATGGGATTTGGGGTTGACACGCTGATTTGGCAGCAGATTTGTCTGTAGTAGTGATGAATTTCACTCATGCAAATAGAGCATAAGCGCCCACACTATGATACCAACTTAAGTCCGAAGAGTGGGGATTGGTTCCCCGATGTTCCCTGATGTTCTGGCCGTGAAAAAAACGAGGGAATGAGATGGAGAGGGATACGGATGAATTGGTTCAATCTAACATGAAGGTCCCTATTGTATACCATCTGGTTATTTAACATAGCCATGGAAAATCCCTTATAAATGGAGGTTTTAATGGGAAAATAATCTATAAATGGGCTATGTTAAATAACCAGAGGGTGATAATGTTGTAATTATCATGAATGTCATTTGATCCAAATTGAGTGATTTGTTCCAAAGGATCCGAAAACGGACGTCGTATTGTTCTATAGAATGGAGCTTTCCATGTCGTCTTAGTTTTGTTTGAACATATTGTCCCTCTAAATCCTGTGTGGGTATACCTCATTTTTTTCGGATAGTTCTACTGTAGGAAGCCGTGGATTGTCCAATATTGTCCACACCCCCCCATCGGGGCAAACAAAAACAACATGCACCTCATGATTCTAAAAGTATCTACAATTGATATATCCAAACATATCTCTTCAATTTAATTATAATATCTATATAATTCTATACATATTATGTGTGTAAGGATGCATACGTGTAATTACGTGTATTTATATAGTACATACACGTACATGCAGGCATAGGTGCGTACGTACCTACGTACGTACGTAACAATATGTATATATATATATATATCATTTGAATTCATTTGATGCACATATATATATATGTACACATATTTCTTACATAATTATTAAATACATATATATATATATATACAGTGATATATATATATATATAATTATATATACTAGTTGGTCGTATGGAACCTTTTTTTCCATATTTTGAAAATAATAATCCCAACTGACTAATATTTTTCAGAGGGGTTGAAACCACCAACCAGTGAGGTGAAAGTTCTCAGCGAGTTCCTCCGCTTGGAGGTGGGTGTGGCCGGTCAACTGCTGGTCGCTAGCGCCTCGTCGGATAGTTAGGGGAACGGTGGAAACATGTAGAAACTGCACAAAGATGAAAAACTATATAGTTCATCACTAATATTACTATGTTAGGGTCTTACATGTTTCTATGAATTGCTAGAATATACCTCCGGCCTCCAACAGGCAGAAATTTGGGTCTGAACTGGAATAGTAGCCTTTTCTGTGATCGGGCTGAAAAATAGCCTGACTGCCAATTCGGGCAAGAAATGCTATCCAGGCAAGAATTGCAATTTGACAAAGTAGGTCTAAAGACACCTTCCCCGAACAATCAGGGCTTGAATTTTCTCTTGCATGTGCAGTTCAGGCAAGTTTTGAAAAATTGTGTCAAAGCAAGTCGGGCGAGAATACCCGGAAAACAGGCGGGAATACCCGGGAAACAGGCGAGAATTCGCGAGGAAAGGTTTTATCTACTGGCCATAGTTTGCTTTTTGCGGACTCGTTTGTCCAGGAATGGCGAAGCAGAAATGCGGAACAGTGAATCAAAACAAAAACGTACAAATTTCCCTACAGGCGAGGATTTGGGGTCAGGCGGGATTTCCAGGGTCAGGCAGAAAAATAGGTCAAAACACACTCGGGCTCAAATTTTAGCCTGCGGTGGCTATAGGTATGGATATATAATTTACATAATGATATGTGCATCTATTACCAGTAGTACCCGCACGAGGCGGGGCGGAAGTTGCCTTAAAGATATATATAAGACCTTTCTCATCTATAGAACTTGCATGCGCCGTGCGCCAGCCAGGCCCGTGCGTGCGTGCACTCTGCGAAAGTGGTGTCCTGTTTCACATGTCACATTTGAAGCTCCACTTCGCACTTCACGCTTCACACTCCACACTTCACACTCCACACTCCACACTCCACACTCCACACTTCACACTGCACGCTTCCCACTGCACACTGCACACTTCACACTTCACACTTCACACTCCACACTTCACACTTCACAGTCCACACTTCACACTTCTCACTTCTCATTGCTTTCTTCACACTCCACACTTCACACTTCACACTGCACTCTTCGCGCCCCACACTTCACACTCCACACTTCATCTCATCTGAGCTCTTCTCGGCGCTTCTGCACGTCAGCAAGGTTGAGCGTAACTCATGTTGATTCTTCTACATGCCAAAAGGCGTAGACCATAAAATATTTACAATATTGAGGTCATTAATGCCAAGCGTTGATGCATTGCATCAAATCGCAACGGCAAGTGTGAACATGGTGTAGTTGTTACCTGTCAAGGAGATTCACGCAGTCCAAGCTCGACAGCTGCTTTTTTCTCTGCGCTACACTTGGTCGTCTAGGCTTTTGGCAGCTTTTCGGCCCGCACTGGCACGAAAGGCTGGAGAGCTTATCACGTTGGAAGCCTGGTTGGCCGTCATGGCACTTCACGAAGCAAATCAGGCAAGAAGTTCTCACTATCCGCAATGACATTGCGGACCCAAGCTGCATCTGCTTGCGACAAACGACATCCTGCACCTGCTCGGTAAGCACTCAACAACATGGCCGCAGCGTGCACACCATCATCTGTCAGGGCAACGCAGCGCTGTTCTGCCAAGGTATCGTCTTGTTCCGTGCAAACAGTTGTCAAGGCTTCGAAACAACCAGCGCAGAGTCCATATTTGAAGTAACCCAAACCAATATTCCTGCGCTCCTCGGTTGGGATACTTCGTCTGCACGCGAAGCATAGTGAATTTTGCAACGCGTTGTAGACGTGCAATGCAATCTTCAAGCTATGCTTGAGAGCTGCCATTTCTTCGAAGCCAATGTCAATCCTCAAGTTTTGCGACTCCTGAACATCAATGTCACAACATTTACCTACATCAATATCGCACACAAAACTCGAAATAGCAACCTACATCCACGAACTAGCTGACAAACTACTTCCCAGTACTACTTCCCAGTACATACTACTTGGCACTACACAGCTTGCACCCACTACTACTTTGCACTACAGTTCCCAGTAATACTTTGTACTACAAAACTTGCACAAAGTACTCCCCAGTACTACTTTGTACTACAAAGCTTGCACAAAGTCGTTTCCAGTATGCAACAATTTGCTGCTCCAAAACCGGATCTCGACGCCAAAGCAAGAAAAAGACGATTTTGAAGCATTTTTGAAAAGGAATTTCAAAAGGAAAATTACTAGCGCCAAATTTGCGAAAATCTGCTGACAAATGACTATCGCAGCCTGGATGCAGCCACTCCAATACGATTTACAATCTTCAGCTGCAAAAGACAATAGTATTACGCATGCAGCCGCGGCGGCAAGCAACCTTGAGGCAGCCACTCCAATGCGATCTGCAGAGACTGAGTTGCAAATCACAATAGAACTAAGCGCAACGGCGTCGGAAATTGCAGCTCCAAAACCGGATCTCGACGCCAAAGCAAAAAAAAAAGATTTTGAAGCATTTTTTAAAAGGAATTTTAAAAGGATAATTATTAGCGCCAAATTTGGGAAAATCTGCTGACAAATGACTATCGCAGCCTGGATGCAGCCACTCCAAGACGATTCACAATCTTCAGCTGCAAAAGACAATAGTATTACGCATGCAGCCGCTGCACCAAGCAACCTTGACGCAGCCACTCCAATGCGATCTGCAGAGACTGAGTTGCAAAACCCAATAGAAGTACGTGCAATGGCGTCGGAAATTGCAGCTCCAAAACCGGATCTCGACGCCAAAGTGAAAAAAAGACGATTTTGAGGCACTTTTTAAAAGGAATTTTAAAAGGAAAATTATTAGCGCCAAAATTGGGAAAATCTGCTGACAAATGACTATCGCAGCCTGGATGCAGCCACTCCAATACGATTTACAATCTTCAGCTGCAAAAGACAATAGTATTACGCATGCAGCCGCGGCGGCAAGCAACCTTGACGCAGCCACTCCAATGCGATCTGCAAGCACAGATTCCAAAACACCCTATAACTACGCACACACAACCACACCCAAAGCAGCTTGAAGCCACCGTTACACTGCGGCAAAAAAAAACGATAAACCGACCGCAGTCGCACCCGCCGCACAGACGAGGTACCTTTCATCGTCGCCTGCAGCCACTTTACACGGAAAAACACAAGGTTTCGTGCTCCGGCTTCCTCCCCAAAACAGCGCCCTTGCAACATCATGCAGCCATTCCAATGCGATCTGCAAGCACAGATTCCAAAACACCCTATAACTACGCACACACAACCACACCCAAAGCAGCTTGAAGCCACCGTTACAATGCGGCAAAAAAAAACGACCAACCGACCGCAGCCGCACCCGCCGCACAGACGAGGTACCTTTCATCGTCGCCTGCAGCCACTTTACACGGAAAAACACAAGGTTTCGTGCTCCGGCTTCCTCCCCACAACAGAGCCCTTGCAACATCATGCAGCCATTCCAATGCGATCTGCAAGCACAGATTCCAAAACACCCTATAACTACGCACACACAAGCACACCCAAAGCAGCTTGAAGCCACCGTTACACTGCGGCAAAAAAAAAACGATAAACCGACCGCAGCCGCACCCGCCGCACAGACGAGGTACCTTTCATCGCCGCCTGCAGCCACTTTACACGGAAAAACACAAGGTTTCGTGCTCCGGCTTCCTCCCCAACTCACCACTTCCCTTCCTCACCACTTCCCATCGTCACCACTTCCCATCGTCACCACTTCCCTTCGTCACCACTTCCCTTCGTCACCACTTCCCTTTCCCTTCGTCACCACTTCCCTTCCTCACCACTTCCCTTCGTCACCACTCCCCTTCATCATCACTTCCCTTCTTCACCGCTTCCCTTCGTCACCACTCCCCTTCATCATCACTTCCTCAAGGTCAATTTCATAGCTTCTTATTCTTTTGTTATGTATTGGTACATTATGTATTGTTATATTATGTATTGTTATATGATCTACCACCCTTCCTCAAGGTCAATTTCATTGCTTCTTATTGGTTTGTGATGTATTGGTACATTATGTATTGTTACAGGATCTACCACCCTTCATCATAGTCAATTGCACCAAGTAAAAAGTCATTCGTAACTCGGAAATTGCTTCCCAACTTCCTTTGATAATACTGTCTCTAAGTAAACTATAGCGACCTCAGTGCGACGTCACTGGAATGATGATTAGTGTCACCATGTCCCTTCATCACCACCCCGTCATTGTCAGCACCCTTCATCAAGGTCAATTCCACCGCTTCTTATTCTTTTGTTATGTATTGATATGTTATGTATTGTTGTACGATCTACCGCCATTCATCATTTCAAATCTCAGAATTCTATTTGTCCGTAACACGGAAGTATTGCTTCCCAACTTCCTTTGATTAGTGGTAAGTGTGGTCAGTTTGTCGCTTCTCTTGGTGACCCGCGCGCTTCTGTAGCTGAAGCCTTCAGACTCTCCAGAATTTCTGAGTTTACAACGCCTGTGGATACTGAAGTTTGGCGCCGTGGATATTATGACAAGCCTCGCGTATGGGAATCCATCGGCCCTCAAGCCGGAGATGTGACTGAACTTACCAGAAAAATTGCAAACCAAAAGGCACACAAGAGTTCCAGCATGCCTTTGCCCAAACAATCCCTGGAAGAGAAACTCTCCACCTATGCCCGTGCACTCAGCAAGGGTGCTGTCAAAAAACGTCGTCAGCTTCGTGCTCTGCGAGCTTCTGCTGGTGGTACTTCTTCATCATCTTCTTCCTCTTCTTCCACGTCTTCATCGTCCACTGCTTGATTTTGCCAATCACTCCTTCGATTCTTGCATGTAAAAGTTGCTGCGCGTAAGCCGAAACTGTGGTGACGTGCTGAAATTTGTCAGCGTAAGGTCTGCGTAAGGTACTAGAACGTGCGTAAGTAAAACTTGTGCGCGCGTAAGCAAAACGTAAGCAGCAGCGTAAGCTTTTCGTTGTTTGGTGCCGCCATGCAAGACAAATAGCATGGTGATTTTCAATAGCTATGTTAGTTTACCAGAGGGTAAATCCAATCTGAAGTCCCATTAGATACCATTAAACCATAAAATCCCAGCCAAAATCCCATAAAAGACCCAATAAATCCCATAAAAACCATTAAATCCCATATATAAACATATATCCCCACTTATCCTTCACTTATAAATTTGGCGAGACGAAACCAACAGACGCCAACAGAAGTTCCACAAGGCTTTGTCGGAAACCTAACTTGCTTTTGCATGCACCAAACATCCAAGGATTCATCATCAATGTGTTCATTAGAATAGCATATCATGGCCATTTTTTGTGAGTTCATGGCCATATATGGATTTTGAATGACATTTTTTTCGACCAACCAGATTACCAGATATGATATTGGTTCTATAGCCTATTGTACCATATTATACCCAGATATACCCCGTAGATCCATATATGGCATATCCTCAAAACATACCCATTGACTTCGCATTGAAAACTGTTGGTGTTCATCCCCCCACTGGCTATGCCACTGCCAAGGGGAAATGGCGCAGGAAACCGAGGCAGGTTGAACCGGTGGGTTAGTTCACCCTATGCAGGAAGCCGCCTGGCGATACGAAAAATCAGACTTATGCAATGCAAGTCCATGGCAGCATGGAGCAAGATATCAATCAGATCGCGTGAAATGTCGATGCGGCGGTTAAGATTGTTTGGAAATGTTTGGAACATGTTATCAGTTTGACAACGTGCGCCCGGTCAGAAGTAGGTGTCTAGCATCTAGAGTCTAGACCCACGCAACTATACATTGTATGCACCCCGCACCCCCCTTTTCCAGCCAAAACATACAACTTGAGAACACATGTTGAACCAAAACGGCTATGGCTCAAGCAACAGTTTGAAGGATCAAAAACGGTGCTTTGCTTGCCATGCAAACTCAAAGACTTCGCACTCCCTGGAGATCCATGTTATCTCTGAGCGAGTGATTCGGAATGTAGTTTGTGAGCGAATGATTGACCCAAAACCTTGTGAGCACTGTCTTGATCTGGAGGTAGTTCCCAAGACCGTGCTGGGGTGATATTGGGACCAATGAAAGATATGTTGAACGAAATTGTTTTGTTTTCCCACATTTTCCCAACCAATCGCTTCCAAGGCCCAGTCTGCCTCGCGGCAGCAACATGTGTAGATCCACAATGATGGCATATGGTTAATGAAAATCGCTAAAGACCATTAGGCATCACGAGCTGTAATCCAATTGCCATTCACTGGCATTGCTGCGCAACATGTTATTCCAATATCTTCGAGAATTCTAAATATGAAAAGTTCCTCAGCATCATTTGGCCAACACAAGTTGCTTGAAACAACATGTGAAACGTTTTGAGCACATTTCGGGTGCCAACGCGATGGGCCTCTTGCGGCTGCATGCTTTGAAAGGTGGCACCCCCCTCTGGCTGCCAGTGCTGGGAATTTAGCTGATTCACAAAACAATCATGTGAAAATATTGCGAATAGTGTAGTACTGAACCAATTACTCCAAAAGTACTCCTGGGATGCAAGGATGATCAGGTGCATGCAATTTGGTCCATAGTGGTCGCATCTACACCACAGCTCAGCACATATGCCAATATATGGCTCAGATTTGATTTGCTGTCTCCTTAGTTGGGCTGGTGGAGCCATGCCGCCACGGCCCATTGTTGTGGAGGAGGAAGTGGTTGGCAATGAACTTCACATCAAAAAGCCAATGAGATTCAAGGTCTCAGTTCCTTATCAGAATTTTACATTACTGTTCAAACAAGTTTGATGAGGATCCAACTGTTGCAAACATGAGCTGGTAGCCGTTCCCAAATCTAAAAGCATGTCATTGAGGCAGTTGGACTTCACCTGTTTGACTCCTTCAAGAAGTTTTGCGACCGTCATGGGCCAACCATCATGAGCACTCCAGAGAGGGCTTTGGTAGCTTGGGGTGAAAGGCAAAGACCCGTAGTCCTTGAAGAAGACGTAGAAAAGAACTTTTCACTACTCAAGGAACTTTCCGTGGCCTGCTGTGAGAAAACTCTTGGGCAACCCCTTGATGATGATGTGAAAGAGATCCCTTTCCTTGCAGACTTTGAGGCTGGTTTATGTCCAAAATTTATCTAGGCAAATAATAAACCCATTACCCAGCTGAAAATGCAAGCCATGTGTCCATCCATTCTCAACCCGGTCCAGGGGGCTTTGCTCTTGCTTTCCTTGCGATCCAACTTCCACACCGACTACCATGGTCGAAGGGGCGGCAAAGGTCACATCCGTGAATCTTGCTGGTGATATATAGATATTGGTATAATAATAACATATTTTTATTTTAGGCTAACCATAATTTATTTGAACCATTTGATCCAAAATTATTGCAACAAATTGGCTAAGGATTGGGCCAACTGTGAGGGGACAAAGGTGAGGAAACTGTTGACCTACTTGATCAGCTTGACAAATCGCACCCCTGAGAGCAGGACGTTGATATGCAGAAATCCAACTAGGTTCTGTTGTTTTTTCATTTTCTCAATTTTAAATTCCAACCTTAGAGTGGAGGAGTGAAAAGATCAAGATGCTGAAGAATATCGTTCTGCAATTCCGAAAAGCTCGTCAGGAGCAGGCCAGAAAAAAATAAAATTGTAACAAGCATCCTTACTTTTTTTGGCCATGCATGTGCCATGTCGGTATAATCCTCCATGCTCCAGGTAGAGGCTGCAGGATTGTCCGTTCCAATCGGTCTACCTCGAGCGCCATCAGAGGTCCAGTCTGGTGTGGTTGGGGTTGTGCTAGTAGGCAAGTGGGCATTTGCAGTGATATCATCTAGAACCTAACCCTAAGGATCCATGTATGGAATATTTACCTACATTGGGATTATTTTATATTACTTTAGGGGTCAATGTAGGTAAATATTCCATACATGGATCCTCTGGGTAATAACATGTGAAAGGATACTGGTCAAGCCAGCTGGCAGGACAATGTGGCTCTGGCAGTTGACTACGATGATGAACCCATCATTGTTTCTGTGACCATGGGGACTGGCCAGTCTCAACCTGCTGTCATGGTGAAATTGGAAGACAAACCGGATGAAATATGTGTCCCTTGTCTTTACGGATTGGTGTCATTATCAGTGTCATCAGATATATATATATATATATCATAATAAATATACATATTATATATATAAATATATATATATATATGTTAATAATATAAATATTTTACAGCTATGTATATATATATATGTATTACATATATACATATATGATATATGCATACATAAGGGCTATTCAATTTGAATTGGCTTCTTCTGATCCAAGGTTGAATCCCCTCCAGCAGAAGCTGAAACTGTTGCGGAGGCTCTGGGTGTTTTGGCTGGCCTCTTTTACTGGCCTACCATCCATGCATTCATACCTATCTACTATAGTTATATTTATATAATATGCTATCTCTCAAAACCTCCTTGTCTAAACATATACAAACTAGATTCAAATATATATGTATATATAATATATATGTTTTGCACACTGCTCGGACTCCATGCCCTATGCTCTAAGCAAAACACATTTTTTTGCACAAACCATCTGCCTGCTGGAGGCACACGACACTCAGATGGACGTTGACGAGAGCGACCAACCAGCAGCAGCTACTCCGGTTAAGGTTGACAAGGCTTTTATACCATATGCTGTTCGCATACGTGACTTTTTTGCTAGACACCCGGGGGCCTGCATTCAGGCTGGAAATCACATGTGCATGTTTTTTTGGCTGCATGCGACAAAATGATTTGTATGTAATTCAATGCATGTGTTTGCATGCTATATATATGTATGTGCTTCACACATTATGAAACATAGCAGAACAAGTTTGTGGCATTTCGAATGGGTGAGGTTACATATTTCTTGTGCCAGTTGCAGGCTGATCCAGAGCATGGTGCAACACCGAAGAGTTCTGAGCCTGACGAAGCCATACACCCTTCCTTGTTGGTTACTGACAAAGAATGGGAAGACATGCTGAATGATTCACAGGTGGATCCAGTCTCTATGGCTGTTAGGGGGCATCAGATTGATATCGATGGCCCCTCTTCGGTGACAGGGCTTCACAATGTGGAACCTGTTGATGTTGATGCAGCCAGCATCACAGCAGAAGCACCTGCATCACCGGCACACAAAAGACGCAAGAAAGCAGCTGAGCGCAAAGAACCCTTGATTGCAAACCCACCTTCCATACCAGGAGAGGTTTTGGCAGCATGCAAAAGTCAGATGGAGCAAGCTTTAGCTGACCGTGAAAGTGTTGGAACGAATGTTGAGTCACAGCGTGACCTCAAGAAACGGCTTGAAGAAGAGGAAAAGGAAAAAAAGGATGAGAAAAAGGAAGTAGCACAGCGCAAAAAAAAACAGCGGCAGAGAAGGCAGTTGAGAAAGCCCAAGAGAAACTTGCCAAAGCACAGGCAAAAGCACAGGCAATGGCTGAAAAGAACAAGAACAAGGGTAAAAGGACCAAGCGAGCATTGGATTCTGACTTCCAAGCTGTAGCGGACTCTGTTGAAACACATGGTGCTGCGGGTTCCACTAATCATGAACCCCCCGGCCCTGCACCTGAAGTGATGGCAAGCCCCAACCCGAAGAAGCGACCTCGTAGGAAAGCAACCGCATCGCCCAACATCAAGCTGTCTCCCAAGGCAAAGCAGTTTGCAGCATGCAGCGCTATGGCCAGCAAAACAGCGGCAGGACGGGCAAACAAAGCAAAGGACAACCTGAACCTCCTCCGTGACTTGAACATCCCTGACTTGCACGTGCCCACAGGTGAGTTTGCCAAGAAGAAACTCTCTTGAATTTATGTTTGTTTTAGAGTAGTATGTGCAAGTGATTCATGTGTGCAGTCAATTTTGCTGAATGTTTCTGACAAATGTGTCACATGATTTCTTTTTCCATCTTGTGTGTGCTATTGCATGCGCTAAGGAGCTACACCGTCAGTGACCCCAAGAGCTCGGGATGTCCTATCGGAGTGGTCCTGTACCAATCTGCCTTTTTTGTAGGCAAAGCCAACCATGATATCAGCATGGAGCTTCTAGGTAAGGCTCCTTACCCTACTGGCGGCATGCAGATTGGATGGGACGGTGATGTGACCAATGCGTACCCCTAGCCTGTTTCAAGATTTTGCAAGCAAGTGGTGCACATGCTGTTGCAGGAGTATCTCAAGAATTAGAACATGCAACAGTGCTGGTCGATGTAAGTTTTATGCATATGTTAGCTCCTCTTCAATCATTGCTGGTGAAAGTAACACCTGGGCTTTGTTATCGAGTAGATATGTCTCAAAAACAGGGGTATCCCGAAACCTTTGAATTTAGGTCTAATTGTCATGTTTTTGGATTCCCTCTCTTTACATTTGACAATTCCATAATATATTATGCATATATACATATATAATATGTTTCATCTAGATTGAATTTTCTATATGCTTGTAGCAACAACTATGAGACCTTGTTCTTGCCAGGTGGGACATGGCCAAGAAGATTGCCATGTGGTCGACTTCGGTCTGAGATGGCTGATCCTGCAGTAATCTGTAGATTTTTCGGACTATATGGAATATGCAAATTAAGTTGATCTGGGGCTTACGCACAGCATAGACACGAGTTGAGTCTACGGGTTGATATCCTATGGGTTGATATCTAGGTGTCTCAAACGTTTTAACACATGTGCTCATTTATGATCCGTGCATGTGGCCAGTAGCTGGAATTTACAAGTTTGACAGATTTTGACACCTGTGGCTCACTTGGTGAAGCTGTGGCGAATGCCATTTTGTAGCGGGTTGTGGCAATAAGTTTTGCCCTAGGTTTCTGAGCTTGTGGTGAGGAAGGACTTCAAAATGGGTTGGGGTCAGTGCCATTGAGCAACTCCACGAAATATAGCTAGACACACATGCAAACAATAATATTATTTGTTAATGCATTTGTACTTATACTTATCTGATTTTGATTCGGAGAGGACGGCCTACATAATGCAGCATTTTGTTCATTTGATTTCGAAATCACAATCTTGATCTATTAATTCAATATCCCACACCTCCCATCAGTGGTTCCACCAAGAGCCGGGTTGCACAGTGCGCATTCCCCACGCAGGTAGATCATCCAGTTCATCCTCAGCATCAAGCAGCAATCATGCGCTGGTTTTGCGTCCAGGTGGGAAGTGGGGAGGGATCTTGTGTGTGTAATTGCCTAGCCCCAGAGAAAGTTATTTTTTGTAGAAAAGTACACCAGCTTGTGACCCAAACATGGACCAAATAGCCCTGTTCATATGAGTTGTGACTATATCTAGGTTTTCTTCCTGTGGGGTTGGGGTCTGCTGCAGGTGTGAAAGAAAGATCATCGTCTCCATCAGGTGCGACTCCCCCCTACCACGTGGGTTCGGGAAAATTGGGTACAGATATTGAAAGGTTTCTAAAATCAAATTGGTAACAACTAGTCTGCAATGCAATGGTAAGTGCAGAAGCATCAGTATTTCACATTTTGGCTGCAGCAAAGCTCCAAGCTGGGACAGATTTGATAGTGCCTTTCATGAGAAATAGTTTTATCCAACCCCACAGCAAGTCATGTGATGTGCAGAAACGCATTAGGACTCAAACCTTTCCTGAAGAATGTTGCAGCAACATCCTATCCAAATTAATTCCGAAATACTTCCTAGGAAAATGTTTGGATCCAGGGGAATAGTGACCAATCCACCAAAACATTAGCCAAGTTGTATCAGCCATGCCTCGCCGATCCCCTCGCCGATCCCTTCACATGTCGAAGCTCCAGATAGCAGTTTTACTTTGTCTTGGAGCACCTCCAGTCCTGATTCTTGGGCCAAAACATGGATGATTGTAGATTGCTCTACCTGGGATCAACATACATTTGTATGGTATATATTTCCATAAATATTTGTATAAATTATGTGTGTGTAAGCGAAAAGTATATCTAATAATATTTATAAATATATATTTTATGCATGTTGTGCGTGTGTGTGCGTCTGCATGTTGTCTGCAAAGTTTAGGCAGTTCAATTTGAATTCTCTTGATGCATTATTCTATCATATTTATATATATACATGTATATATATACACATGTATATTTTTTTGCACACACATGTATAATATTCCTCCTGGGCCTCAGGGTGCATCTTCTGGACTTTGTGGCCCAGAATGCATCAAGTGACTGCTTCCGGGACTGGGGGTTGGTAGGGACTCGCCAAGGTGGTAACCTATACTATATGTTGTATCCTGATCGATGTGATTAGTAATACCTTACCAGTATACCCGATCCAGTCAATACCCAGAGGATCCATGTATGGAATATTTACCTACATTGACCCCTAAAGTAATATAAAATAATCCCAATGTAGGTAAAAATTCCATACATGGATCCTTAGGGATAGCATTTAGATTTTTAAAAGTGCCAAATTCGGCTGCAAGGCCATTTTATCCTTGCATCAAACCACTTAGTCATGGATCAGCATGACCCCAAACATATTCTCTCTCTATATATATATGATGTATATATATTTTAAGTTTTAGTTAGAACAGGACATCCACTGAGTAAGATCATTTCCTGCCTGCAGGATTTGTGCTGCGCCGAATTCTATTCTGGAATTGGTAGTGTGGTGTCAGGTTTTCGATCCTTGGCTGATACTAGTTTTGCCCATGGTATCATATATATATAATATGATAAAATTTCATTATTAAGTGTTCGCCGATCTATATATCAACTTTTAGCAGAAGTCATCCTTCATATATGCACATTATCTATCGATCATGTCTGTTCGAGACCTAAACGGTTCAAGATGATCACAATTTAAACATTCTTCTGTAGGCCCCTAAGTGCCCCAAAATAAGTTTAAGCTGTTTTTCTGGGGGAAGCCATATACTATTGATTAAAGTAATGAGCAACTTGATCTTTCACTCATAGTGTAGTTCCCCTCAAACCTGCATATGTATTGATCTGTTTTGCTGAAATTGGTTCATGTTGAAAGCAGCCCCATAAATCGTCAAAATTTTGCCAGCCGTGCCCAGGATCTGCCGGTGCAACAGCGCATCTTGGCTTTGACTCCCGGGCTGGGAGCAGGGTTGGACCGAGTCACTGGTTGAAATCAATCTCGAAATTGAAGATTCTCCTGCAGTGCAAATTTCCATGCATGGCCCCAGGCAAGGCTTTGATGTGGCGAATGATGCCCTGCAGGATATCAACCTTATCATTGGGTTTTTGAACTCATTGAAGCTGCTGCTCCGGGTACAGGAATTTGGACTTTGCTGGCTTGCAGTACCCTGCAATTCTTTTTCATTCATGAGTATTTCTCAGCACATGAGATCCTTTTTGAAACCCTACGGGGATCTTACCTTTGCCTTTGTGCAAGCTGGAAATTGCATATGCACTCGTTCGTGCATGTTAATCTTAGTTGCGCTGGCACGCAACGTAGTGTGGATGATCGAAAACCCCCTTCGAAGCAGTCTTGATGTATGGCCCTTTCTCAACCATATCATTCATCAACAGTGGTTGGGATGCCATCGCACCTCATGGTAGGGTGCTCAGCTGGCTTAATTACATGTGCTGTATAGAACAAACCAGTGCATATCGAGCAATGATTTATCTTCTATATAATATGCATATATGTGTATATTCTGCGGGCGTGATGTGTTTCCAACTCAGGTCAATGGGGTTCTATGGTGGTTGGAGCGTCAAACCACAATTGGGGATTTCTAATGCGAGACTTGGATTCAGGACATTTGAGAAAAATTATGCACTATCATAGGGGTGTATGACTTACTCATCAATTCATATATATATATGTATAAAATTGGTGTCCTATTTAAGAAAATCATTTCTAGTTGACTGGGTCTGTGTGCCTGAAGAAGCTTTTGTTGGGGAACCCCCAAAAAAGGTTAAAGTGTTGTCATTGGCTAAGCTTATAACAGTTTGCATGGGACTCAAATTTAGAAATTTGTCCCCACACACTGGCATAAACTGGCAAGACCACTGCAACATTATGTTATATATATATATATTGGCCTGCTCTCAGGATTTGGGCGGGCTACCTCAACCAAACACTTTCAGGGACAGACCGCAAAAAGCTGAAGGACAAGGCTGAGAGCATGGATCGCCAAATGGTGAAAGTTACCATTGGCAAAAATGGTAAAAAATCAGTGACCGGTACTCAGCATTCTGGAGACCTTTGCAAAAAATAGCATCGGAATTATTAGTTTCATGCCTTGGGTGGTGTTGGTTACCCTTTTAAGGAGCGGAGGCAAGGACATGAAATTGTCCCAGCAGTATCCACAAGCTTTTGGACGTGAAGTGGCGAACTTGCATTTGGGATATATGTCATCTGACCCTTGGGATTCAGTAATATGCAACATTCTTGTTTATTTTACATCACTTTCTGAATCAATATTTTTGTGTGCATCACATCGGCGACTGATGACAATCCTTATTATGGTTTCATTTGAACTGTGGGTTGATAAGCAAAAGCACCAAAACCACAACAAGAGCATGACAAGGGAGAGCTCAGGTTTTGGTGTTTTTGCTTCTAGGTCCACCATTCAATATATGTACATCAACCTCATGTTTAAACAGTTCCCCAAAATCATCTGCTGGTCAAACTAAGGAATCGCCACGGTGCCCAGATCTTCATGGATTTATCAAATCTATGGGTTTCAAGGAGATATTTTTTCAAGTGGTACATGATATGTATTGCCCATGCATATGCATAGGGATGTTTCTATTTGAAGTCTCTATGATCAAAAAATAGTTTCCAAGCCAGGGTGAAAGCAAATAAAATGTTTGAGTTGCAGCTAGCCCAAACTAGAAGCTTGGATGGGTGTTACTAAAGTGCGCCTCCCAAACATTAAGAATGGGGTGACAATCAACCACTTTCCACGGCATTGTCTTGATGGGGGTACTGGCCTTTTGGTATCTCAGGCAAAAATACACCAGAAAAAAAATGATAGGATTGGATAATTTTTTCCCTTTTGTGCACATGTCAGGCAAAATGGCAAGTTGGTCTTGAGCGGGGTCTTTTTATAGATTTGATAGCCTTCAGGGAATTGGACACTAAGAATAAATCAATCAGGGATCTCCAATCTCACAGGGAGTAGCCATAAGCTCAGATTTAAGGATCTCCAGCCCCACAGCCGTTTGTGCCTGATGCTCCAGGAGCCACCGCCCAATTGCTGGGACTTCGCCCAACTCCAGCCATTCCTGGAGTTTATCAACTGTGCCATTGCTACTGGGAAGCTGGTACCGGATCCCCTGGTGCCAGTGCAGATCGAACCAAGTGAGAGGGTAGCTGAAATCGCACGACAGCGATATTTAAATGGGATGACCTAACATAATTATACAGCCTAGCTATAGTGCTTTGCATTTGAGGGAATCCAAAAGCCTCTGGGAAAAATCCTAAGGCATGTGTTTGAGATTCCATTAATTATTTGAAATTCAGCAGATGTGGGTGCCCTAGCTAAATAATATATATATATATATATCCAACACAACGATCCGTGAAGTGTTGCCTGTTGATTTCCAAGGGCTTTTACCCGCACAGCAATTAGATGATTACCTGAAACAATCTGACAAAGCGGACAAAAAGACAATATGATTTGTGCATGCATTAGAAGCCCAAGAATTGATTTATAAGCTTGCAATAGCTGGATAGATCATATGTTGCCAATGTCAAAAATTCAAATATCGCAGCCCATTTTGTTCGACCCTTTGAGCTTGACTGGGGTGTTGGTGCTGACAACGCCCTGGCTGATTGCAGGATGGGTTCTTCTGCTGTGGCTTTGTGTTTTGGAGATATTTCAAAACATGATGTGCCCAAATTATGCTTATGAGACTATGCTAGGTATCCCCTAGCTAGGTAAGGGAATATCTATTAAAATTTAAAGGTATGTCTGGGATCCCATATTGGCCATATTTTTGGTAGCGTAACTAGTGCGAAAAAAAAACAAATAAAGACATTTCCATATTCGGGTTTTATTTCCACATCTGGTCTGGGTTTTAATTTCCATGTGGAATCAAGATATGACAGCTTCCACATTTCCACATTGATATATATTATTTCTCAAAAAAAAACCTGGAATTCCAGAAAATAACTTCCACATTTCCACATTTGGTTTCTATATTTCCACATGTGGCATGAAATTGATGATAGATAGCTTCCACATTTCCACATTTGGTTTCTATATTTCCACATGTGGCATGAAATTGATGATAGATAGCTTCCACAGTTTCCACAGTTGGTTTGCAGTGCCACATGTGGATTCAAATATATTTTCCACATTTTCATAGAACATTATTTATTTTCTGAAATTTCTATTTCCACATGTGGAATCAAACATTATCTTCCACATTTCCAGATCTATTTTGTTTTTCGATTTATATGTCATCAGTTTGGAAATGTGGAAGTTGAAGGTTCCCTATTTGGATCAGCAGTATTTGATTTCCACATGTTAAATGTAAACAAATTTTTTGATGGGTTCCAGATATAACGTTCGAATTCAATAAGAAACAGTTGGATGTAGCAAATTTCATATGCGTTAATTTAGCGTTATTTTGCGTGCAAAGACCGTGCTGAGGCAATTCTGGACGTTATTTTGCGTTATTTTGCGTTAGCCTGGGGGGGGCCCTCTTAGCCATTGAAAATGGGGTTGGTTTCCTTGTGAGGAGATATGCCAAGTGAAAGATCGATGATGACGGCAGCGAAAACTAAAGCTTCACCCGGGGGTTCAGAGGCCATGGGGAGTTTACCATACAGCTGCCTATGTTCAGGTGTTGTTCAGATCATATTTTCTTAAGGTTAATGTGAAAATCATTTAATACTGGCAATATATATATATATGTAATATATATATATGTAATATATAATATATATAATATTTAATATATATAATATATATAGACATATAATATATATATATGTATATATATATATATATATTTATGTATATATATATATATGTGTTATATATATATATTATATTCTACAGTTTATATATATATATATATATATGTTTTAAAGGTTTCGATCAAAACCCATGTTCATCACATCCTTTTCCCCTTTCCAGTCCTGGAAACAGGCGAGTGCGAAGTCGCAGTCCTCGGCAGAATCGTTCAACTTCAATGCAGAGATGGGCAATTTGACCAAACGGTTGGAACTTGCCAAGATCAGTGCTAGTGCTGGACAGTCTGAGGGTTGCTTGGTTGGAATCAAAAGAATCATACCTCAAGGAACAGTGACATGCTCTGAGACACCCATCAAAACTATTCAGGCAAAAATGCTCCCTTTAAAAGAGATAGTAGTGCTTAGCTTCTACCAGCAATGCTTTCCATTACATTTTAACTACCTTGTTTGGGTCACTTCCACTAGTGCTACATCAATTAGTGAGTCGACCAATGGAGATGTTGTCCATCTTCATCAGCTTCCGGGTCTGTAGGCGAGTCAGCTTCCATTGAGCCAGTGCAGCTCACATAGGCTGTGTTGGCAGTAGGCCCATTGTTCTTGGAATCTCTGTTGAGCTGATTCTCGAAGTTGTGGTTGATATGATGGTTCATAACATCCATCAGGAATGTTGTGCGCTCAAACACTGATCCAGCAAGGTGTGAAACCCAAAGCTGGAGCGGATCATCCTGTCGCCACACCGGTCCGTGCTGCATCTGGAAGGAAGCATCTTCGTGATAATGGGTTGGCAAAACCTAAAGCCTTGTTTACACCTACCAAGAGTCCTGAGCACAAGAAGACCAAGCATGAGATTCACGAGGTACCAGATTGAAAAACTTTGTTGGTTATTAATTAATTACGTTGTTTCATCTGTACTGTATTTAGTGATTCATGACTTTTGATTTGGTTGTCAATTCTATTTCTGGAACTTACTCAGCCAGTGGCTGAACTTCAAACTGTGTTTTAATCTTCAGGTACTTTTGGACAAACAGTTCAAGTTGTTTTTGATTTTGGGGCAACCAACGGAAGTTAAAAGTCCTTATGGGTCATTTTGAAGGGTGCCCTTTTTTAAGAGTTTTAGGGTCCAAACAAGGGTAAAAAGGGCACCACCAATCAATGCTTATGTAGAATTTCAACTTCTGTTGAGAGGGTACCTGGCCATTCACTGTTTTTTTGGTGGAGCTTCAATATGGGAATTTCCCAAAATAAGGGTTGCCCAAAAAGTTTTATGTTACACTAAAAATTTCCCTCCTGGGCCCCCTATTTTGAGATAATAATATATATAAATATATATAAATATAATAAATAAATAAATATATATATAATATTTATATATATATATATATGTGTAGTTGTATTTCCATGGACCCAGATATATATAAATGATATAAATCGGAGAAGGTACTTGAGCCCCAAGAACCAAACCCCCAAATACTTCTTCAGAAGTTACTTGAATCCAGATATATTAAGATATACTTAAATCTCTAAATCACCCCTTCAGCTTAACATTAATACAATATTATTGAATTAAATATCTACTTTTTGGGGCGGGCGAAACCGCTGGGATCTCCATCGCCTTTCCCCATGCATACAGGTGGCAGGTCCTTCTGGATCGCATCCTGTGGCACCTGCAGTCGAATCAGGGCAAGGTATGTTGGCTCAAAGTCTGGTTTCAGTGACCCAATGGAAATGTTTTGTGTTCTATTAAAATGGTTTGTGTAACAAATTCAAAGGGGAAACATTAATGCCTATAGTCTTGACTTCCCATTGGCATTTAAAGGTGGTTCTGGTGATCCTATCTTTTTGAGAAGTACGATGTCCATGACTACATTGCCTTTGGGTCCCAGCTGGGAAGACCCCTCTTCGCTGGTGCAGAAAGACTTGGAGATGGCCACTAAGTGTGACAAATCCCTGGCTGACTTTTTGTTTGGGAATGACTTGGCCATGTTGGACGACCCTATTGAAAAGCATGTCTCGAACATGATGCAGTGGATTAAGGTGAGAGGCCCCCAAGTGCCACCACTTCATGCCCCCGGTCATGTAGAGGCCATCGCTGAGATTTGGCGTTTGATCCGTACTCACGATGTGGGACTGGAGGACTTGAACAAGTTCAGAGAAGAACATGACAACCTTTGCCAGCACATTCCCAAGGCAAAGGAGCACCAGCTCATCAAGATGGGTGGGCGGTCTGGTGTTGTCAGCTCCACAGTCCGGCAGAAAATTGAGGAATGGGCCAACCAAAAGATTTTAGCTTCTCATAGCAAGGTTTCTTCCCAAGAATCGGCCGTAGTGGAGATGCACAAGGCAGCTCAGGTGGCTTGTGACAAGGTGTTGAGTTCAATTCTAGGCTCCTGCCATACACCGCAACCCCATGATGATATCGATGATTCGCTTATGGCTGAGCTCGATGACTTTATGAACATGAATTTTTGGGATGGAGATGGTGCTCAACATGAACCCCCAGTTGAACCCCCGGTTGAACCCACGGTCTTGGATGCTCCTACGTTGGCTTTGAGCTATGTGATGTCCCTTGAAGATGGCCCCCAGAAGTCAGCTTTGATGGCTGTGTTGGAGGTGGCACAGACTACCCCCAAGGTGGGCTCCAATCAAATAACATTTGTTGGTTCCCCATTATATAGTTAATAAACATGTACATGTAAATAATAAGGTGTTTTTCAAAAACCAACATTTTTATAGATATGATAGTTTACAGTTCCATTTTACAATGATTGGTCCCCATACCAGGTGATTCCAGATGACTCGGTCTGTCCCTCCCCTGCTGATGCACCTCGGGTTGAAGCGGAAGTTGGAAAGGCAGCTGATCAGCAAACGGTGCCTGAGGTGGCAGCGACAGAGCTTACCAGGAAAGACACGACCCAGCTGGAGGCCTACAAGTTGAACACATCACATCCAGGGCACTTATATAATAACTATTTAGTTTGATGTGGGGATTTAAACATACGTACATATATAATATAATATATATATATATGGATGAATCAGCTGCATATCAAATATATGCATTTATGTCAAGAGCTTTGTTTCGAAATATATTATTGTAATCTTTAGCCATCCTGTCAATCCTTAAGGGGATATGAGTCAAACAATATCACAGTACCCCCCTCATAAGGAGAGACCTACTGCTATGCTCTGTTTAAGTTGGTTAGCTTTGACTACCCCAGGCAGAGGCTGCACAGAAATCGTTGGTCGAAAAATATCGAAATGATCCTGACGCAGTCTTTCTTCCAGGGGGTGGAGTCAAATTCATAGGTCCTGATGGACGAGACGAAACGGAAACAGAACATTTGGCGAGACTTGATCACAACTCAAGAATGAGGTTTACGAGGAGTGTGCAAGGCAAGGGGCTACAACAACCTCGCAATGAATTCCCAAACGGTTCTACAACTTAACATGTTAATGTAAAATGATATTTCAAATCATATAGTACTTTACCCGGGATAGATATTAATGTCATTGTATAAATCCCTGAGGACCTGGTTGTCCACAAGCCATCGTGGAGCTGTGGAAGAAGAGAAAGGAAAGTATCTTATCGTATATATATGCTAGTGTGAACAACATTTTTTGTTTGGGTAATCCATTCCTCAAGTTGGATTTTTTTCATATATAAAAAAATGATCAACTGAGACAAACTTCTTTCCGCATTGTATGAAGATTGGCTGCAATCCAACGAAGATTGGATGCAGTCGTCCCTATATGTGCGCATGAACACCAGCAACTCCCAGAAGCGACGTGGAAAACATGTGCTTCTACCCTACTTGGAGGTCAAAAAGAAGTTCGGTGCATTGATTGCATCAAATATCCTGACTGAGAAGAAACACCTTGAGGCCAATAAGCCCAAAGGGGATTCCACCATTTATTGGATGGAACACCCCGAAGCCAAAGGAAACGAAGAAACTATGCTGGACAATAAAGAAACTGTGCTATTTCCATTTAATGACATATATATACCCTTAGCTTGTGTTGGGTGCCCTTTCTGCCCCCAAGGGTTTCTGTGCCTTCTGTCCATACAGCTTCACTTTCCCCACGCGCTTAGGATTGGCAACTCCTTAGGGTGTGGGATGCCATGGAGTTCGAAGAGGAGCACAACGAAACTGTGGCCCTGGGATTGGAAGCCTGTGGTGATTTGGATCCTTCACAAACCAAAGCTGTCTTGTAGCCAGACTGGCCCTTCAATCAAGTTGTACAACCAAACATTTTTCATTTGCCATCTATCCCATAGGATCCATGTATGGTATATATGCTAACATTTGGGGTATATTGATGGTAAATGTTACCATAGCATATATAGCATACATGGATCCTATGGGTATAATATTTAAATATAACCAATGACATTTAGTGCAATATTGTGTCCAACAACGAAGAAACATATCTTAGGCAGGGCTTGGTGCCTCAATTGGACAAGTTGAAGGCGGTTTCGTTTGCAGCTGCTGGTACCGAAGGCAAGCCAAAACCCCAGGAGGATGACAACAAGAAGAACCCCAAGGTAAAACCCATGTCAAAAAGGGTTAGCACCAGCATCTCTCAGTGTTCTTCAAAGATGACCGAGATTTTGTCGTGGCAATCGAAACTTGCAGAGAACAAATCGGGACTGAATCTCGGTAGACTAATTCTGGAAAGCATATGCTTGGTATATGTTGCATTTACGGATTCTGGAACTATGAGCATGTACATTTCTTGTATCCCAACTGGTGGCCTTTTCCTAGGACTGATGTCTTGGTGAAAGGATTCAAGGATGAGCTTGACACCCGCTTGGGCGACATCAAGGCTTCCAGGTTGGAGTTGGAGCGACTGTTCGCCCTTCGAATCTGTGATACCGTGATTGATGAACCCGAGAATTCCAAGGTGAAGGAAGAGTGCTTAAAGGCCATTCGTGGTTGTGAAGCGTGCTTTACCAGTTACAATGGGTCTGTGCGTTCAATCAAGAGTGTTTTGGAAACTGTGCTAAATTTATTTGGCAAGAAAGACTCACCAAGACTAATTTGATTCTTCTACAATTCGTCAACTAAAATGTAAACGCCATCCTAAATTTCATTATTGTGCCCGGCCCCCATATGAATCCAAACACCTAATTTTATATATATATATATATATCCCTAAGGATCCATGTATGGAATATTTACCTACATTGGGATTATTTTATATTACTTTAGGGGTCAATGTAGGTAAATATTCCATACATGGATCCTCTGGGTATATATATATATGTACTTAGCCTTTAAATGATATCAGATTACTCTCCAAACACTTCCTCAGAAGGTACTTGGACCAAAAATATGGCAAAATCATCCCCTCATATAGCCTCTGGACTTTAACCTTGTTTTTGGCTTTTTGGGATCCAATCCTTCCCATCCTCGCCGGCCAAGGAACCGACAAAGCCGAAAGCCAAGGCGAAGGCCAAGGCAGCTCCTGCCCAGCCAGGAGAGGGGGCACCAGCTGAGTGATCTTTTGTTTGAGATGTGTGGCAGCCGGTCTGAGGTAGGGTAATCCTTACATGTGACCACCAGACCCCTTAGCCGGACATGTGGGTTTGGCAAAATATCGAAAATGCATTCCTCTATATGCGTTAACCCGTTCATCAATATAATGACATGGTGTATGTAATATTACACACATTCAACATGTGACTGCTTCCGTGAGCCGATATCTACAGCTGGATGGGGTTTGACGATGGCTTCCAATAGTTTTGGATACTTGCTGGGGCAAGCCGAAGTTGACAAACATGTTGAGCTCGGTGAAAAAAGGTGCAGTATGGGGCATTTGTTTTGCCCATGCGGGGTGTGGCCAATGCCTTCTGGAACGGTTCAGTGACATAACAAAAACAAATACACACACATATATATATATTATTGTATATATACATATATGGATCCAAGTGCCTTCTTAGGAAGTAGTTGGGGTATGATTTGGATGGTCAAATTCCTTCTCAAACAGTGTTTGGATCCATTTATATATATATAGATAGATATCATGATTTAGCACATCAATAGGTTGGTTGCTGAACCTGAGACTGAATACCCACGCAGGTCCCAACTTGGCTGCAGCCAAGTCTTCGCCGCTATATGCTTTCTTGATGAAAGAAGCTGGCTTGGGAGAATCTTGGTTGCATGTGGTCATACTGGGTTGCATGGGCTTTGCCATTGAAGGTTAACCATCGCGATGAAAAAATATTTTTGAGAAATCTTTCAGAAAACAGGTCATCAGGCCCAAGCTTGGGAAAAAACAATCACAAAGAACATGTTGTTAAACACCTCTACATCGAGGTAACTTCATTTGCGAAAACCCAGAAGATGCTCACCTATGTGGACAAGGAGTGCTCATTAGGTATTGTCAAGTTTTGATTTACCCATCACCAGCAGATACCAAATCCTTACCTGAGAACTCAAATAAGGATAAGAACTTTGAGAAGTGTGCAATAACCTTCAATGCATATATATAATATATAGATATATCATTATTCTAATACTGGACTGGATGGTGCCCCATGTTTTTCCCTCTAGCTAAGCCTTGATGCCCCACATCGCACCTGGATGGCAGGAATTTCGACTCCATGGGGTGCAATGGCAGGGCCCATGCAAATCCTTGCAGCATGCGGGGTGCAAAGGCAAGTACACATCGAATGTACAGCGGGACATGCTACGGAAAGTGGCTAGGAAAGATCCCCATCAGGCCAGATATAAATGGGTTTGTTTTTGTACTAATGCATAGTTTTTTTACGAAATATTTTTCTGGGTCAAACAAAGGATCAAACCCAGCTGCCTGTACTCATGTGAATCTTATCCCACCCCCAAATGGTTCCAAATATGTGTAAATCATTCGGTTTATTGGGTATGCTTGTATGTGCTATTTTTAAATTTGGGGAAGGGATATAATTCAATTGCATTAAGTCTGACTTCAACTTCCCTTTGGAGGTGCAAATCGATTGGGTAGATGATGTGCCTTTACAGACAACACGAGGGCCAAATGGTGTTGAAACCAGGACTTTCAGTTGGAATGGAAAGGGCATGGCTCAATATGTTTTTTACTGGCTCAGGCTGTTCCAAGTCAGTCTGTCTATTTTGCCCTTCCCCTGCAGGAAACATCCAATAGTTCTACCCCACAACGTTGTTGCTGATTGGCCTGAAATCAAGGAAGCTGATGTCCGTGAGTACTGGAACCATCTTGCCCAACGAAAATCACCTTTAGCAAACATCAGCCCGGAGAAAAACCACATACCACTTTGGCTGTGGGGCGATGAATGTGAATTCAGGGAGAATGGGGAGGAAATCATGTTGATAGCATTTGGATGCGCCATCGATCCCAGAAAAAACAGCACAGAGTGTTGCTTTCCCCTTTGCCTATGTCGCACTGAAACTTATATTGTGTTGATGTACAGTAAGTTTTGTATTTCTTTGACACATGCATTTCTAGATTCTAGAGTAGAGAGTTGAAGCTTTATGATAGCAAACCCATGCATCCCCTTGGCCATGGGTTTGCCAAGGAGATCAACGCAGGAATTCCAACAGTCTTCAAACTACTGGAAGCAGCGACTTGTCTTGTTAATGTTGCAGTGGCTCAGCACCTCTTGTCCCCCAAGCCCAACGGTTTTTTTTCCAGGAAACCATGGAAAGCTGCACTGCCATCTGTTGCCATTGCAGCGGATCAGGTGGTGGACTCCCTATGCCTTCTCTACAATGATGGAATTAGCATTGACCCTGAGAAGGCCAACTTGCGGTATGCTGTGACTGAGATCCGTGGGGACTGGAAGTGGCAAAAGGTTCCTTCTTCTACATTTTCAGTTTGATGTTGGATGTTGTTTTATGTAGATTTTTGGGTCGACCTATGGGCCCAAGTACTTTCTGGGGAAGCATTTAGGGTATGATTTGGGAGGCCAAATATCTTCTCAAGAAGTACTTGGATCCGACTGTAAATATATATATAATATTATGCTTAACAATATTTATACAAATATATAGATATATGAATTCTCAAACAAGTTGACCACTTTGTTTGGATTTCGTATCATCCAGCTTCAGGACTGGCTGCAGCTATCGTGCAACTACCTGGCCAAATCCGTTTGCCACTGCTGCCATGCTAGCAAGCCTGATTACTTTTCAGCACCTGCACGTTTACACACCAAGTTCCGGCATGACACGCAGAGTTTCCTCCTGGAATGCCTCAAAGATGGTGTGCGAAGACACCCTATTAGTTTCAATCACCTTTTATTTTCATAAATTTGTGTGTTTGATTGTTTGATTTGATAACGATATGGGTTTTTGTATGGGTATACAAATCTCTGAAGCTTTCTCTGAAGCTTAAGGGTTGAGATTGACCGGTGAAACCCCTAGCTTAGGTCCTTTGCTCCGACTTCCATCTTTTGACATCAAAATGTTGAAGTGGGATGGTATGCATACGATCAATTTAGGTGCTGACCTATGGATCTGTGGTGGTGTTTTTAGGAAGCTCCTAGAGTATGACGATGTCTTTGGTGGTCTTGAGATGGATGAGGGTGACAGATTGCTTCTTGCGTACGATTGCTTTAAGGAGTGGGCGAGAAAGAACCATGTACAGTACATTTTGGTTTGATTTCATGCCCGAAGTTTGTTTATTTTGCTTCAATTTTTTGGTATATGCTCCCAAAGGTTCAACTTCCAAAACTGTTTGTTTTTTCCATATTCCTGGGAACTGCCCAAATAAGGCACTCGATGCCGAAATTTCGGCCCTGGAGATTGAGGAGCAAACAGCATCCCTGGCCGGAACTCCAGAGCAAGGCTTGGAATGTGCCAGGGTTTTGAACTATCCTTATTCTTTTGAATTTCTTGCAACCCTTTGGGGCAAGGTTTGGAAATTGTTTTGTCCAATATCCCAAGGAACAGGTTTATTTAATTCGAAGCCCAGGTTGTTGCAACCCCAGCCTTTGACCTACCTGCTGAGGCTAGATGTGTAGTTGCCTGGCTTTGTGAGTACACGATTGAGTTTGCAAAGGCTCATCCTGGTGACCGATGGTTGTCCTTGATGGCAACAATGCTGTTGCTTGGTGATGCGACCTGTTGACTTTATAATACTAGTTATATTTGTAAATGTGTATACATATTTTTTAAAGTACCTAGGGATCCCACACATGCGCCGAGCAGATGTTCCACAAACCGTGTGGTCAAGGGCGATCTTTTGTTTTAATTTCTGAGGTTCTATGCTGCTGAGTGGCATCGCAAAACCGAACTTCTTCCCAGGTATCTCACAGAATCTCAGGCACAGGATTTGCAAAACATCTCTGACGAATGTCTTCTTGCGTATGCAATCTTATCGAACATGGCTGTGGAAGCTGGTGTGCTACTTTTTCCCAGTCGCCCAAAGCTACATGTTTCTCAACTCAAGGGATTGGGGGTGCAGGTGCTTGGGAATATCAGTATACCTACTAAACCTATGGGGTAGCTAGATAACATGTTTTTTTCCCATGTGCAGGTCAAGTTGTCCACTTGAGCATCCTTGAGCCATGGCAAGCCAACCGAGGCTTGGCAGGAGCTGGCGCTGCAGCAGTTGGAGGAATGCCACAGGGTGGCATTTTCACAGTTGTGTTTTCAAAACCACCAAAGATTAAAAGATATTATGGGGGACCGGGTCAAAATCATAGCAAGGGTTGACTTATGTTTGGTCAAACTTGATAAAACATACTTAGGCTACAACCATCGTTTCTTCAGTGGCTACAAGCCAGAGGACTTCATTGGCAGGATTGCCATTGTGTGCCAATCTGCCAACAACAGCAAAGTTGAGTTCATCGCGTTGAAACGATTTTACCTTGGGCCCCTGAACCCATCTTCAGATCAAAATGTTTGAGTTTGTACATGTTTTTTGTTGGCTAGGCTATGATTACCCATTCAAACATGTTTGTCTTTCGATGATATGGATCCATCAAGGCAAAAGAGTCACTTGGACCTTGAGCACTGGGATGACTTTAGTGATGACAACTAATTTGTTCCTTGCCCTGGGTATCCCAATCTTTATATATGATGAATTGTGCTTAAATATCAAATTGTTTGGTTGCTGGTGGCCCTGAAGATGATGCTGGATGCCCAGGGATACTGCAAGTGCTTGCGTAAGTGATGCGTAGTGCTGGCAACGCGAAGAAAAACATTCGGAGATGCCACTGGCTGGACTGGGTGGAGGGGCAGGCTATGTAGGGGTTTCCCCGTTTCCTGTGAGCACTGTCTTGGAACAAATCTTTCCCGAAACCCTTTCTCAAAGGATTAGATTGTGGAACATCTGCTGAGCGCATGTTTGGGATCCCTAGGGACTGTGTCGAAATGGACCCCGAGGAAGATAGGTGGTACGATTATGAAAGTCCTCCATGCCGGTATAATCATGGCTTCTCGTATTATTCCGTCCCTGACACTCCCCGTGCTGTTGCGTATCAACAGAAGATGGTGAAAAACACTGGATTCACTCACATTGCATGATCCAAAAGGATCCAGATGTACAGTGCCAATGTTCAGTTCACAAACCTACTGAATCGGAACTCTGCCAGCACTTATTGGTCGCCTTCGTGTTTTCATTGGTCACTTGTCATCTGGGATCAACAGTACTAGATGAATCCTATGAATCCGAAGAGTGAAGAGGATGGCTATACCGCCCTTAAATAGATATTGAACATAGCCATTTTCATAGGGAAAATATGGGAAAATGATGACCATTTGTCAACAAACCAATGGATACAATATCCGATACAATGGGCAAAGCACTATTCTCAGACCCAGATAGATATCTTGGTGGCCTCCAAGGCCGGAATCTGAGAACCTCCAAGATGTTTTGTGTGTTCATTATAGCAACCAACAGAGAGTAAAGTGGATACCTGGAAATAATGAGGGACATGTCTTCGAACTACCATCCTTGAAACACTGTTCAGTTTTTCAGTATGTATTATTATTGATTACTATAGACCAAGTTTTTCGAATTATACTCCCAGCTCGTCAAACTTGAAACCCAACTTTCCGTCTAATGAAATAAACACCATAGTGAGAAACCCACGTCATATTCATATCCCTGACTGATTTTCCATATCCATATCACAATCCATATCGAATCCACTGTATAACAATCACATATATATATATATATATTTATTTATTTATTTATTTACAAAAACATACGTATCTATATTATACATATATTATACCCTGAATATTATAAACATGTTATACATATATTTTACATATATTAATTATACATATATTATACACATATTATACATATATTTTACATATATTAATTATACATATTATACATGTATTATACATATATTATACATGTATTATACATATATTATACATATATTATACATATATTATACATATATTATACATATATTATACATATATTATACATATTGTACCTATATTATACATATATTATACCTATATTATACATATATAATACATATATAATACATATTATACTTTTATCATACATATATTATACATGTATTATACATATATTATACATATATTATACATATATTTTACATATATTATACATATATTATACATATATTTTACACATATTATACATATATCATACATATATCATACATATATAATACATGTGTTTTACATACAATTTTCATATATTATACATATATTATACATATATTATACATATATTATACATATATTATACATATATTATACATATATTATACATATATTATACATATATTATACATATATATATATAATACATATGTTATACATATATTATACATATATTATACATATATTATAAATATATTATACATATATTATACATATAATATACATATATTATGCATATAATATACATATATTATACATATATTATACATATATTTTACATATATTTTACATATATTATACATATATTTTCCCACTATAATTCATATCCATATGCACTCCCAAAGCCAGGTGAAGGATGAAGCCAAAAACGCTGCCCAGACCTGATTTTGACCGACACCACGACACCATGGAGGGAACCACCATGGCGATTTTTTCCTGGTGGTTCAATTTTGGTGATTTGCAGGGTTTTATTGGTGATATGACTGGTGGTTTAAGGTGATATAATGGTGATATAATTGCCATTTAATGAAATTTGATGGTGATTTCATCAACACACATGGTGATTCAAGCAACAAACATGGTGGTATACTGGGGATACTTAGTGGGATCTCATGGGGATGGTCTGGGTCGTTTTTTTGAGGACAGAGGCCTCTCTTTAAGTGATGGATAACTGGGGCATCTTTAAATGGCCCAACTCTTCGGGTTGGTGGATGATGATGATGATGATGATGATAATGATGATGATGATGATGACTACTATTGCTATTACTTGTATCTCCCAAAAAGAGTGTTGTTGATTGTTCTGTTTATCACTATTAGACATGTAATTGTTTTGTTTATTGATAGTATCATTTACTCAGACAGATGAGGGGAAACTAACCCAAAACATAACCAAACATAACTAGTCATTCTCCTATGATGAATGCAAAAAATGGAGCTATGTTATGGTTATAAATCTTCCGTGGAATAACTGGGAGCTAAGAGTTACCAAGAGTTCGCCAACCCCATGATGGTTCAGATTCGTGAATTGGACTTTCAGCCAGACAAAATCAGGGCCTAGTATGACCTAGTAACTTTATGTGTGTCTTCTTTCCAGTTTTGCCTTATGATTTATAGCTATACTATTATACTGACGAACAACAGCTGGTTTGATAGTGATTTTCACAATTCATGAATTCCTCCCTGAACCAGTGGAGTTGAAAAATAGGGGTCCGTTTGGTTCCTTTGTTTTTGTGGAGGTTTCAGTATTACCAGGGGAAGCTGCGCGTGAAAATGGGGTCCCTCAAGTAATAGCCAGTTGAAGAAAGGAACATGTTGATTCAACCCATTGGAAATTGGGGATAGCCTATTCTCATACAAAACTCTGTGTTTTTTAAATGCCCCAGAGGGCATTTAATTCGTGGGGTGCCCAGATTTCTTTGCTGGACAATGTGCAGGAACGCCATATATTTGGGTTGACAGTTTCCATGAAACATGGCCGTTCAATCAGCAAGGGATGCATCAACTTTCGTCGTTGGCAATCGGTGCCCTACAGGAGGCTGCGTGGACCCCCAAAGTCACCAGATAAAAATGATATTTTCCCTGCAGGATGGTGCCACCCAGTTATAATTTGGTTTATAAACCCCATGAACTATACTTATATCTACCGTAAGCCATAGTTAAGTCTCCTGGTTGGTGGTTTGGAACATGTTTTATTTTTCCATAATATGGGATAATCCTTTCCATTGATTTTCATATTTTTCAAGATGGTTGAAACCACCAATCAGCTTATATCTATCGTAAAACCATAGTTACACTCTGGTAAACTAACATAGCTATTGAAAATGACCATATATAGTGGATTTTCCCATTAAAAATGGTGATTTTCCATAGTTTTTCATGGGAAAATCACCATTTTTAATAGGTGAATCACCATTTTAGACAACTGAACGCTATCGAACGGGGGCCCAAAAACCCTGTGGTTCTACCAAGCGCGTCGAACTGGGCCAGGTTTGGGCACCCACCAAGCTGCTTTTCCAGAAAGGCCTCAGCAAAGTCACAGGCCCTGGAGCTTGATGCGGGAAAGATGGGTTGATGAGATATGTTGAGATATGATGAAATGTTTTGTTTGATTCTAAAAAAATCAAGATGATGTCTTGTTTGACTCTTAAAAATAAAAATAGAAAATCAAGATGATGTCTTGTTTGACTCTTAACAATAAAAGTAAAAAATCACGATGATGTCTTGTTTGACTCTTAAAAATAAAACTATAAAATCAAGATGATGTCTTGTTTGACTCTAAATCACGGTTATGGACATGCTTGTGTTTAGATGTATCTAGTATTATCTAGTTATGTTCCCTTCTTTTTTATCCAAGACTGGCCATGTTGATTGGACCTTGAATGAGTTTTTGGCTGAACCAACATCATTGTAGCAGATGATCTGGCTATATAGTATAAAACCAACCACATATGACAGAGATGATGCAACCCATCAGAATGGACAAGCTTCTCTTGGACATCCCTAAGTTTTTTGGGGCCACGTTTTTTCCGGAATCTCAAAAACAGCTTCAAGCAGGGATGTGGATTGTCCAATGGCTCAGGGATTTTGAAAAATCTCTAAACATGGCTGGTTGATGGTTTGGAACATGGCGATATTATTTTCCATAATATATGGGATGTCATCCTTCCCATTGACTTTCATATTTTAACCACCAACCAGAAGGACGTCCGCGGCTTCCTGGAGCCATTGCGACTCACCTCGATCCACGGCCCAGCTCGGAATTTGTCGACAGGCCAAGCGGAGTCCACTGTGATGGGCCCAAGTTGTCGATGGGTTGAACGATTGAGACGTCCGTCGATTGGAACATCATAATAATTTTGTATGTGTATATAATAACCATATAGCAGCAATAATAATGGTTATTATATAGTTATAATAACTATTCTTATATTATGTATAATAATAACAACCATCATAATAATAATGATAATAATAATGTTGCAACATCTTCACCGTCTCGGGTCGTCTCGTCTCGTCTCGAACTCGGCCGAGTACCTCGGCCTGAGGCAAAGTTCTTGCTGGAATCTTTGGCCCTCAACCACTCCGCTGCATCCAAATGGTCGTCTTCAGAGGGTTTTCAGGAGAACCCCCTGGCAGTTCAACATAAGTCATGGGAGATCTGCTAAAAAAACGAACATGGTAACCATGATATGGCAATTTCAGGATATGGATATATTATATATTATATATTATACATATTGATAAAATGATGTATATATATACACATATGCGTATATGTATAATATATAATTATTTATGAGGCAGGGGGTTCAACAAAATATTCGAGGCATGAACAATAAATATGTAAGGCATCAATAAACAAATATAAGGGATCAAACAAACAACAATAGTCATATTTCATGGGCTGGTGCAGTGTTTTGCCCCTTGTCAAGTCTTGTGGTTTTTGAATTTCCCGGTCCTCTAGTCCTCTGGTCCCCTGGTCCCCTGGTGCTTTGGTCCTCTGGTCCCTTGGTCCGTCCGTCCTTTGGTCCTTTGGTGATTCTGGTGTCTGACAACAATTCCGAGTAAAGCTTAAGTAATTTTGATTAAACCAACCCTAAATAAGTCTTAAACAAAACATACCGACCCTTAAATGAAACCTAAACCAACCCTAGATCAACTACAAATAAGCCCTAAACTGACCCAAAACCAACCCTAAGTAAACCCTCAACCGCCTCTAAAGAAACCATAAACCGTAAACCAACCTTCAATAAACCTTAAATAACAAATAAACAAACCACACACCAACCCCACATAAATCCTAAGCCAACCCTAAACAAACCATAAACATCGCCTCACCAACCCTACATAAATCCAAATAACCCTTAAGCCAACCCAAAGCATAACACCTAAACAAACCACAAACCAATCCGAAATCACAAACTGACCTTAAATAGACTGTTTAACAGCACCCACATAAATCCTAAACCATCCTTAAGAAACCCTAAACTGACATAAACTAACCCCAAGACCAACGCTACATATACACCGGAAACCTTTAAACAAACCGCAAACCAACCCAAAATAAACCAAACACCAGCCCTCAATAAGTCTAAAACGAAACCTAAATCAATAAGTCTTAAACGAAACCTAAATAAACCTTAAACAAACCCTACAAAAAGTATTGAACCAACCTTAGATAAACCGCAAGCAAACATTAAACTAAGGTTAAACAAGTCCTAAATAATTCCTTGTCAAACTCTAAATATTTTTGTTCAGCAACACCACGCAAGCCATAAGCCAACCCTCAACTAACCCTGAAGCAACCCTAAATAATCTCTAAAACAACTGTAATAAGACCCTGAACCAATTTTAAGCCTCCAAACATCCCCAAACCAAGCCTTAAACTTGAACCTTAAAAAACCCATCAATAAATTTCAAACCAACCTTAAATAAACCCAACACAACCCTGAAACAGCCCATACACGGACCCTAAATAACCCCTAAACGAACCCTAAATAATCCCTCAACCAACCTCAAATAAACCCTAAGCCAACCCTCAATAATCTGGAACCAACCTTAAACAAGTTTAAAACCAACAATCGAAAATGAGAAGTTCGAACTCTAAAGTATTGCAAATAGTGTCAAAGCGGCTCGAGCATCAACAAAGCGCTGCAAATAGCCCAGAAATGCTCGGTTTCGTCTCCAAACTGTTGCAAGGGCGAAAACGAGGGCTTCAAGGGGATATTTCTTTTTTTTGATCCCCTGTGCAATATGTTTTTTTTGTTCCTCACCCTACATATGATGGGATGAAAGTTATATACATATGCTTAACCCCCCAAAAATCATATGGACTGATATGGTTTGTCCAGAAATGGGCTATGCGGCAAGCCAGCATGTTCATGTTCATGGCGGAACATGTTCTAATCCACTGAATTTTGTTTTCCAATTTGTGGCCAGGAAACCAAACGGGCAATAGCTGCCGTTGGGGGTGCATGGAAATTGGTACCTCATCAATTGCCCATATGTACATAACTGGGTTTTATCCAGTTTTTTTCCAATGCATTGGCCACTTTCCAAACTGCACATCCAAGTGGACACCCAGAAACAATGAATGATTCAATAGAGATGGCGTAGTCTGGTTCTGTCCAGTTTTGGGTGTTCAACAGCTGTGCGTTGTATGTCCCGCCCCAAATAAGATGTTTGCTGATGGTTATATTATGTGAGTATATATATATATATTATACACATTATCATATGTATTACATCTATGTAAGTAGCCTTGATACCCGGCTCATGAGCTGACCAGCCCTTGAACATAAAGCACAATTCCTTTTTGATGGCAGATGTTTTTTGCCATGGGTTCCCCTTCCCGTGATTGGTGATTGCTCCTATTTACTACGTATCAAACTTAGCATATTTGAGAGGATCATTCTTTGATAATGTTATATGTTCCCCATCTATATCCAAAGGTACTTCCCTGCTTGTTATGTCTACTATTCATATAAATCAAAATCACATAATTATGAATTATATGAACTACTGGTCGTAACTATCCATTAAGTTATGTATAATATGTATATTCATTAATTTATTATATAGGTTTTACCCTAGTTTATAGTGCACTATCCAAGTTATAATTAAAACTCCACTATTAACTGGTTGGTGGTTCGGAACTTTTTTTATGTGTCCATATATTGGGAATGTCATAATCCCAACTGTCGAACTCATATTTTTTCAGAGGGGTAGGTCAACCACCAACCCGATAACCAGATCATTATTGATGATTATTGATTACTATTGATGACTTTTGATGATTATTGATTGATTATTGGGTTGATCAATCATTATAGTGCATGATAGTCATTATTGATATCACTATAGTCATTATCATAATTACTGATTATTGATTGCACTATAATGGAAAAAAAAACGGCAGTCATTTTCTCGTGCAGGTGCATGTAGAATCCTGCAGGTTGATCGAACAACGGCCTCGCAGGAGTGGTCCGAAGCCCTTCGGCGGGCCGCCTTTGAGCGGCGGCCTGGCTTGGCCGTAGCCTTGGAACGGGCCATGGATCATCTCCACATGTATAAGATGGGGTTCTGAATATGGTTACTAACTGGAGTTAAACATATGATTTTAGTTACCGGAGTTAGTAAGTAACTGGTTGGTAACTGGGGTTCACTCACTCACTTACTATGAGAAAGTGCCCAGGGGTAGCACCTGTTTTCTTAGACCATCAACCTCTAGGATCCTGCCATATCGCTATATGTTTTTCGAGGGCTTCCGGCTTCCGAGAAGGTACAGTACAGTTCCTATCCGAGGTCCTGAGGGGTTGTGATTTCTACACGTTTGTGGGGTTCAAATACCTTGCTGGTATCAGGTCTTTGGAAGTCTTAATCCTGTAGTCTCCCTGCGTAAGAAAACCTGTCCATTCAGGCCGAAAATACCGAAGACATGATCACGTGGACGGAGGTGCGTAGAAAATCGATGAAGTCATGCGGAAGACAAGAAAAAATATGGTTTAGGTTTAGGTTGTGATATTCCTAAAGTGGATATGAACATTTTTTTGTTAACATACACATATCCGAATATTATGTATAATATTATGATTTATATAACCTCATCTTAATATGTATATATTTATATGCATGTACATGTTTAATTTATTTATAACATATATATATATATAGTTATTTCATGTTCAGTTTTACTGACCCAGTCCGGAAAACTTAGGCTATATGTAATCCTCACCCGATCTGACCCACCAAGTGGATCTCAAGGCATTTTGTTTTGAACGGCAGTCACTTCACTGGTGCTAAACGTAGGGAATGGGGAAACTATCTTTCACCATTGGTACCATTATCCCAATCCCCCATTCTTTACTAAGCACCAGTAAGTTCCAGCCCAATCTGCCGCATTGCTTGTGACTAGGTCAACTTTGCAACTTCATGGAATAGAAGAACAGAACTTGTCACTGATAGCAGGATTGACTGTCCCAGCTGATGTCTTTGCAGGTGTCCGATGAAGCTGCTGCGGGCATTTGGGAAGTGTGGTGGAAGCAGGAGCGGATGTGATGGTGTCACTCCAGGGATGCGCATGATATTCGAAAAAAATAAGTTGGCGATCACAATGGGTCGGATCCTTGATTGTTCATGATTGTTCATGATTCATGTTCTAATTCCATACAATCCCAACTAATCCCTTTGGTTCTGATGTCACGTCACGACGTCATTGAAAAACATGCTTAGGACTTAGGATATGTTAGGTTTGAGCAAACCATCCCTTAAATAAAGCGGTTTTAAACTGCCTTAAACAAAAAATCGGTGACTTCACCATCCCCTATAGGAGTTGGCTTGTGGATCCAGATGGCAGCTTGGGAAAGCGATGGTTGGGATGGTTGAGGTCAAGATAGCTTCAGTGAAAAACTATGAACAACTACCCTCTGGTTATTTAACATAGCCATGGAAAATGACCCATTTATAGATGGTTTACCTATTAAAAATGGTGATTTTCCATGGCTATGTTAAATAACCAGATGGTATATAGGATTGCTGCACAATTAGTAGATCATTGTGGAAAACCAAAGACAAATGGGTTGCTTTTTTGCTTGCTTGCTTCCACATTGAGCGATTCTTGGCTTAGTTGAATTACTTCGTAAGAAACAACGGGCCTCGCTGTAGTGTTCCACAGCCTCTTTGACAAAAAAGGCCGCGCGCGCTTGCAACAGGATGCATGGCGCGTTGAATTTCAACAAATCTCACCTGTAACTCATCGCAAAAAACTGATCTCCCGCAACCCCAAAAACAGATGGGGGCTTGGCCAGAGGGGAAAAAACCCTCTAAAATGGCACAGAAAATGGCACAGCTCTCTTACAGCACAGGTTTATCCTGAAAAGCTGCAAAAAACATGCGGAAGCTCAGCAAAATAAAGTAAGAACCTAGTCAGTTCCTCATTCAACCTGCTGCTCATCACGCTCTTGCTTTGGTTTTCCAGAAATTGCCCTCACCAAAGGGCCAGGTGGCGCTATTTCCTTCTTCTCTGCTTGGGGCATTGAAGAATCAAACCAAGCAATGGCCTCTTCCCATTCACTCTGCGCTGACAATTGCGGCCGGAGTTTGAGTAAAAGGCGGCCATCTCTGGTGGTCTTGATGAAAGCAAGCTGGACACTTTTGCCCAAATCAGCATGTTGGTTCATCGGCTCGTGCAGCTTCACGAACTTGGGCATGACTTGGCGTCGATCCTCTGAGCTCATCAACCATTTGGCCAGAGCTCCGGCCACCATGTGGCGGGCAGGCCCTAGAGGATGCTGCTGACCCCGAGGCGGAAGCTTGCTCTTCCACATTTCCATGTGCTCCAGCAAAATCTTGGCCAGTTCGCTGTCGCTGTCCAACAGCCACGTGTGAGTAGACCAGGCGTCTAGTTCTCTCAGAGATTGGTCGTGACTGCCGACTAGCTGGCAAACTTTCTGAAGCTGCGCCCGAAGCTCGTGAACTTGACGCTCTAGAGGCACCTGCGCCCCCGAGGCTGTGGCCGTCTCTGGGCCTCTGCCCCTCTTCGAAGGCCTCGTTGCCACCGGGCTGGCGGCGGGCTGCAGAAAGTCGAGGACCATTGCGAACTGCAAAAAAACGGTCGAGCCGGGCTTGTTGAGGAGGAGCAGCAGGCACTACTGGGACTTGAGCCGGAGCCAATGCAGCTTCTCTACGACGTTGGCCTTCAAGAGCCCCTCCATGACCATGATTACAAACAAGTGTGCCGCAGGATGAGTTGTCAAAATGTCTTTGCGCAGCAGTTTTTGTTGTAAAAACACGATTGCAGAGAGGGCATTGTCGAGACTCTGTGACGAACATTGTGCTTCTGGATTTTGTGGCTCCGCAGCGCGCGTTCACTTTTCCATGTGCCGGCGCCGCATTGATCACAGCGAATCTCTTGTACAAGATCTACAGGAGCTTCAGCAGGCTGGTCAGCAGCCTCTTCTGGTGCTTCTGGAACATCCGGTGTTCGCAACGTACGGATGCTCGAGCATGGTATGTTCAAAAAAAGAATCTTCCAATTGCCTCGGAAACCAGGAAAATCAGCCCAGAAACTCGCCAAGTCACGGTGCAAAATATGCAGAAAGCGCGGAGCGGTGGTGGTAGGAGCACCTGACTCACCGTTTACACTCGGCCCAAGGTCCGGAGAGTCTCCAAACAGGGTCGCAAGTTCCAGGCGTGTTTGTCCATGGCATTCTGCAAGCAATGCACTGCGAAGCCAAAGCAGGCGTCGCACTTTCAGATCTGAAGACACTGTGCTGATGCCAGCCCGTTGGCGCAAGCTTTCCAGTGTGACTGACCTGTGGACAGGATCCCCGCTCACAACTCCAAAACCATCTCGGCCAAAAAGGCGGCGCAGGAGCAACCCGCGAGCCTGTTCCAGCTTGTGTTCATCTGATGGGCTCAGAGGTCTAACTTCAAGCGCAGAGAGCAGAGTTTCATTCACCACCGCACGAAAAACTGCAGCTTTGCGGCGGAGAGGTACCCGGCACCGTCGGAAGAAGGTGACAAACTTGGCGAAGCTGGCCTTGGCTGACGCAATGCGTTTCTGAAGTTCCATCTCAAGTCCGCCATTGTCTTGAAGGCAGGAACCCAAATATTTCACTGTCAGTCTGAGCGGGTAGCCCCGCCAGTCTCCAGAAAAGGCAGCTTTGGCTGCATTGTAGGCGCCTTTGCCGCTGAACTGAAGCAAGGTCTCGCCTTTGTTGGAGTTGAGCTTGAGGCCTTTGGGCGTCAGCAATTGTTGCAAACTAGCTGTTTGCTCTCTACTTTTGTTCTGAAGCTCTGTCAGGTTCCTTCCACTGCAGATTCTGATCAAGTCATCAGCATAGGCAGCAACGCCAGGAAAGTGGCGCTGCCCTTGGTAGAGCACTGTGATCTCCTGCTGCACGTTCTGAATCCATGTAGAGACACAATCATCAAATGCTTCTCGAAAAAGCCTTGGGCCAGTGCCACCACCCTGCAAAACACCGCTCTCAAGCTTAACCTGGAGGTCAGCGCCGTCTTGCAGAGTAAGACGGATGCGAAGGCGGTGGTGCAAGTCCAGCAGCAAATGCATTGCCAGCGGTGGATAGGGACCCTGTTGAATTGTCTGTGCTATGCTGGGCATGTTGAGCGTGTCAAAGGCTTTGGTCAAGTCATACAATGTTGTGGCCGTGGACAGCTTGTTCTTCCGCAGACGGTCCAACCAAGCTTCAACTTGTAAAATGGCATCCCGGCGGGACCGTTTTGCAGCGTAGCCATATTGATGGTCGGCCGGCACGTCTCGAGCCAAGCCAAGCAGTGCTTTGTAAAACAACTTGCCACCTGGGTCAAGCAAGTTGATGAGCCGCTGGCCGGCCGGACCTGGCAAACCTCCAGGCTTTGGAAGTGGACAGCCTTGACCATCACACCAAGGCTGCGGGTTGTACCCAAAGCGTTGAAAAGCTTCAAAAACTTCCATAGTTGCCTCTGGGGTCCAGCTTTGAGAAGGTCCGTCAAGTTCCCGTTTGTCAAGCAGGAGCTGCCAGAGTTCTGCAGGAATTGCTCCCTGAGGCGTGGCACGGAACCGTTTTTGGCTTTTTGCTGCAGCAAAAAACTGTGCACGTCCCTCTTCGCCTTCCAGGAGTGGTTCAAAAAAGGGAGTTGGCTGCTGCACATCAGAGAGCACGACTTCTGGAAAACATCGCCAGGCACCCCAAACATCACCCATGTGCTGTAGCCATTGTTGTTCAGTGATGTACTGAGCTGCAGGGGCTGCTCGGTCAATAATCCGTCCTGGGCCGTGACCAGCAAGTTGCCGACAAACAGACCATGCCTCACGAGCATCATGATGCGACTCAGCACTGCACAGACGCGCTTCAAGCCTTCTATCCCACAGAGCGTTATCTTGTTTGACAGCGGCAGCTGCACGTCTTGTTGCGCACATGTGCTGAACAGTCAAGATCCAGGCAGAGAAAAACCATCTAAGGGTCTGTGACGGCTGCAGGGTTTCCCAGTGTGAAAAATGCGCAAGAAGTGCATGTTGTTGGTGACGCTTGGCTCGCAGCAAATCAAAGGTTGCAGGTAAAAGCTTCATGGATCTTTGCGCCGGTCGCATGCCGAAATGTGCTGCAGCAACGGCATGCATGGTGTTGCGAACTTTGTTCCAGTGTGCTTCAAGTTCAGCAGTGTTTGAAACAAAAGAAAATTGCAAACGCAAAGGGGTCCAAGCATGTTGCAAATCTTGTAGAAAAGCGTTGCCAACACCAGGGTCTTCCAAAGCAGTTTGGAGAGCATGCTTGTTCCAGCGAGTGGGCTGGAAGGGCAGTGGTAGCCGCTGCCATGGCTGCACTAGTTGTACCGTCAGTTCCACTGGCCAGTGATCACGCACCAGAGACATCTGCCAACGACGTCCCAGAATGTTGTTAACTTGAAACTTCTTCACTCTGGACCTGCAATCTGCAGGGATGGCGATGAAGTCAAGACAGTGTGCGGTTTGGCCATCAGGTGACCACCAAGTGTTGCCACCGCCGAAAAAGGTGTTGCTCAGCACCAAGCTGTTGGCGTCACAAGCATGCACTAATGAAAAGCCGTTGTTGTTTGTGTTGCCAGCAGTGTGCCGGCCAACAGCAGCGCTTCGAAGGTCAGAGCCCACATGTCCGTTGAAATCGCCCAAAAGCCAGATCCTAGTGCGTCTAGGCACTGCCTGCATCATTTCCAAAATAGCAAGAAAAAATGCATTTCTTTGTGGCAGGTCATCTGTAGCTTGCGGGGCATATGCAGTGATGAACAACTCGTCAAGGTTGTAGCCCTGCTGGCGGCTCACAACGCGTAGCCCGCCACATCGGCCTGCCAAACCACGTGGGGGATCAAAGCGTGTGTGCACATGCGCATGTTGGAGCAATTCTTGACTGACCAGAAGCTGCACTCCCAGCATGCGATTTTGCGATGAGCGTCCCCAGCTGAAGCAGGTGTAGTGTGACTTGCCTGTGAAGCCTCGGACTGGCCATTCACTACGAGTATCACCAGACTTCCACCTTGTACCTTGCAGAGCTGCTACAGTCACCCCAGTAGAGTGCATGTCTTCAGTTAGTTCCTGCAAACGGGTGCTTCCCCGGCCAAGGGACTGACAGTTGTAAGTCAGCAGTTTCAAGCGAGTCAGAGCGGGTCTGGAGATATCAGGTGACTGTAAAGGGTGAGAAGGCTTGTGCAGGTGGACCACGCCATCTCGCCTTCTGAGATGGAAATGCGGGTCACGTTCAAACCACCAACTCCGTCGTGTATTGACCTTGGTCCGCACATATTCTATATCTGAAGCTGGAAAGAAAGCTGCCAAGCGATCAGTTGTATTGATGAGATTGCCTCTGTACCATGTCCATCCTTGCAGAAAGAAGAGTCTGAGCGCGCGCATGATGCTGCGTTTCACTGTGGAAGGTGCATGGATGTTCCTGCCTGGTGTGTCTGCAATTTCAATCATGCGGCAGTTCAGGCCGGGCCCATGCGCCCGGCCAACCCTCACCCCAGCTTTCCAAAATTAATCAAATATCCATGGCAGAAGCTCCACGGACTTGGGACCGTGGTACCTGTTGCCGCGGCGGGCACGATTTGAGTGGATAGGGGCTTACAAATGGGTTGCAGTGCATACAACATCCTCTTAAAACATACCTGTTTTCGAAGGCAGTGTTGGCGGTGCGATGTTGATGGCACACCCTCCCAAAGACAGACATGGAACATCACTGAACAATATGATTTTGGTTATCAGGTATGTATGTGGATTTGAGGTGATTCCACTCATCCTTAAACATTAGAATGTACAGAGAAATGGATGGCAACAGCCTTTGGTCAACAAAGTTGTACCGATGTGGACATCCATTCATCAATACACAATTACAGTGTATCTATATTTTAATAATAATAATAATGATAATAATAATATAAATATATATATATATACATATATCCTCATGAAGGTTGGTGAACTGTCCCCTTTTTTTGTTGTGCGATTCCCATCCGAGGCCCGACCTGGTCCCTTCCATTGCTTCCTGCGACTTCGCCGCTGTGCTCCTTCGGGCCATCCAGGCGCACGGCGCACGGCACCGCAGGTCTTGTTGTCCTCCAATATCCATTAATAACATCCAAAAAATAATCTGGGTTAATCATGGTTAATCGTTACTCGTAAATTAAGAGTTATCATTCACAGGGCTTGATTATCATGGTGAATATCCATCAATACTTGTTGATATCATTTGATATCCATTGATATGTGGATAATTTGATCATATCCATGAATAATATGTGCATAGTTGGATAATTTGTTACTCTAGCTAACTTGCAGGTCCACTAATAATGGCACACAATTTTATATTCATTTCACCAAGGAACGCCGGCAAATGGTGTATGTAACCAACAAATGGGGTATGTCCTCGGGATATTATGGACTGCTAAAATGTTGAAACCCCAGTAAACAATCAATGGGAATGCGCGGATCCTAAAATGGAGGTACTGTACCAGATAAAGCCATATTTTGTGGGGATATTCCCTTACATAGCCCTTACATAGGCCTTACATAGGCCTTATATATGGTAGGTACCTCCAATTTAGGTTCCTGAGATGGCCAGTGAAACAAGGCTGGAAGCAGGCATATTGCGGTAACTTTTAGATCTTTGAGAAGGGAAATTCAAGGTAGTTGATTCAAATGGACCTAGTTCAACTGATATATGTAACCCAAAAATAAAGTGGTGATGTCAAAACTGACCCACATTTATGTTGCGATGTCTTGTATAGATGTCTGATGACTTTTTATTTATGCTTCTAGGCCTGCATATGTTCAAGTGTGTTCCATCAATTGAAGATCCTGACGATCTTACACCTATGTATATCTATGTACACCTACACCTATACTCCAAGCTTAGACTTGTTTCAGATACCAGATGCTCCACCTATGTCATGCCACACTGATGTGCAAGCACCGGGAAGACAGTTTTGGGTAGCTCAACGACAAACCCTGCCACGTTCTTGGAGTTTCTTCTTGAAATCAAGAGTTCAGGATAGTGAAGGTAGTTTCTGCTGTGATTCACCAAGAAAATGATTAACAAAGTGTATCATTGCCACAATTTATATCAACCAATGGCCATTTAGTCTATGAAGTGGGGCAGATGATTTTCTCCGCCATGCTACGTATGCTACTTGGTCACGGTTTTCCCATTTCCGTGACCAAAGTCGCTGCACTCCAAAGAGGCCGTGCTACCAGTCGCAGATGATGCTGGAACTGCGCTTGCAACGCTGGTGAGGGCACTCAGATCCACGACTTCTTTGAATTTGGTGAAATGAAATGCGAGGTTATCTACCAAAAATTTGTCCAATTAACCAACCACAAAGAAATATATTTAAGTCGAGTGTGCAAGGTGCGATATTTTCCCATGGAACACGGGTTCGTCTTCAATAAGAGTGGGTTGAATTAACATGCCAAAAAGGTGTTAAGCCATATAAATTATATGCCACATGTGAATGGATACAATCCGATTCCGCTAATACAATAAATTTAGGCTAAGCGGCTACATTCCACAAACTATCTAACTCTGGATAGTGAAGGGTATTGTATGGTATTGTACATGATCTAATAGTGGAAATCGTCTTTTTTTCATGATTCGAGAATTCAACTGTCGATCCTGACTGTTAATTGCGTGGTTACCCCCCAATGCAATGATAAATTGCTTGCACAAAAATGGTACGTCCCCTGGAAATCAAGTGGTGGTGTATCAATCCTTAACGTTAGTCTTAGATTAGGCAATATCACGTAATAACATGTAATAACATGTGATAACATGTAATAACATGTAATAACATGTAAAAACATGTAATAACATGTAAAAACATGTAATAACATGTAATAACATGTAATAACATGTAATAACATGTAATAACATGTAATAACATGTAATAACATGTAATAACTTATTAACTCCAATGTTAGCAATGATATGGCATGTTAATAAGTTAATAATGTTAGCAATACACTCCAATGTGGTAAACCTAATGATAAACCATCCCGTAGGTCAGCATTTTTATGGCTCCCAGCTGACAGGCACAAGCCGATGCTGCGGCAGCAGATCCAGCCATGGCCCTGATCATCTTGCAGGACGTTCGGAATCCGGGAGGATTTTCGCCCAACATCCAGCAATTTCGGGATTTGTTTTTCCATGGGCCATCATGGACAACTGATATATTGATATCAACTGATATAAAATGGAAAATTTAAAAACAATTGATCATGTGTTTTCCAACATCCAGCGATTTGGGTTCCATGTTTTGGACATGAGATGATGGGGAAATTGATACCACACTATTCAAAACCAAGGGATACGACCTTCACTGGCCGAACCGTAGATGGTAGAAGTATGTAGAAGTAATATTAAAATATATTTTGCATATATATATATATTCAATATATTAGATATGAAATCTAAAGTTTCTAAAGGTGTGTCAAAATAAGTAGGTCATTTGTCCCCGGTACAAGTTTCATGGGGCCCTGGAAGGTGACCCACAGCTGGGACCCGCCAGGAATTGTCAGCTTCAAGCGCACGGCAAGCGAAGGTGGCAGCTGTAGGGACTGATCTTTGGGGTTGGCCTGTGGCGACCTCATGAAGCAAAGGCCCCAATTTATGAGTTAACATCAAAACCATTTTAAGATATGGCCTGAAACGTGGTTTGGGACTTGTTTGCATCAGATCTGCTTTCGAACAGAGTGCGCAAATGCTTTGATGGAACTTCATAGACGTTGATGGAATTCAATAGATATGAATACGGGATAGACATGTGAGAAAGGGGACGAGAAGGGAATTCCGTCTAGACGCTAGCGCTTCAAATACCGATTCTGAGAAGGTGGCTGGCCCGCACAGACTTGCCTGCTCAGAAGGTGTTAGAGTAGGGAAAATAACTGGGTCCATCAGCTCAGCATTTCTTCGGATACATTGATGATCTGGACACGCTACTTTGTAGTCATCGCACGGATACTTGACTGGAAATCGTGGTCTTGTAAATAAGGAAATCATTACCATCATGAAATTCTGAATCCGGTGTAGGATGAATTTGTTCTTGGAATTATTTATAAACTATCACCATGACCAGGATCATATAGAAAGTTTTGGTATAGTAGGCATTAACAGAAATAAAAAATCCCAAAAATATCCACAAGTGGCTTGCTTCAGTGCTATCAATTTGGTTCTTTTTTGGGTCCCTCAAAAGATAGAAGATTTTCCAGGACGGTAACTTGACAAGGTTTTCCCACCAGCCACTGAGCGGGATGATCCTCCAACCAGTGGCTACTTGTATGAATATAGTTATATACTAATAAAGTACACAGTATATATAATATATATAATGATATAATATATAATATATTATATATAGTAATATAATATGATATGATATCATATCATATTATATTATATATAATAGTATAGTATAGTATAGTATAGTATAGTATAGTATAGTATAGTATAGTACAGTATAGTATAGTATAGTATAGTATAGGATAGGATAGTATAGTATAGTATACGATAGGATAGTATAGTATAGTATAGTTTACTATAGTATAGTATAGTATAATATATAGTAGAGTAGAGTAGAGTAGAGCCGAGTAGAGTCGAGTCGAGTATAGTATAGTATATTATAGTAGAGTAGAGTACAGTATACCATAGTATAGTATATATATATATACTGTATATACAGTATATATAATATAAATTAATGTGTATATATGTAATGTTATAAATTCTCATGATGGTTGTCCAGAATGCTCCAGTTGTGCAGTTGGCCGCAGGGAGTCCTTGATTCGTTGCTGCAGCGAGCGGTGTCGCGGCTGCATCTATTGATCTGTCCAAATCATGTCCCGTATATCGGAAAACATCTACAAAATTCTATCCAGAAGACTGTAACATCTATGGAGGTTTCCAAAGTCATAGGCCTACCCCCAGGAAAATCCTCTGTTTTTTGGTGGATTTTCCATGCACTAATCCATCCCAGCTATTGAGGCTACCAGCCATTTATGGCACCCCCCGAAGCCATTTAGGCATCGCGTCATCCGAAGCACCTGCGCTTGGCCATGCTGACCGGAGATGTAGAGAAGGCCTTACGGGGGGAATCATCCCTGGGAATTGCTTTACCATGGTATATTAATACGATCCAATGATAATTTATATTATATATAGGTGATATATGAATATATGTTTTTTTTTTGTAATTGCCCATTGATTATTAATAATATCCATCATAAATGGTGTATAGTATGGTACAGTAATATCCCATTGATTATGTTTAATGATTATCTATATATATATATATAATGATAGCATGGTATATTCATGGGATATTATAATAGTTATTAACTGTCAATAATGGCGCATAATGATTAGGGATTAGGGAACTAATGTCATCCAATATGTGGGATGGAATATGGGAGAATAGGGGATATATTCTAGAATAATGATAATTATAACATGAATACTATTTATTATGTATAATTATCTAATAGCATAAAATTTCTGGGTGAATTATAATAATGACCTCACGTCGCGACCGAACCCTGGAATCATGGTTAGTACTGTAGTGGTAACTGACTATTGCAACTTACCCAGATCTAATATCATGTTTTTTTGAGATTAATATCAATTAATGGTTACTGATGATCATATTTTCTTGGTGAGATTATACGTGTACCCTTCCAATTTTAGCATTTACCCTGAAGGACGTGTCTGTTGCTCCTACATTTGATGGTCAAAACATAGTGAAAGTGAAAGGTATGAAAAAAAGGGGGCGGTCCTGCATCTTGTTTCAACAATAAAACACATGTCACTAAATAAAACCAATCGGCAGAACCGGCCAACATCTTGAAAGGATCACAATCAATGGGCAATCCCTGCAACAAACGGTCATGAAGATTCATAGGCCTAGGAAATGCTAGGAATATATATATGATTGGGTGCGGGAAAGCCAGATAAAGACCAATCTACCCTCTGGTAAACTAACATAGCTATGGAAAATCCCCATTTTAATGGGAAAACTCACTATAAATGACCATTTTCAATAACTTTTTGTATGTTTACCAGAGGGTAACCACCATGGTACCTGCTATATTTGACAACCACTGGTAGTTTGTAGATCCAGGGGATCCAAATCAGCAGGTACTAAGCCTTTTGCCACACTTGAGCAACATCTCCGCGCAAGATGCGGTGCCAGTGGGCATCAGTGGGCCATGGCACTTGACTCCAAGTTTCGACCATAGATCTGGAGAAGTCGGGAGAAAGTATAAAACGATCTCCGCTGGAATCATGGTTGCGAACTGGCTAACTATCCCCAAATTCAATGGAAATTTCAGGATCCAACAGATTGGAGGTACGTAAACGTACCATATTTCTGGCCATATTTTGTGGGGATATTCCCTTACATAGGCCTAAAAAACAGGCCTTATATATGGAATCGGTACCTCCATTTTTAGGATCCTGAGATGGCCAGTGAATGCCAGTGACAAATAGCCCCAACAATGCCCAACATTTCAGGTGGTAACATATTGTACTTGATCTAGATGTTGCAAGCTTCACCCCAACCGGCCAGTGGGCAGATCAAGGCGCTAAAGGATCATCATTGCCCCCATGAAAAATGGCAATTGTTGGCACCGGCTATACATGGCTATGCGGCATGCGCCATCTTCAGACAAACCCAACAACATGAGATCGGTTGTTGAACAAAGGTCTATAGAACGAGATCGACTGAGCGACGATGTTGTTTCATGTTTCAGCCAATTGACACATCCAAAATGGTCGATGTATGACATGTGTTTACAAATTACTCAAGGAAGTGATCAAAGTGCAGGTAAATATAGCATGCCTAGAGAATAATATGGGTATTCGAATACTTGTTGGTTTAAGTTTAAGATATTTGAATATATTTGATCATTGTTTGTTATGTGTCCATCCTGGGATGGTAATCCATGACTGACTTGTGTGGACCTGGCCTTAGCATCCCCAGGATATCGTGATGGCCCGCAGCCGGATCGCTTGCTCCGAAGGGTAGGTGGTTTGCTGATACGGTAGATGGTTTCTTCAGGTAGGTGAATTCTCATGATTCAGCCGGATCACTAGAAAATTTTGGAATGTGTTCCAGAGCCGATTTGAAGTGCTTGGACCACCAACCTGAAATGAAGGAAACACTCAGAATCAGTATTGCTCAGTAACACCAAAGCAGAACACTCCTCTGGTTTCATTCCATAAACCTCTCATGGCCTTCAGTCTGTATTTGAACCATCACGGGTGAATCTAGCAGGCAGATCTTCCGCCAAGTTCACGTCAATTGCAAAACCCTCAACCCACCACCGAAACTTCGGATGTCCCCCTCAAACACCCCCAAAATCTCAGTTGTTCCACGTTCTTCCCATCTTTTTTCCATTTTAAAAGCTATTTCCATGGGATTTCCATCAGATTTCCCACCTTTACCCACCATGGGCGCCTCTGCCAGCCGCGACAGCGCCTGCTTCGCCGGCGCTGCTGGCGCCCTGCAGCGGCGCTCGGAGGCTCCGATCAGCGCCATGGAGCCGGTGACGGTGACGGTCTGCGGGGCGGCGGGACACATCGGAGCCTTGGACGAAGATGGTGAATATATGGTACAATGTGAGGCCCCCAAGATAGCTAAGTTGGTTTATAACTCCAATAACTATATGGTTTATGGTACTCCATCAATTGGGATAGAGATGGCCCCTACAACTATGGTGATCAAATCCACACATTCTGGGTTGGTTACCCTCTGGTAAACTAACATAGCTATTGAAAATGGCCATATAGATAGTGGATTTTCCCATTAAAAATGGTGAATTTTCATAGTTATGTTAATTTACCAGAGGGTAATTCATGGGGATTAATTCGTGAATTCAAGGATTGGTGAATGGTCTGCATGGTGAATATTTTTTGAGAAAACTTGGTGCCTGATTTGATAAGGCTTCGACCAAGAATTGGTGAATTGTAATTCATGGGCATTAAGGGTGATTTTTTTTTTGATTAATGGAATTGGCGAATAATGGGGGGATAACTGATGATGAGTAATTGATGAATAATGGCTGAATCATTGGTGAACAATTGGTGAATAGTGGTGGATTAAGGGTCAAGAATGGGTGAACAACGGTGGATAATAATTGGTGAATCATTGGTTCATAGATTGTCAATAACAGTAAATAATGAGGAATTGATGATGAATAATGGGGCTTCATGGTGAAAAATTGATGAGTCATTGATGAATAATTGGTGAATAATCCCTTCCCCCTATTACTACGTATTATAGTGAATAATTGGTGAATGTATGGGTGATTAATGAGGATTCATGGGGGATTACTGATGATTAGTAATTGAAAAATAATGGGTGAATGATTCAATGATGGGGGTTAGTGATAATTCATATTATGGGATAATGGCTTAATGTCAATAAAGCAATAGGATCTGATGTTGGGAGAGTCATGGAGAATCGTTGATGTTGGGATGTCTTTGTTTTTGATGTGAATTTGGATTATCATATTTTCAGGACACAATCCGTCGATGTCGGGGAGGAACTGACGTTGGGGCCAGTGGTTTTCAAAACGGGATAGGATGTAAAGAAAATCGGAAAGCTATGGAAAACTTACATTCGATGGCTTCTCTGGGGTGGAAACATATGGTGGAAACATATTATATCATATAATATATATATATGGGTGTATCTGGCAATGTTGGAGATACTGTACAGTCTGCACAAGTGGCAGATGCCCGACAAGACTTGGGGTAGATATTCACTTCTAGTCTAGTACATGAACCATGAACCAGGGTGATTCTGAGGCAAGCAACTGAGCATGTGCGAGTGCTGGCTTGAGATACCACTTTGATGCTTCTTTAGTTTCCCCCAACAGGATTTGATATCTTATGTGTCGAGAACTTCCATGAATGTGCTTGTTCTTCAACAAACCGCTCCATTGTTGGTGGAAGAAACCCACAGCTATTTTCCAAGCAATCATTACCATATAGCTATCATAGGTGGTATGTTGGATGATGTTAGGATGTACATATATATATATATATGTATATATATATATATATATATATGGATATAGCTGGTACGTCCAAGGATACCACTTGCCATACTTTGCCCCATCTAAGTGGTCGATAGGCCTAGTGATGGGGTATCCAAACTCCAGTTTTAGATGATTAATCCTCATGTTTATTGCCCCAAACATACCCAAACCAGTGCAGAAACCGTGTTGGTTGATGATTTTTGGGGTTTATCTTCCGAGAGATCGGGGATGATCATTGTCCCCCAAACCAGGTAAAAACCAACGGCATGGTTATATATGGTTATAATATATGAGATCCATTTTGTTGAACTCCAAGCGCCGTGATGATCTCAGGATATTCCTTACTGCCAATGATTGCATCTGGGGCCATCTTCGGACCCTCTCGGCGGGTGTGCCTGCAATGTTTAGACCTCAACCTGCCGGAAGTCATGGACAGTATCTTGCTGGGACAAAAGCTCGGGTACTGGATCACGTTGTATAGTTCTATAAGTTAAGTTCATAGTTAGGAATATGAAAATTGTGCGTACACCGCAGTCTATCTCCGTAAGCATGTGCAGTACGCAATAATAAGACAACATATTACGTCTATAAGACGTAAATATGTTTGTGCATGTATACAATATGTATCTATGAATATCTATGAATGAGGACCAAACGGAGCAAATCCATTGACTTCAGGGTAAAAAAGCAATAATTCTGCAATTCAACGCACAATGATATTTTTTAGACCCTTGACACAAAGTATCGCAATGTATATGTATAAAAAACTATTAAGAGAAATCATGGCTCTGACTCACATCTCTTTAGACCACCCTGCAATTGTCAGTGGAGATGTGTTCAGTTGCCAGTTTCATTCTGGCCACCAACAGGCTGCTTTCAGTTCCCGGGTCGGATCTTTCTCCCAATATCCGTGTTGAAGGATCAAACCCACCGATATCCAAACATTCGGTTTATCATCACACATATGGATGGTCACCAATGAAAATGAGGAGATCAAACCGGTCTGCGCAAACTGGTTTCAGTTGTTTCATTGTATATTATTGTTTGTTTCCACAAGCTTCCCTTGTTTCACTTCAGGCATGCGCGGTATCGAAATGGAGATGTACGATGGCAACTTTCCTCTGCTTCAAAAGATGATGTTCACCACGGATGATGCGCAAGCCTTCAAAGGGGCGGATTATGCCATCCTGTTGCTTTGATTTGGTGATTTGCCAGTGATTTGGTGATTTCCCATGGGTAAATATCCACCGTTTAAGGGTCATTTTGCTGGAGCATCTTTGGCGCAAATATCAGGCTGGGAGCCTTCCCAAAACAAGATGGTATCGATAAGCGCGACGTCATGGAGAAGAATGTGATGATTTTTCGCACAATGGGGAAGGCTTTGGAGAGACATGTGAAGCCAGAGTGCAAAGTTCTGGTAGTGGGCAATCCGTCACATACCAACGCATGGATTTGTGCCTCGACATGGGTGAAAATCAAGATCTCAGAGTTCTCAGAGAGTGAGATTCCGCGAGTGATGGCATCAATGGTTTCAAGCAGACTTGTAGATTCCTATCAGTTGTAGCCATATCCCTTACCAGTTCAACTGGCCTATAATATTGTTTGATGATATATCCCATTTAGGTTTTTTAAGGGCGACCCGTCTGATATCCTTTGAATCCAGCTGGGGAATGGTGCACAAATGGTACCGTGATAGCCCTGAATCCGTGACATGAACAGAAAGGTCTCGGAGTTGTTTTGTTGACATCGATATTAACTGGTTGGTGGTTTCAAACATTTTGTGTTTTTCCATGTGTCGGAAGAATCATCCAAACTGACTAATATTTTTCAGAGGGGTTGAAACCACCAACCAGTTACAGAATCAACGTTGATCCTTCTGTTGATGTGTCCTTAGTTTGTTTAGTCTCTTGTAGAAATGGCTAGAAATGTTTGTTTTTAGGGCTGGACCCCTGTCTCATGCCATTTGGTCCGGGTCTTCTTGCTACAAGATCCCGGCTGCAACACCTAACTGGCTCAACCTTGGTTGGGATTGGTTGGGTATAGATCCCTTGTTTGCTAATGTCATCTAATGTCTATACAGCAACACCTCATACCCAGCTCAAAAGAGCAAACTTTTGCTGGGCAAACGAGAGGCTGACAAAAATGACAATGGTATACAGTATACGCAACATGCAGTTGATAGCTGTTGTGCGACACCTGCAAGATCCCTTATCTATATTGGGTATTGGATGGTATTGGTCAAGTTTGTTTTGCCCCAAACAACAGTTTGTTTTATGTTGAAACAAATATCAGAATCCCTTAACAAGAGCAGTTATATCATGTTATATCTAATATGATACTTTCAAACTCACATTTGTTCCACCAGCCATATATAAAAACCGATCGACAAGGTGCGCAATATGCGCCCTCCCTGCCGAAGCACAACATCTTTGCCCTCACTCGCCTGGACCAAAATCGCGCCACCGGGCAAATCGCCCATCACTTTGGCCTGTCGGTAGCTTGACGCGTGAAAACATGGACCTGAAAACCCGTGATGTTCGTGGGGAAAGTGAAACGACACTGACAGTGAGGGGTAGTTCAATGTTTATTCATGTTTCTTGATGTTTTATTGATGTTGGTTGTTTTGCCATCAATGGCCGATATATCATTGCTACCCAACTCTATTTTGATTGCAGTATCGAACAGTTGCCATGTGGGGTTTGAGGGGAGGAGACCACATGGGTGAAGTGTTCCAAAAGATGATGATGAATTCCCCCAAGTGTTCGTTATAAGCGGTATATATGTCCCACTGTAGGGATATAGGAACTATTGTTTCGATATATATTACAGTATCCGCTCAAGAGATTGGGATTCGCCAACAAGTTTCTTCATGGATTCCAGCTGTTCGAGTAGAACGCTTGCTACAGTCACTGGACTTCAAACGTGGTGAACTTTGAACATCTTTGGACCATGGACTTCAATATACCCTCTGGTTATTTAACATAGCTATTGAACATGACCATTTATAGTGGATTTACCCATTGAACATGGTGATTCTCCATATAGTTACCTTAGTTTACCAGAGGGTATATTTCAATGATTTGCCACATAGACGTTAAACAAAGTGTTTTGTTTTGCCCTTGCCATGGGGAAAGTTGGTTGGGTCACCAGGCTGTGGTCGGTCGCATCAGGTGAATGACGTGAGAAATGTGGTGGTCTGGGGTTGCCACGCCAAGTTTCCAGATGTGGACCATGCGGTCATCAAGGGCAAACCTTTTTCCGAGATCCCGGGAGGTTTTTCGACGTGGAAATGTGGGGAGTTTTTTTCGATGTAAATCTTAGATCCTAAAACAGAAAAAGCCATCAAGATGTGTTTCAAGACCATTTATATATTGTTTCTAGCCTACTTACATTTCATTCCAAGTATGGTTGGCTTTGCAGCACCATTTAAGTGTTGCTTAAGTACCCATTTACATAGGCAATAAAAAAAACATAGATTGATGATCCAGAATCCAGCGTAGTTGGTTCCCCAGCTGCGGGATCCACACGAGTAGAATATCCCCTTTGGATCATACACTGTACATCTTAAAGCAAGCATTTTTTGTTCGCAAAATCCCGGGTTTTGCTGGGCAAATCCAAAAATGTTTGCTGGTGAATTGCCATCAAGAAATCCATGAAATCCCCCCAGGTGTTTCTCGGTTTTCCCATGTTTTCCCCAGGGTTTTCCCCAGGTGTTCTGCAAAATCCCGCAGGAAACCGCCTGAACGACCTCTTCCGTAAGGAGATGCAGACGCGAGGCGCCAGCATCGTCAAGGCCAGGAAGGCGTCCTCGGCGATGTCCACGGCCAGGGCCATCGTGGATCACCTGAAAGATCTTCACCTCGGGACGAGGGTTGGTGCCTTGGAATTTCTGGGGTGCCACCATGAAATGCTTAATTATCCATTAATGGTTAATGAAATGGTTAATGAAATGGTTAATGAAATGGTTAATGAAATGGTTAATGAAATGGTTAATGAAATGGTTAATGAAATGGTTAATGAAATGGTTAATGAAATGGTTAATGAAATGGCTAATGAAATGGTTAATGAAATGGTTAATGAAATGGTTAATGAAATGGTTAATGAAATGGTTAATGAAATGGTTAATGAAATGGTTAATGAAATGGTTAATGAAATGGTTAATGAAATGGTTAATGAAATGGTTAATGAAATGGTTAATGAAATAATGGTTAATGAAATAATGGTTAATGAAATAATGGTTAATGAAATAATGGTTAATGAAATAATGGTTAATGAAATAATGGTTAATGATTTGGTTAATGATTTGGTTAATGATTTGGTTAATGAAATGGTTAATGAAATGGTTAATGAAATGGTTAATGAAATGGTTAATGAAATGGTTAATGAAATAATGGTTAATGAAATAATGGTTAATGAAATAATGGTTAATGAAATAATGGTTAATGAAATAATGGTTAATGAAATAATGGTTAATGATTTGGTTAATGATTTGGTTAATGATTTGGTTAATGAAATGGTTAATGAAATGGTTAATGAAATGGTTAATGAAATGGTTAATGAAATGGTTAATGAAATGGCTAATGAAATGGCTAATGAAATGGTTAATGAAATGGTTAATGAAATGGTTAATGAAATGGTTAATGAAATGGTTAATGAAATGGTTAATGAAATGGTTAATGAAATGGTTAATGAAATGGTCAATGAAATGGTTAATTGATAACTAATGGTTAATTGATAACTAATGGTTGTTACCCTCTGGTAAACATACAAAAAACTATTGAACATGGCCATTTTGTTCGTTGATTTACCCATTAATAGCATGCTGGTTTTCCATAGCTATGTTAGTTTACCAGAGGGTAGCCTCTGGTAAGAGTTTGCTATTGAAAATGGCTCATGAATGTTTGTTGATTGACCTATTCAACAAGGTGATTTTCTAGTATATATAGGGGGGTTACTCCCCAAAAATGGTCACAATATGATACTTAAATGATCTTACTCCCCAATGAAACAGCCGTTTGGGGTTTATTACTCCAGGGTTGACATTAACATGACGACTCTGCCAGGGGTTGGAAGATTTGTCTCCACTGAAGATTTGGTGATGTTCAGGGTCTCTGTCTATGTCAGTAATGGAATCCATTGAATCCAATTATTGGTATTTAGTGGGCTTCAAATCCATGAATGGGATGTGAATATACTAACAAATGGGATATGAATAGATGGTTTAAATATGTTTAAATTGATATTATTGGGACATTTTAGTTGGTGCATTGCCTGGGGAAATGCCCGAACTCAAAACCTCTATAGGATTCTATAAGTTTAATGAGAAAATCATAGGAAATCAACTATGGATATAAAAACAGGTTAATGGATACGATTGGGATATTTGATGGGTCTTATGTTTAATTATACATCATGATATTAATGGGATAATAATGGTATATGAACGGGATATCAACTAGGTTCAATTAGATTTATCCAATGGAGAACAAAAAACGGTTGATGCCATGGTCTTAATATGTTTTATGGATGTTGAACAGTATTTATTGTATGAGAGATTTGGTTGGCGCCTTGGATAAAGACATGGGCATATTAAAGAACATCTCATGGAATTTTTATGTGCATATGACTGGGAACATCACCTTTTTTCTTAACTAGTAAGCTGGTGTTTAATATATTTTAATATGGGATATTCAAGGGATTTCATGTCATTGATATACCCTCTGGTAAACTAACATAGCTATTGAAAATGGCCATTTATAGTGAGTTTTTCCGTCAAACATGGTGATTTTCCATAGCTACGTTAAATTACCAGAGGGTAAATGTATATTTAATGGGCTTTAATGGAAAACTCAACAGTGGTTTGGCAAGTGGCAAGCTGGGAAATCCTCGAACTAGCCTCCTGGAGGCTTTTGAATGGGAAAACATAACGATGACAGTATTTACCTATATATATATATACATAGAACTACATAGATAGACTAGATAGATAGGCTAGATAGATGGATGGATCGATCGATAGATCGATGGATAGATGGAAAGATGGATAGATGAATAGATGGATAGATGAATAGATGGATAGATGAATAGATGGATAGATGGATAGATAAGGTAAGGTAAGGTAAGATAAGATAAGATAGATCAATAAATATATAGATATATAAATAGATAGATAGATCAATGTATGTATGTGTGTATGGATGGATGGATGGAAGGATGGAAGGATGGTATTAGATGATAAGTATTTTTCCATTGCCATGTGTGTGTGCGTGTCTAAGAGGGAGATGTACCTCAAAGAGTGACAATGTAGGCGTGAAATGGTACTCCCCGAACTGAACCAATCAGGGTTAATCAACATTCATTCTGTGTAAATCTGATATATCATAAATGAATTCAAGTGAAGCGTCAGGTCAGCAAACGCTCCATTTGGATGTTCCTGCTTTGGGTTCATAGTTGGGACGGTTAGGTACTCGGATCTGACGGTATGTCCCACCATCTTGTTTGTCGGATTCACGGGATGCCATGTTTACCAAGCCCTCACCATTTTGATGGGTCAGATATTCCATCCCCAGTCATGCGCCTCAGGCGAGTTCGTATCGATGGGTGTGTGGTCCGACCATGGTGCATACTCCATCGCCGATTCCCTGGTCTTTTCGGTGCCGGTGGTGTGCCAAGGGGGCGGCAAGTATCATGTCTACAAAGGACGGCTCGAGATGTTCCGAGGCTTTGGAAATGTCAACGCTCGCACTTGGATTACATGATTACATGGTAAAGTGCTGGTAACATATGGACAAATATTGTCAAATAAATGTTAACATGTGGATAACTATCATACTATATGTGTTAATGTAACTATTATTTTTTAACCGACCAATCTTACCCTGTTTTCTTGCTAATGCCTCTTGCTTGACCCTGTGCTGGGCAAACCGTCCAGCATTTAGTGCTACAATAGACAATGATATACAACTTACAAGCCTTCAACATATCCACTATACATATAGGGGTTTCCTGAAATGGGGGGGTACCCCAAAATGGATGGTTTATAATGGAAGATCCTACTAAAATGGATGATTTTGGGGTACCCCTATTTTATAGGAAACCTCCATATCTATACCATACCCCATTATCATAATCCCTGTAAAGAGGTTGAATCATAACCATTTGGAAATTGAGTTTACTTTTCTGCATCATTGGGGGGTTGCAAAAAAGAACAACTCCCAGTTCTTAATTTAATATCGGTCCTCCATTTCTATTCATTTAGTATGCTTCCGGCAATGTATCCTGGTTGGTGGCTTGGATTTTTAAATTTTTCCATATTGGGAATAACCATCCCAACTGACTAATATTTTTCAGCTGGGTTCAAACCACCAACCAGTATCCTTATATCCTCCCATCTACCACTAATCAACCGAATTCAAGTACCATTTCTACCGGGTATCGGGTGGTGAGGGAATCCTGACAAACCAGGCCTTTAACCGACCACAATTGACCATTTGGGAGCTATTACAAATTTAAAGATCCTCCCAACGAGCGAGGTATACCCTCCATTAAACTATCATGGCTTTAGGCTTAGTTCATGTGTTTGCTATTGATAACTGTGAATTTTCCATAGCAAACTGTTAGTTTACCAGACCTTACCCAATAATAAACCCCAAAGTGGGTTGATAGCAACCCCGAAAAAGATAAGAAGTTCGCCTGTCTATTTTTTTGGGGTTCGATACAAGGTGGAAGCCCATTAGCTAAGTTGCTTTGTAACTCAAATAACTACTGTATAGGGTTTCTGAAGTAGATATAATATGATATAATATAGTTAGATTAATTTATAAATCAACAAACATAACTCGGGTGCCCCCACCTTGTACTATCAGATACTATGGTTAATGATGGTTGCTACATGGTTACCATTGCTCCAATCCAGCTATGGGATTTGAACCTCAATCAATCGGGATATCGGGCCCCTACAACTATGGTGATCAAATCCACATATTATGGGTTGTTATGGGTTGGTTACCATCAATGATGGTTAATATCATAGTAACCATTATGACTTAATTATCATAGCCATGGCTAATGGAAGACCAGTAGTGGATGAAAATGATGGATAATTAAATCATGGTTACCCTTGGTGGATAATTATCAATTAACCATTAATTATCATGAATTCATGGTGGTTGATGGTAACCATGGCAATGCTTTCCCCGAAAGACGCCACGCAGCCGCAGGACTCTCGTTGTCGGTGGCCTCCCAAGAGAAGCTGCGCCAGGTCGAGGCCGAGATGTTGGCCGATCGCGACCTGGCGCGGCAGTGCATCGTCAGCAACGCCGGCTGAGCGGGGGCCGTGAAACGGCGGCCCACAACGGCTGGGAAAAGGATGGGGGATAAACATATACTATACATATATATATATAATTATATATATATATAATTATATATATAATAATCTCTATATATATATATGTGAAACCATAAATAATAAGAAAATCTGGAAACTGAAACACAGATGAGATGGAGAAAGTCGCAAAAGTGTAAAACTGGAGATTTAGACATATGTAGGCAACAGATCCGTAATTTGTTTGGGTTATAAGGGATAGATTTGAGAAGTTGTAAGAAAATGGCCACTGGGACATTGAAATGCGAAGAATCCCGCCAGGTCCCAGAGGGCTTCTTTATGGGTGGGCTTCTTTATGGGTGTGTTTAACAATGTTTAACAGCTATTCTATGAGACAAATGTGATCATAAACCATGGGACAAGCCAGCTTTAGCAACTTTACCTGAATTATGGAAATATGCAACCAGTCTCTCTGCTCGTGTCCACACACCAGAAGGCAGTCTGCATCAAAGTGCCAAAGCTAGCAAAGCAGGCTTCTGCACAGGCTTCTCCGATGCATATGTTTTGCAGTCATCGGTGGATGATGATATCGAGTTTGCTGGATTTTGTTTGTTGTATTTCCTTAGTAATTTCATTCAATATCAGTCAAGGTTCCAATATATTCCACTGAATTTTTATATATGTATCTTCCTTTGCTGTTTGCAACAGATGCGACTCTCAATACACGGTTCACTGGTTCACTCTCCAAAAAAGTTGGAGGAAGGCAAAATGCAATCGCTTCGAGAAAAGACAGCTGCGCAGTTTGGTTAATTCAGCATCCCCATTGCACATCATTGCACTGGCACATGTGATATATATTATACATACATATGATATATGAGACATTTAAATGATGTTGTTAACTTCTACATTTTGGAATATGTTGGATCATATTTCGGGAAAGAAAAAACAACCACCATATGGGATATATCGAAATTTAAAAGCTTTGGAGGATCCCACAAGCGACATCCTCAGTCCAACACTCTGCCCCAGGCGTGCTTCCTTTCGTTGAAGCGCAACAAGGCGTGGGGCGGCAAAAGCTTGTCACAGGTTGTCCTTGATCATCACTGATCCTCCCTGATCACACAAGTCTAAACAAGTCTATCTGAAAATATGGAATTCAAGCAATTCAAGCCCACTATATTCAGGCAGACTTTAATTTCGTAAAATGATGATGAATCATCAAAGTCGACTCTTATGCTTTTGATCATTTGGGTCTGTCTGAAAATACGCAATAGGGTATCCCGGTATACCCAAAGTTGATGGTTCGTCATTCGTTTATATGTTCCCAATGAAATTGCTATTTGGGGGGAAGTTGTCCTCTAGAATCCTTTAGATTTTCACGCAGTCACCCACATGGTGCCAGCTCTAGAGACTGAACCTCGCACCTGACGAATGAGCTCTGTTGAAGAAGATGATCTTGTTAAGAGCCAAAGTAGAATAGTGCATTCAATTTGGATGTGTCAGAAAAGGACGAAACTGGGGTATCCGGGTATCCCAAAATTGCTTTTCTTTTCACTGGAAAATGATGACTGACCCACGGATGCGGTTATGATAAAGAACATTGTCAAAAGATCATTGTCCGAAATTATCAAGCCAGATTTGGCATGTCCGTGAGAAGATGTGCCCAACCACGACGGTGTGTAGTGGTTGGACAATACGAAGTAATTCAAAATGAAAATTCATGAACATATATATATATATAGCTATATATGGGATAGACAGTTAACTGTAGTTGGTTAAATACTGATAGGTTCTTACTGATCTATTTGTCAAATTGGTTTCCTGAAAGATGCCATACGCCATTCTCCCCAAATCAAGACCTGCGAATCGCTCAGGGCGCCGTCAGCATGGAGGAGGTGGGGCGATTCGCCCGGGTAGAAGAAATAACATCCTTCGAAGAGAGTGGATAGTGGTTGTTTCTATCCTTGTTTAGGTTTGATATAATATGTATATGTATATATATATATATAGTATTATTACTACTACTATTATTAGGTAATATGATGATTATTATTATCCCCTTTTCAAAATGGAAACTGTTGGCTTCGTTTGGAATCCAGGATGACCAGATATTTGATTCTAAGCCAGCTCCACCGAAGACTCTTGAAAGCTGAAACAGGGGACGGAAGGACAAAACGAATCACAGTTGAAAGAAGACTGATTAAACTACCCTCCAAATGGGGATGGGTCAAAACCCTGGTACCTAGTGAACCCCAAAATAGCTGGTAAATGGATGTTCATCCCACTAAAAATGTATCTATAGGTATTGACACATACCCAAATGAAAACATGAAAACCGACATGAAAAGAAACTTGAGAACCATGTGGAATCCATGCGAAGAACATGTCCGCCTTAGGAGTGTCAACATGCCCTTGTTTTGTTTCTAGTGTAATGGGGTAAATGCCATCAACACCATCCACCCCATTCATCAAACATGATGGTCCATTATCCCAAATAGGGGTGAGCTCTTGTGTGACATGGCAAGATACTATTGAAATACTACACATTTATATATACTGTATATATATATAATGTTTCATAATATATATATAATAGATATGTATAATAGATATGTATATATAATAGATATGTATAATGGATATGTATAATAAATGTGTATAATAGATATGTATAATAGATATGTATAATAGATATGTATTTACATATTATATTATGATATATTATCCATATGTATGTACATGTGTGTATATTAAATAAATAAATAAATAAATATATATATATATAGATATAGATAGATATAGATGTTAGTTGCGTTCCCCATCTTCTTGCTGGTTTTTCCAACAGCGCCGGCAGTTGGAGCACGTGTTGAGAGCTCTCGAGCCTGGCGCCCGAGTTCGATGAAGTTTTGAGCTGCAAAACATGGGGATTTACCCTTTGGTAAACCGACATAGATGTGAACCATGGCCCATTTATAGAGGAGTACCTATTGAAAAAAATGCGATTTAAGGGGATTCAGGAACCAAAAGTGCTGATTTAATGGCATTTAACCAATCAAACAATGATGATATCCTCTGGTAAACGAACATAGCTATGTAAATCAGCATGTTTGGTAGGTAAGTCATCTATAAATACATTATTAGTTCACTGGAGAGTAAACCGTCAGGAACAATAAATCTGGATTTCACTGGCAAACATGATGATTTTGGCAATGGAAATGAGGACCCAGACGAAGCTAAACCAAAAAACAATAGTGGTGAATTGGTTAATTTTTCGCAACAACCTGGTTAAATAAATGAAAACAACATATGTGACGTAAGTATAATCAACTATTGGTTGAATAAATGAAAATAAACCATGGACAGTACATTCGAGGCCCAGGGCCCATGAGATCCTTTCTTTGTGGACAAGAAATTGAAGAATTGACCTGTAAGTTGCCATTCCCTTTTGGAACACTGATCTCCGAAGTTTGACTAATAGTATTGGTATGTTTTAATTAGTACTGGGTGCTGCTTGTACCTGTAGCAGGTTGAACCCCTCTGCCAGTTCCAGATGTGCAAATAATATCTGAAATCCAGGACAGCCGTAGAAATCTGAATACAGAGGTATAGAGATGGCAAAGGTATAGAATTGATCATAACATAATATGTTTATATCATATCATATCAGTTCATATCATGTTATGTTTGGAGGAATCACAATTTTAGGCCCTAAACTCCCTAAAGCTTCTTCCCTGCACGACAATCAGGCCTGGCCAAGATGTGAGCCCTGTGCTGTTGGCAGTTCTATCTCATGCTGTGCGGAGCTCTGTTGGCTTCTCATGGGCGATGAGCAAATCCAACACTCAATACTGTCAGTTTCCTTGGACTGATCGCACAAAGGTTGTTCTGATCGCATGTCTCCAGATTCCCCCAGAAACTTCCTACTGTCGGATAGGGCCACCCAGGATACCCCCTGAGGCGCACGAAGGTCCAGCCAGCTTGCAGAAATCATTTCAGCAGGCGCTCAGGGCAGATGGGATCCTTGACCCTTTTTGAGAAGGGGCAGGCTATAAAAATGGCGTACATGGAGAATGGGAGCGGCTTAAGCATCAAGAAAAGGGCATTGTTTTTTTTCGGCATTTCATGGGATGTGTGACGCAAGAATATGATATTTGGATGTGTCTGAAACTTCGGGTACGCCCTAGAGTCGCCTATTTTATGGCATTTGTTTACTGTAGTAGGGAAACTGATGATTTTCACATTGATTAGCCAAACGCTAAGATAAAACGCGTGTTAGTACCATTGTTTTACTGATTGTTGGTGATTACCAACACAATGTTAACCAACATTGTTAAACCTTAGGTTCCATTACCAAATTTGTTTTAATGACTTTAATGGTTGGTGATACTAGAACCTGGTACTGGAACCTTCTTGGAGTATTCATCAGCGCAGCAGCATGGTTTGGTTGGTTTGGCTTGGGCGGCTATTATTTTTTTCTGGCCTGAAATTTGCAGGGACGAGTAGTATCTCTCAAGAAAACATATACCAAGCTTACAAAACTGTTTAAGGATGGGATAGACCTTGAGCGAGACGTTTGGTGAGTACCTATCTAATAGACAATGGATTGATAATTGATGATAGTATGTAATATACAATGCGACCCTAAGAACACACCACAGGGCTGATAGGTGCACGTGCTTATGTAATTGATTATTTGGCAAATTTGGGTTCCACCAAAACAGTGCTACTAAAATGATACCTATATATATATACACATATATTTTGTGAAATGTGCACATTCAGATCATGTTCCATAAGAAACCCCTAAGATCCTCAGAAGAAACCACTCAGCCGTGCTCCATAAATTTCCAGTCCAATCAAGGTCAACAGTTTTCATGCCTGAGACACGTTGGCTCCGGGAGCCCTTAGAAACAAGGAGTTGTGGCGGGTGGGATTGTGTCTTTGGTATAGCCATAAAGGTGCTGCGGATTGGAAACTGGAAGGCTGTGTTCAGCTGGGATTTCATAGCCGGTGCGCTCAGTGGCAAAACAAGCGAGGACGCTTGCAGCTTGTGGTGGTGGGCACGGTGTGCCATTTGGTTGGGGACTCCTGCTAGCCAATCACATTGGTAGCGGAGCTCCCCAGCTATTTGGGGAGCATCCTGTGACCTTTGGGTAACAGTTTTGGTGCTGGACATTGAAGAGAAGGAGACGGCCATCAGCTTGACGTCTTCGAGCTCAACATGTCTGAGTCGTCAGGAGGTGAAGCTTCTGGCGGAATATCCAATCAGCTTGCGACGTTGGTCCCAAGTTTCGATCCGAGCAAAGATGACTTACAGGTGTATCAGCAGAAGGTTCAACTGGTGTTATCTGTATGGCCTGCCAATAGAGTATCAGAGTTAGTCACGCGCCTGATCCTAAACACGACAGGGTCTGCATTCGCCAAGCTTCAGTTGCACCACACTGAGCTTGGTACCAATGATGCAAAGTCGGTGCAAAAGCTCATAGAGTACTTGGGGGGCCAGTGGGGAAAGACCAGTTTGGAAAAGAGATATGCTGACGCCGAAAAGGCACTTTTCCAATGCAGCCAACAGGCTGATGAAAGCACAGACTCGTATCTCGCGAGGGCTTATGTATTGTGGTCAAAACTGAAAACGCAGAAACTTCAGATAGATGACTTGCAAGCATACATCACCCTACGTGGGGCACAACTGTCGAGTGATGATAAGAAGAGGATTATCCTGGATTCTGACTCCTCATTGGATGGAAAGCTCACCATTGTTCGTGTACAGGAAGCCGTTCGATTGTTGGGCACCGCCTTCTTTCAGGAGATGACTGGCCTGGGAAAGAAATCCACCAAGGCAAAAGTGTACGACTCGGCCAATCTGGTTGCTGAGGACAGCATGGTGCATGGAGATCATGATGATCAGGTACATACTGCACTGACTGAGGAATGGACCGAGGATGACATCTTAGAGGCCTTGTTAGCAGAAGGAGATGAAGATGCAGTGTTCATCACAGACTTCGAGTCAGCGGCCAGTGAGATTCTCCAATCTGACGATGACATCGCAGCAGCATACTCAACGTATGTTGAAGCTCGCAAGAAACTCAATGAAAAGTTCAGATCAAGGGGATTCTGGCCAATCAGTAAGGGAAAGGGCAAGATGGGCAAAGGTAAATCCAAGGGGAAGCCAATGTGGGGCAGTCGCAAATCGCTCCAACAACGCATCCTGGAATCGAATTGTAGGATTTGCGGAAAAAAAGGACACTGGAGGAATGAATGTCCCAACAAAAACCAGGGAAATGCCAGTGGGTCAACCGCTGCTGCCGCAACTGTGTCCATGGCACATCCTGCATCCGATGCCGACCTGAGCCTGCCTGAAGAGTTTCTGATCTTGCCTGAAGCTCCAGCTGCCGCCAACAAGGACATTTTGTCCAACAAGCCAACCAATGTACAGTCAGTTTTTTATGGTGAAGGGTTTCAGAATGAGCAGAAGGTAGTAGAGTCCTCGAACATGGGAGTTCTCCGGGATAAAATTAGGGGTTATGTTAAGGGTAAGCATAACTTTAATTTTGGAGCTAAAACCCTTGTGCACAGGATTGAGCAAAAGCTGCGCCAACAAGCAGCTCCTTCCGCCAAAGCCACCGAGAAGCCAACGCGCATTTTGCGCTTTGATGCCAAAGCCACCGAGAAGCCAACGCGCATTTTGCGCTTTGATGCCAAAGCCACCGAGAAGCCAATGCGCATTTTGCGCTCTGATAACATGAGATCGCACAGCCAAGAAGTTGCATTGCCGCCCGACTGTCCAACCGTGACAGATTTTTCCAATCAAATGCCAGCCAAAAGCCCAGCATCAGCCATTGCCGAGACTTCCGAAGTTTTGTTTGCCACTCATGACACTTGGGGAATTTTGGATACGGGAGCCACAAAGACTGTAATTGGGAATGACCACCTCAAAGAATTCCTGAACAACCTGGATCCAAAAATCAAACCTCATGTAAAGAGAAGCACTTGTGATATCACGTTTCGGTTTGGGAACCAAGGGACGTTGAAAGCATCACATGCTGTGGTAATTCCAGTGTGCGGCATGTGGCTGAAAGTTGCTGTGGTGAAGGGAGCAACGCCTTTCTTAGTTTCAAATACGCTACTTCGGGCATTGGGGGCTCTCATTGACACTCAAAATCATGAACTCATCATCCCTAAACATCAAGCCAAGGTATCACTCAAGTTAACTCCCAAGGGATTGTATCTCGTCGACATGAACCACTTAACTGCCATCACCCCCGTGCCGAAGAGTCCAGTAGACGCTGCCGAGACTTTTGCACAGGACACTTGTGAAAGCGATCCAAAACATGCCAGTGCCGCCGACCGAGATCGTTCAACTGATCCAGCCGTAAAAAAATTGTCCATTACCTCAGAAGGATCTAAGTCGAATGTGACAAAACCGGTTGGGGAAACAAAGATGAGAGGTCAGGTAGGCACTGAAAGTCACTGTCGTGCATCCGAAAGACCTGTTTTGAAAAGTCATGCAGCCAAGCCGAACAAAAGCCCTTTTTCCAATCAAGACATCCGTGCCAAAAGCCTAGCGATCCCTGCTGAGAGCAAACATGAGCAACTGGACCCAGCGCCTTTCCAAAGTCCAGGCCAGCACAGTGACTCCGGCCGAAGTGGAGCCCATTGGTCATTTGACGCTGAGCGAGCTCAAGGAGACCCCAATGACATTCGGAAAAGCCCACTTGGGCAAGAAGTACGAGGAGATTTGGTCAACCGACCCCAACTGGATTCGATGGTTCCTGGGGCACTATGCCTCAAGCACCAAGACCGACCACCGGAAAATGATCAAATTCATACAGATGAAGATCGAGGAGTCCGAGACCGAAGTCCCTCAGCCCTCAGCCAAGAGCCTTCCAAAGTCTTTGGGAACAAAGCCGAAAGCCAAGGCCATGATGGTTCCAAGTCCAGAGATCAACGAGGAGCAGACACTGGAAAGCTTCGAGATGATGTCAGATCTAGGATGGGAACCTCCATCCGAACAGAAGGAGGAAATCAATGCACTCCAGGCCAGAATGCTGAATCTGGAGAACGCCATGCAAAGGATGCTCCACCTGATGCAGAATGCCATGCCTCTCCAGCCAGCGATGCCTGCCGACCATCCAGACTCTGCAGTGGCGGAATGGGACGACCCCTGGAACAATTAGATGAACATGACAGCCACAGCAACTGGACATTGCAGGCCGGGGAAATGGACGAGTTTTGTTCATCTAACCCCAACAAAGAGAGCATCAGGTTTTGGAAGTTGGTGAATCAGTTTGAAAAAGAACTTCGAACATGCGCCAAGATGTACCAATCAACAAGTCCCAAAATAGATCTGCTAGAAGTGTTCTGCCATGATGATAGCAATCTGTCAAGCCAAGTGATACACCTGGGTGGAACCGCAAGTCGCCATGGATGGTCGCAAGGCGATCTGATGACAGCTGAAGGCCGCCACGTGCTGTTTTCCACTCTGCTGAGACGGTGTCCCAGACATGTGTGGTTAAGTCCTGTATGCGGGCCATGGGGCGCATGGTCAATGTTCAACAGTTTGAGATCCTTGGAGTTGTGGGACAAAGTTCATGCAGAAAGATGGAAGATGCTCATTCAAGTGGCACTTTGCCTTGTGATTTGCCGGCATCAGCACAGATGCAACCGACATGCGCATTGGGAACAGCCAAGGGGATCCCTCATGTTGAAACTACCATATCTACAAGAGTTATACCGATATATGTTGGTAACATACCCCGATATGTGTAATGCTGGTAACTTGAAGGACCCCGAAAATGGAAAACCAATCAAAAAGGGAATGCAGATCAACACGACCTCGCAGAAAATATTCGAGTGCCTCCGAGACTTGAAATGCACACAAGACCATGATCACCAAGTGATTGAGGGATCCACCAAACTGTTCGGAATGCCTGTTCCGCGCTCCCAGTTCACGGAGAGGTACACTCGAAAGTTTTCCCGCACAGTGGCCAAGTTGTTGATCAAGACAAAATTTCCATGTGAGAAACCTGTAGGAAGTCTTGTTGACCCAGTTCTCATGGTTATGGATGCCCTGTATGCCGAAGTCAATGCCAGCTCCAGCCGAGAGCGCCCTGCGAAATGCTTGAAAAAGACTCCGACCAGAGGAGTCAAAAATCCTGCTGCAACTGGCGTACTGGCACCTACTGGAGGTCCAAAGAAACAGAAAACGCAGGTAGCAATCCAAGATACACCAGAGGATCATGTTGTTGATAATGAGACCATCAAGGAGAAAGTTCATGAGATTGTCAACAGAATTGAAAACCTACTGCCACGAGTGGGAAAGAAACAAATCGATAGCCCTTCAATCCTGCAGGATTTGCATGCCATGTTTCCGGAGATGAATATCAAAAGGGTGGTCGCATGTAAAGGCACTGATCGTAGATGGGGTCCCCCAAAAGACATCAACACATCAGAGGCTCCTTATCGTAGATCTCTCATGAAACTCCGTGAAAACCAAGCTATCACATGGGATCCTCAATGGGAAAAATATGATATGCTTTCCAACAGACAGGTGATTCGGAAGTCTCCAGCGTGCCGAGTAAATATAACGATGTTTGCAGCCGTCAAGCCACCAGAGCCTGGCCCTCATGAACCGGTAGAAGAGACCAGCCAAGTTCCAAGAGATGCCATGCATGATCCAACACCAGAGGAATCGGGAGGTGTGAGCCCCGAAGAAAATCAACCGGATCTTACAGGTCATGAAAGCCTTTTGGAGAAACCTCTCCGCGCACCAGAGTCCTCTGATCCAAGATCCAGTGACACGCCCAATACGCCCGGCACCGAAGAAGAACACGGGCCCAGATTCAAAGCTTTACCCAAGGAAGAACAAACGATGTTGAAACGCGCTCATCAAAACTTGTGTCATCCAAGTGCCGAGCAGTTGAGCCAAGTGTTGCGGTCTCAGGGGTGTCGCCCAGAGTTGTCCCAAGCAGTCCATGACATGAAGTGCGCAACATGTGTAGCCTGCCAAAAACCCAAGATAGCTAGACCCAGCACCTTCAAGGACGCGTTGGACTTCAATGATAAAGTGTTTATTGATGGGATTTCCTGGAAGTCAAGAAATGGTCAGAGTTTTCACTTTTATCATGTTTTGGATCAAGCCACCAATTTTCATGTTGCCATTCCTGCACCAAATCGGACAGCCGAACAAGCCATTGCAAAGATTTCCGAAGCGTGGTTCAATTGGGCCGGACCCCCAAATGCACTGGTCATGGATTCAGCAACGGAATTTACCAGCGAAGCGTTCCAAGGGTTTTTGCAGAAACACGATGTAAGAGACATTGTGACTTCACCACACGCTCATTGGCAGAATGGTAGGTGTGAACGACATGGCCAAATCCTCCAAAATATGTTGAACAAGTTGGATCAAGATCAGGAAATATCCAGTTTTGCAGAACTCCAACAGGCCTTAATACAATGTACCCATGCAAAGAACAGCTTGAGCATTCGTAAGGGATATGCCCCCGAAGTTCTTGTCTTTGGTAAGCAATCCAAACTCCCAGGATCAATTGCCAGTTGTGAAGAGTTGTCCTCACATGCCAGTGCAAACAGAGAAGATGCCCATGGAATTGAGTTCCGACAGAAGCTTGCCCTCAGGGAACGAGCTCGTGTAGCCTTTCATAGAGCCGACAACGATATGGCTCTTCGCAGAGCCGTTTTGAGACGTTCCAGGCCAGACAGACAGGGATATCAACCGGGGGAATGGGTAATGATGTGGCAACCCCAATCTGACAATCAAGGACATTGGTTTGGTCCATTGAAAGTAGTTCAACAAGAAGATAACTTGTCTATCTGGGCCACCAAAGGGGGCCGATTGCACCGCCGAGCTCCCGAACATGTGAGACCTGTTTGCGCAGCAGAAGCAAGACAGATCACCGATGAGAGAGATGCTGAGTCACCACCATCAAACGAGAATCTCCCTGGCAACTTATCCATGCCTGAACCCCAGCCAGAATTATCAAGTTCATTTACAACACCCATTAACCGCAATGCTGAAATAACCCCAACGAATGAGGATAACTCAAGCCAATCTCAAGAACAACCTGATGATGAGCCAGAAGGGGAGAATCAGGAAGGATCAGAAACGCAGGAAAGCCGTCCAACGTACCTTGACACACCAATTCCCAACATAGATGCCGATGATGATTTGGTGACAACTCATCTCCTGTGCTGCGATGACAACATGCTGACGGTGGATCCGACAGAAACACCGTGCGCCTGGAGATTTGAAGTTGAGGTCCCAAGGTCCATGAGCTCAAACCTAAGGGATGATGAATCACCAGATGAAATCCTTTTAGCATCCACCGAAAAGAAACAAAGGACCGAGGTGAAATTGTCCATGCTTAATAGTGAGGAAAAGAAGGCCTTCGAAGAAGCAAAACAAACAGAAATCAAAAACTGGTTAGCAACCGGCACTGTGTCAAAAATTCTCAGATCCAAACTTGCACCAGAACAGATACTCCGATGTAGATGGTTGTTGGTATGGAAAGATCGCGGAGAAAACTCAAAGAAACCAGAATCAACCATCGAAAAAGCAGGTTCCAAATTGCAAACCCATAAACCAAAAGCTCGACTCGTAGTCCTGGGGTATTTGGATCCTAATTTAACGGAAGTTCCAAGGGATAGCCCAACACTAGGCCGACAATCCAAGATGTTGCTTTTGCAGTTAATCGTGTCGCATGGATGGAGCTTGGGATCCTTTGATATCAAGGCCGCCTTTTTACAGGGCAAGCCACAGGACAATCGAGTGATGGGACTTGAACCAGTGCCAGAACTTGCAGCTGCCATGAAACTGCAACCCCAGGAAGTATGCAAATTAGACAAGTCAGCCTATGGACTCATTGACGCTCCTTTTCTCTGGTTTCAGACACTGTGTGAAGAACTGAAAAGTCTCGGATTCGTTTCAAGCCCATTCGATCCATGCCTGTATGTGCTTCGACATCCTGAGACTGGAAAGCTTTCAGGAGCCCTTGGTGTTCATGTGGACGATGGGATCCATGGAGGAGACGAATTTTTCCATCAACAAATTCAAAAACTCGAAAAGAAGTATCCTTTTGGGTCCAAGAAATCCAGATCATTCACATTCACAGGTATCGACATGCAACAATTCCCTGACAATAGCATTCAACTGTCACAGGCCAAATATGTAAATAGCATTCAACCAATTTCCATGACGCCAATCAGAAAATCCCAAGAAGAATCTACAGTCACAGAAGAGGAAAGACACAACCTCAGGGGGTTAGTGGGATCACTTCAATACGCAGCCGTTCACACCAGACCAGACCTTTCCAGTTCACTAAGCGTTTTACAATCTCAGATCAACTCCGCAACAGTATCTACACTTGTCACAGCCAATAAAGTCCTCCACAACGCCAAGAAACACAGTGATGTGAATATCAAAATTCAGCCGATCCCTCTCGATGATGTAAGACTTGTGGCTTTTTCAGATGCATCATTCGCATCAAAAAGCAAGCCTGAATCTCATGCTGGAATGATTATCCTTGCAACCCATAAAGATATAACCCAGAATAAGTCATGTGTGATCAGTCCTTTGTCGTGGGGTACAAAAAAGATTCAACGTATTGTGACAAGCACTTTATCCGCAGAGACATCAGCATTGTCCACATCCCTCGACCAACTAACTTGGATCAGACTCTACTGGGCCTGGTTGCTGGACTCAAAAATTCATTGGCAAAAACCAGAGAAAATTACCAATCTCCCACCTGCCATTTCCATTCCAACTTATAAAGCGAACCATCAAGACATTGCCATAACAGATTGCAAAAGTCTATTTGACTTAACCACACGTACAGCCATTCCCAATTGTCAAGAATTTCGTACTCAATTACTAGCAAGATCAATCAAGGACATTTTGGATGAAGGGATTAAACTCCATTGGGTTCATTCTGGCGCTCAATTAGCCGATGCATTAACGAAGATGATGGAAGCAAATTTCTTGAGGGAGACCCTTCGTGTCGGAAAATATTGCCTTCATGATGCCGAAGAAGTGCTCAAAAACAGAGCTTCAGCCAGAAATCGACTTCGATGGCTTCGAACCACGAATGATCAAATGTGCACGTAGCCCTTTAAAAAACTTAAGTTTTGGGAGTGTGAAATGTGCACATTCAGATCATGTTCCATAAGAAACCCCTAAGATCCTCAGAAGAAACCACTCAGCCGTGCTCCATAAATTTCCAGTCCAATCAAGGTCAACAGTTTTCATGCCTGAGACACGTTGGCTCCGGGAGCCCTTAGAAACAAGGAGTTGTGGCGGGTGGGATTGTGTCTTTGGTATAGCCATAAAGGTGCTGCGGATTGGAAACTGGAAGGCTGTGTTCAGCTGGGATTTCATAGCCGGTGCGCTCAGTGGCAAAACAAGCGAGGACGCTTGCAGCTTGTGGTGGTGGGCACGGTGTGCCATTTGGTTGGGGACTCCTGCTAGCCAATCACAATATTTATATATATATGTATATACTCATAGCACCCAACTCAACAGCGGAGTTTATTAATCGGTTGACATTACTCTGGCTGCCACGATTGGATCCAAGTTGTGCCTCAGTGGATAAGTGAGATGATGTTGATGTCCAGTGTGTGAAATGGGGCATGATTCACCAAGCCCAATCATGCCCAGCCCGAAAAAAACAGGTATAATCGGTTCAGCATAACATGAAAGGAGAAATTTGGATTTTGCTATCCTTTGTTGCGGTGTTGTCCTTCGTCGTCACCTTTTTGTCAGGTTCGAAAGTTCGCAGAGAAGCTTTGGGACGCACAGGGGCCCAAATGTGTCATGTACAACCATCGGGCCCCACAGCAGCCCATTCGGTTCATGTCCATTTGGATCCATTAGGTTGAAATGGCCTTGTTTGGCAAAGGATCCATACCGGTCCAAGCCACAAATTAGATGCCGGGCAGTCATGAATTTGAATCCAAGTTTTTATTGATCAAGGGTTTGTCACTGTCGCTACCGGGGTACCGGTACTTTGAAAACTTCAAATGCATATTTTGGAATATGTTGGAAGTACTGCCTGATCATTGAACAACCCCATACTCGTATCATACAGTTGATTAATGTTGGTTGGTTATAAATCCAATAAAACGGCCTATTGTGGTGAACACCAATTTTTGTTGACACCATTGATGCTTAAACGATTAATCATAATGTTCATTGATAACTTTCCGTCTTATAAACATAGGCCTTGCCAAACAGAGGGTCTGAAGAAGACAAGTAATGATCCTCAGGATCAAACTCATAATTTGGGTCATTGTAAATCTTCCGAATCATGATTAAACCATCATGTTTATCATCAGTTTTATTGGTAACATCATCATCTTTCTTGGCTAAACCATGTTTTTTTCAGTAAATTCATCAGTATTCTCCGTTGAATCATAATTTTTCTTGATTGAAATCAGCCTTGATTATGGTTCAATCATCATTTTGCTTTGTACATGTTGTTTTTTATAAGAAAATCCTATAAAATCCTCATGTTTCATGGTTAGATCCTCCTTTTTAGAGGTGACTTTTTTCCGGACAGCAGCCCAGCGGCCCTACCGAGGTCCCACGGCTGCGCGTGCAGGTCCTCTTTGCGTTGCTGAGGCTTGAGCTGCGCACGGAGACTGTAGAGGCGGGGCCGCTTCCCGGTGGCTTCCCAAGGGCTTCCCTGTCAATGGGATTTTCAGGATCCTAAAATGGAGGTACTGTACCATATAAGGCCATATTTCCTGGGGATATTCCCTTAGATAGCCCTTACATAGGCCTTATATGTGGTAGCTACCCCAATTTAGGTTCCTGAGATGGCCAGTGATGTGGCTTTAAGCTTGGCGGATGTAACTGATATTGGCCATGGATCAAGACCTATAAATAGATATCTGGTTGGTGGTTTGGAACATGACTTTGATGACTTTCCATATATTGGAAATTTCATCATCCCAACTGACTATATCATATTTTTCAGAGGGGTAGGTCAACCACCAACCAGATATATATCGCATTGTTAGGGGGATGATCCATAAATCCTAGCTATTTTGATGTGAAGGTGTTGACCCCCATATGGCTTTGTGTAAGCCTTTGGTGTTCCAAAAAATATTCTGGTTGATCATGATATTCTCTGTGAAATGGCATTTGTTGAGGCATCCCCCATTTCCAGACCCATATACCCTAGGGTAAACTGACCTAGATGTGGAACAGCCATGGTTTCCTTAGGAAAACAAACTACAAATAGTGTATCTTCATGGATGTTCCATATTCGTTTACACTGGGGAAACTAATATCTAACTAATGGGTACCTTTGTAAGCCAAGAACAATGACGATTTTCCAATTATACTTAACTGGTGGATATATCTAATTAGAACTAACATAAGTGGATTATTTCGGCTCATAATTTATAGAACTTCAGGGTTTATAACTATAGGCTATAGGATTTATAACTAGAAGAACTATAGGGTTTATGGTGGATATATCCAACGATAGCTTTAACCACCAGGGTTTATTGTGATCATACCTTTGGTAATCAAACATGGCTGGCTGACAAATCCACTATAAATGCATGTAAATGCAGGATTTTAGATGGATTTAGTGGTAAAAGCATTGAACTAAAGGGGATTGCCATCCATTGCCATCCATTGCTTATGTTTGATTACCAGAGGAGAACTCGAATCACTACGAAAAAAATCCTGAAAGGTAACATGTTATATATAACTATACAGGGTCTATGGCGGGATTATACTCGTAGTATAATAGCCCAAGAAAGAATAGAAACTTGTTTTTGGCATGGTGGTTCGATTATATTTACCACATATTTCGTGGTTTCCCACTTTTCTATATGTTTGGGGTTGCGATACCGTGATTTTTTCACATATTATAGCTCTACTTACTCTAGTTATTGTGTTTGCGAATTGATTTTTCTATATATATATATATAACTAGGGTTTATTGTTGATATATGGGTTAATAACCACTATTAACCACTATGAACCACTATTGTTGTTATATGGTTAATAGGGTTAACATCTACCGTTCAGTTGGTTTACCACTTTCATCCCATCCCCGGGTCCGTCCACCATGGTTTTTTTGGGTGTTTAATATTGGAAGGATGGGATTCATAATACAACTATAGGCTTCATGTTGGATAAATCGACAGATATCTATTAGTACATTGGCTTTATAAACGAACTTCTCACTACCTGCAGACCACCTTGCAGGGGTCCGGGAAAAAAAACGCGATGTTTTTTGATACCCCAAAACGACTAGTTCAATGGTGAACATAATGATAGCTAACTTAATTAGGGGAGTATATTGCCGAGATTTCGGACAACACCATAATGTATCAAAGAAGACTAAATGTCAAACTCATTGAACCCCTCACGGAACCAGACATGTTGGGATGTTTTTTATGATCTACTTGGATGTGCATCCCATCAATCGATCAGAACAAAAGTCAAGTGGATCTCTTTACTAAACGTTGTTTCATGTTGTTTCATATAAATGTGTTGACATCTATACAGTCGATTTCCAGTATCTCTCCAGTATCCTCGGCAGGTCAAAGACATCTGCAAACATTTTGAGGATTTGCTGTCAACCGTTGGACCTTCCTCCACGGATGCCACAGAAGTCTGGCCGGGAAGCACGTTTTTTTTGGGGAATGCCAGCCATGCGGTGCCATGATGGTCATGAGTCGTGTCCTTTGGACGCCAGAGATTATGCAGATGAAACGTACTGTATAAGTATAAGACTAGACTTAGTAGACAAATAGAAACCTTCCAGCACCCATTCGCAGTGATAATTAGATGTTTCTATTTGTACCTGCCTGATTAGTAGACGTGTATAGTACCTTCCAAAAAGATCCCAGCACAACCTTCGGATCAAGGCCGCCCAAGGTCTAAGGAAGATCCTTGGCGGATCAACCCCAAGTGGTTTGCAACTGGGGTCATAAGCAGAAAATCCATGAAAACCCATGAAAATCCATGATACCCCAGGGTAAAACCAACATGCGTGTGCAAAAAAACATGGGGAAACCCTAGGATTTACATGCATGGTGCGGGTCTTCCACGTCTATGTTAGCTTACAAGAGGGTAATCACTGACAATTGGGAATTACCAGATACTACTACTGTACGTCAAACCCTCATGTTTGGTCCATCATCTCATCCCCTGATATTGAATCCCGCAAAAGGGCCCCTAAATGAATAGATTCAATACTTTCCACATCTGTTAATATTTGCTATGAGGTGGAAAAGATTAACTGAATTACTATGCCCGTCCCTTTTTGGCTAGTCATTGTTCCATCAACAATGGCATGTTTTAACAGGCCGCGCGTTCGCCAAGTTTGGAGGCTTCGCTACTTGGACTTTGTGCAAGGTGTCCATGGCACAGTCCAGGCCGTTGGTGGAGGTTTTGGAGACTAGTGACTAGCCCATGACGGATCCATGGTGCTGGTATATATGCGATCCCATAAAGGTGGTATATTGATGGGATCCATGTCACACAATATATAGCATACATTCATTTCTAGTGACTAGTCCGAAACGATGCTTGTGATTCACAGCCCAAATTGACGGTCGGTATTCCGCCAGGATGTAAACAGCAGGTTGCCAGGACGAACTCGACTCATTCCCATGCAAAAAAACTCCAGAATTTGTGCGATCTGGAGAAATTATGACCACCCAAACTGGCCGACCTCAGAACAAGTAACCCAAGTGACCCAAGTGACTCAAGTGAACCTGAACATTTGACGTGTTGAACTATCAATGGCCCTAAATAAGGTTCAGGATTTGTCATGAACCCTCTGGTACAGATTTGGGGTCGCTGAGGTGATGCTTTTACAAACGAAGTTTTCCCAAAACTAGGGCAAGACAATCGCCATGTTTGGGATGCTTTTGGCGGATAATTATTCTATCGCAGATCTACCTATAGTTCATGCTGTGTCAGTTCTATCACCATGACCTCATTCGTACATGAGTGAATATCCCATATATCCCTATGTTTGTTGATTATATATAGATATATGATGATGATGATGATGATGGTGATGATGGTGATGATGGGGTGATGATGGTGATGATGTTGATGGTGATGATGGTGATGATGATGATGATGATGATGAATATATGCCATGTTGCAATGTTGGGGCTTAACATGCACCTTCACATGACAGTTTACGAGGTTTACCAGTTGTTTCTTTCACAGCTAGATGATACCCGGATGGCTTGACGTGTGTGAATCATTGTGACAATAGTAGCTTTATTCATACCATGTTACCATGATTACATTATCATTGTTACCATTATCATTGTTACCCATAACATAGTATACTATATTACCCATAACCATATCATCATATCATTGTTCATACCCATATACATGGTTATACTATATTCATTATCATTTACCATGTTGTTATGTTTAGTCAACATTACTATTACAGTATATTATAAATACTGTTTGTTGTCATCACTACTATACTACTGTTGTTTTCATTACTGTTCCCAAATAGTTCTTGTGGTTGAGGTGCCACGTCCCAACGACCTCCACCTTCGTGCGCTGCGCTCGGTGCAGGCCGTGCCAGGATGGCTCTATGGTTGTTGGCTGAAATTGTTGACAAGATATGCACGGTTTATATATGTTTATATTACATATTATATGCTATTAGATGGTATATGGTGTATCTATGTATATATATACGTGTGTTTGTGTGAAATAGTGTATATATATATACATATATATATATATATCATATACATCTGTATATGTGTGTGTGATACGTATACAGTATACATGTTTGATATAATGTGTATGTGGTGTTTCCATCACTCCTGAAATGATTGTCCCAATGAACCAATATTGTCGGGGTGGGATTGAAACCATCGAAACCACCAACCAGCCAAAATCGTTTTGAAACTCAATGGGGATCCAAAGGTTTCGTGAAGTGGGCGGAAGAGCTAGCCTCAAAGCTAGGGTTGGTGTATATTGGTTTATCGGGTTTATGGTATGGTAGGATTCGTTTTGAAATAGATGCCTCAACATTAGGCATCAGTGGGAGTTACACCAAATTGAAAAAACACTGGTGTTTGCCAGAAAATGAATGAAACCGCAGGCCCTGCGGTGCATCAAGGGTATTTGGGTTTAGCTAACAACTCCCTGCGGGTCAGTTGTTGATTCCATGGTTTTTCATGGTTTTCCATGGTTTTTCCATGGTTTTTCCATGGTTTTTCCATGGTTTTCCATCCCTGGGCAGGACCAGGAGATCTATCGGGAAAAGGCCCAGATGATCCTTCAAGGCCATCCAAAAAAGAGAGGATGCTGTGGCACAAATTGATCAGCAGCATCTTTTGCTTGCATTAACTACACATATATATATACATATATATATATACATATATATACATATATATATACATATATATATACATATGTATATATATATATATATACATATATATATATATATATATGTACCCTCTGGCTATTTAACATAGCTATGGAAAATGGTCCATTCAAAATTTGGATTTATGATGATTTACCTATCAAACATGCTGATTTTCCATATAGCTACGTTAAATAACCAAAGGGCAAATACAGTGTGTATATGGATTTAGCATCTTGTAGCCATGATGGGTTTAGCACATATCATATTACTTCATATTCATATCCCGCTAATCCTGAACGTCATACTTTTGGATGTCCCCAGTGGAACAGTGATAGCCGGAATTATCACTATGTAAGCACTGGGCCTTAAACTTAACTAGTTACTAGACTTCACTGCCCACTGTGCCAATGATGTAATCATTCCAATTGCTGTTTGGCGAAACCCCATATCCATCTATATCCCAATGTTACAACACCCAGTGTTTCATAAATCCCGTGGCTTATCACCATTTTCTCATATTGTCTCTATTTAACGCTAAATGGCCATAATTGAGTGATGATTCCCTCATTTTCAGACCATCGTTCACCGGTACAAAAACTGCTGCTACCGTGCTTCCTTCGTCACTTCGCCAGGCCTTGAGATACATTGAAATCATCGCAGAGTGATGCATTTGCCAGGCCAACTTGGCACGCTGCAATCAAGGCTCGTAGCCAGGCCCCAGCTCTGCGCTGCGGCTGAAGGATCTTGTTTCACCAATCGCACCCGCGATAAAAAATGGCACTCTTGGATGCCATCGGACGGCCAGTGGGGCTGATTGTAAACCGATTGACCTTCCAAACACCCCCCCAAGAGATGGTAAAAAAATATATACTAAGATTGCAAAATAAAACATAATTTTTAAGGGTACTTGGAGGGTCTATATAAGTTTACAGTACAAATTACTAAGCCGTCCACTACATTGAGATTTATTGGGTATATGACAATGGTTTGTATGATATTAAATGTCACCCACATGGTTGCTGGGGACGGTGTATTTGTTAGACACTTTGATCGGATGGGAGGGAGTGATGACATGGGTCTGTCAGAGAATTACTCCATACTACTCCCAAGACTTGAAAATAGTAAATTCCGGATGTTTTGTGAATAGAATAGAGCTCTCTATTCACTCTTTTCTACAAACAACTATAGCAGTACTGTAGCCCAAAATAAGTAGAACATGGCCATTGATTGATGCATCGCTGTTAATGATCATTTTTCCATATCAGTTTCCTAACTGATCTGGGTTTTTCTCTTAAATCATCCAAATCATTGGACCATGAATTGGGATCCAAATCGTGTGATGAAACCAGTCTTGAAAGCCATGGATTTTGGGATATGATTTTGGGATATCCCCATTTTCGGAAAGCCTCAATTTTCCTAAAAAGAGACACTCCTTGAAAAAGGGACTGAGATAGGGGTCTCCCCACCTCAGGAGCCTCCGGCGGCGGAGCCGGCGGAGTCAGCATCGGCGCCGGAAGGTGAAGGTGGGGAAAGCTGAAACTGCAGCAAACAAAATGTCAAAGGGAACTAGGCGCCAGAACATGTAGCATATGCATGTATCAAAATACCTTGAAACGCCCTTTGTGGCTCAAGCGCCCCTTGAAGGAAAATGAATCGTGCTGTCGCTGCTGCGCCATAACGGGACTCGGTTGACCAGCAAAGCAGGTATCGAAACTACAATTGGTAACACCTAGAACAAGGGTGAAATTGTTCACAGGTTATCAGCCGTAAGGGCTCACTTCTCCCGTCGGGAGAGTAGTACCTGCGTGCTGGTAGCCGGGCTGTCTGAGCAATTGATTGAGGACGCAAAGGACCAATCAGCTCGTCATCGCAAAGATGCAAGGCGGCAGCGGAGATTCGCGCACCACGCAGTTTACCTTCAATGAGAACACTGCTATGCCGGTCGAGGAGGTTACTCAATCTTCCCCTGGCGACACGGCAGACAGTGGTGGGATACGCTCTACCCGAACTACTCAGTCCGGATGGCAAGTTACATCAAACAGACGAAGAATATCCACCCAAAGTACACCAAGATCTTCTCGAAACAGTGCTCGAAGTGATGTTGTCCGCCAAGGGCATCGACCATCTCGAGGACGAACTACCCCAAGGGACAGATCCACCAGGGCCGTAACCGACCGAATTGGTGAGAGGACCGGGGATAGTCGTGTTAAGAGGAGATCAACGGATACTTCTGTGGCTAGTGAACCTATTGCCATGATAGAAGAACTACGGGCACAATGTCAATCCCTACGTAATCAGTTGAACCACATGGAAGCATATGCTGCATCAAGAGATCAACTGATTCATGACATCGAGATCAGATTCACTGAATATCTTCAGGAACACAACCAGAATGTATTTGATGAGGTCAATGCACTCAATCATAGATTGTCATGTTCCGCAAATGAGGTTGCAGAATATCAAGCAGAACTAATGGTAGCATCTCAGGAAGACGAAGGTGCAACAATACGCATCCAAGACCTTGAACGCCGAGGTGCCCTGATGGAACATGGTGCGAGACGGATCCATCAACGTGGTATGGAGATTCAGGAAGAGTACAAGGATGAAGTACATCACCTTCAAGGACTATTGGGTAATACGGAGGCAAGACTGCAACAACTTCATCAAACCAATGTCTTAACCACCGATATTGCCAATCGATTGTACAATGAAGGTCAAGAAATGCAGACAGATTTCCAGAACTCAATCGTGGAATATCGTAATCGATCCGAAATGGCATCCTTCTCAAGCAATCAACTTGAAATGATTAGCCAACAACAATCAATTGCAGTTCATGAATTGTCTGAACGGAATCAGCTATTGAGTGAAGCTCTAGTTCAGTCTCGTAAACAGGCCGAATTGTATGAAAGCAGTATTGAAGAGATCACTAGAGAATCTAGAAAGAAGGTTTTCGAGGCAAATCAGGCCAAATTGGAAAGTGATCTGAAGCACCGAAATACTGAACATGATACTGTCAGAAGAATTGCATCATACAGGAACCATGAGGCCGAAGCGATATCACACCTGAGGCTTGAATCACAGGCTAGTGCAAATTCGATCGCAAGGGCAGAGCACTATGAAGAGCTCTACACCAATGAGCAGGAGATGAACTGCGAATTGAAGGATGAGATCAAGTTGCAGAACATGAAGTTTCGAAGATCATTGACTCAGGGCACTACGACCGACGGTCGTGGCCCCGATGAGATGCTCGTTGAAGATCTACGTAATCAAGCCAAAATCGCTCAAATCAGGGTTCAGGATCTGGATCATGAAGTTCATGAATGTTTACAAGAGAACATGTTGTTAAAAGAAAGATTGGCTGAAGTTGCGGATGTAGGGGCGTCGTCCTTCTCCAACGCTGAAGTCCGAACTTTAAGATCTGAACTAGAAAGTGAGCGCAAAATGAAATTGGCTAGTGGTGTTCAACAGTATGAGAGATCATGTATGTTTATGGGGGAAATTCAGGATAGGGATGAAAAGATTGGTATCAAGAATTCTGAGATTATTGACATGAAACGTCACCTAGATGAACTGAGAAAGAGTCTCAAGGATTCTGAAACTTCTATGTCTAGGGTCAGCCCTGATACACTTCCCTATTCGGCAGGCATCCCCAACTATGATCTCTCATCAAGACTGGTCATTGACAAACTGGAGAATGAGGTGAGTGAGGCTAACTCCGAGAGCGCTATCCTAAAATCGTGGGTAACGCAGATTGACAAGGAGTTGACCTACGAGACAAATGTTGCTCAATCCTATCGCGGACATGCTGGACCTTCTCAACAGCAACCTTCTCAATCGAGCAAAAGGATCACCGATCTGCTGAAAGAAGTCGACAACAAGATCGCCGATGGAACTGAGAAGGACTATTACAGGCCTCCGAGCGGATGGGGCGGTCCGCCTGACCCTGATGGACCTCCTGACCCTTTCGGGCCCAACGGTCCAGGACCACCTCCAGAACCTCCTGGTTTGCCTTCAGTTCGAGGATCACAACGTGATTCAGCAGATGACGTCTCCACGGCGGCGTACACGGCAGAAGAAGTACCGAGAATGTCAAGACGGGAGGCTGACAAAGTCTATGTTAGCCCATGGCCGAAGCAACAGAACCTTGGGGTTTGGCAATCCGACCTCATAAAGAGTGTTGTTCTTGCTGCGAATGATGGAGACAAGGCTGCGTGGGAGGCATGGTTACAGCCGGCTATTCGACCAAATCCTGACATCGAGCTATTGAATGACAGTGGAGGGCAACGATATCAGTCAATCGACGCCAAGTTGTCAATTGCATTGTCAAACGTGATAGCTCAAGCCGGTGATGTTGCTCGTCATGTAGCAATTAAACTGAGATTGAGAACACAGAGTCATAGCCGGAGAGGAACCTATGTTATGGGACGAGAAATCTTGGCTATGATCTTGGAACACTTCAGAACCCCAGGTCAACGAGAGACAGCCTTCACCATGGAGCACATCGTATCGATGAAGTATCTCGGTGACTCAAACCTGGAAGTGTTCTACGAGAAATGGATGGAGATGGTGTCAAACATGATGCCGGATGATGTACCTCCTGATGATTGGCTTCGTGACGCTCTCTACAAGAAGATTCGAAATTCGAGTCTTATGATGTTCGACATCAAGCAGTACGAGTCATGGATTGAAGGAGACCAAAGACGAAGCTATCGCTATTTGTTGGACGTCATCGAAAGGCACATCTCCAGAATCAGAGAAGACAAGCATGTGGCCGCTAGGGAGAAGTACGCAAGAGACTTTGCAGGTGGCGGCAAACCTACTGCTCCTGCCCCAAATCCAACTGCTGCTGCACCAGATGCCAATCCGAAAGCGAAGCCTAAAGCCACTCCCAAGGAGAAGGCAGCACCCAAAGCGAAGGCCAAGGCCGATGCAGCTCCAGTTCTACCATCACCTCAACCGAAGCAGCATGCAAAAGGAAAAGGAAAAGGTCAAGGGAAAGGAAAGGATAGAACAAACAGCCGAAGTGCTAGTCCCAGGTCCAAGAAGAAGATCCCATGCCACTTCCATTTCATCAAGAAAGCATGCAGAAAAGGCAAAGATTGTGAATACAGTCACGACCAAAAGGTGTTTGATGCGAACAAGAACGCAAAAGGTAATGGTCGAAAGCCAGGAACTCCAAGAAGTCAATCTCCAGCGAACAAGACCAAGAAGATTGATGAACCATGCTGGCACTGGGCCAAGGGCAAGTGTCGGTACGGAGACAAATGCAACAAACGTCATGATCCTCATCTATTCAACACTGCTCCAAACACCGAAGCACCAAGCCCAAAGGCTACTCCTGCACTTGTCCATGAATGGAGTGATGACGAAGGAACATTCCACAAGGTTGCATCGAATGTCGTCAAGAAGAAGGTCGGATTCGATGAATCCAAGATTTGCATCCAAACATATGTGAAGAAGGACTTCGTGAAGTGCAGCCGGAGATCCCAGACCATCCCCAAAAGTCATGGTAAAGTTGGTAAGCCCACCGATCAGATAAGGCAGGATGAGCAATGGTCTTATTCATGCAGACTAGCATCGAGCCGAGGGAAGGCAATGGCTATCCTGATCGATGAGAAGGGTGAGTACAGTGACATTGATGAAGTCCTG